ATACCTTCTGCCGATCGCAAACGGTCCACGTAATCGTGTAATGCGCGGTCGATCGGTCAGGCGATAAGGGAGGGGAAAAAAAGCGCATTTAATTTTCGCATCGCAAAGCCCACCACTCGTTATTATCCTTATAGGTTTAAACAACTTGTATGTAATATGATGTACATGGGGGTACGAGTGGAAAGAAAGCAGACGCCCATCGGCCCGGAGCTTATTCAGTTAGATAAATGATAATGCGTCGCGCGAAGCGGATCTCCGCGGTTCTAGTTCTACTTTTCTTACCTTTTTTTTTTTTTTTTTTCTTCCTTTCCAAAACAAAAAAACAACTGGAGCATTTATAGGCATTTCATTTTAATTGGTTGCAAACCGCCGATGGAAAATTTACGCTCTCGCGTGGGCGTGAGCCGATCAATTACAAGAGCTAGAAACGTTTCGCTAGAAATAATTCCGCGCGTCCAGCGCTACATTGTTGTCTTTCTCGCTCCGTCCATCTCGTCACAATATATACGAGCACGCGTTTCTGATATTTACTTGCAAATTTTATCGTCACGGACGAACCAACCCAAAGTGTTTCGCGAACGGATATACGTATACCCTTGATGGCTCCGGGAGTATAATGCATGTACATTTTTCATCAAAGAGCGCCAATACCCGCGCCAGAGGGTCTTCATTAGGATGCTCGCCGTGTATTATATACATACAAATGTACGTAACGGTGCATTATTTTACCCTCCACAGTTATCGTTCCGCTGAAATAGAGTGTATTTCAAACGTGCCCTCGTTGTATATGTGTATATGCATAAGCATTTGCATCCTCCGTGCGGATTTTGCGAGCAATGAGTGTAGGAATCGTTAAAATCAAAACTATGGGTGTACGTGTCAAAATCGCTGCCGTTCTCTTTTATGTGGACGGGCAATAAAAGATTTTCCGCGTCGGTTGCTACGATCGCTCGTGCATTTGTGTTAACGATCATGATAATGGGCACAAGTGAGTGTACATGATATCGAGAGCCAACTCGCTTCTTTCGTTTTTTATTTTTTTTTTTTTTTTCTTTTCTCCTGTTATTAATAGTTTGACGCATAGTAGAGTGTGTACAAACAACAATGGCTCGTTCGAAGGTTCCTTTTGCATGTAGCATCTCGGACAATATAGTACCTGTTGAGTTTCTCCGACAATCACTTGTAAACTATTATGAATAAAAAAAAAAAAGAAAGACTCTCGATTCCTACGAGCTCGAAAGTATATAAGCGCGGACGAGCTAATTGCAGTATACGGCGAGAGAGAGGAGCCAATGACTTGGTGTGCAGCACATTGTGTTCCTCGTGCACTTTTAATTGTTTTCCCCTCTGATGGCGGTACTGCACCTTGGGGCTGTCGAACTTGGGAGTTGCGAGAAAGAGAGACCCAGTTCGCAGAGACGCCTGCTTTCGCGCAAATGGCCGGGAAAACAATACAACGATGGGGCCTGTAGGGAGAACAACAGAGTTTTGTTCTTTTGTCTCTCGTTTGAGTCTTTCTTTTTTTCCTTGAAATCCGCATTTTTTGGGTATGTGAATCAGAGAAGACGCGTTTGACACGAGAATGTACGCGTGTGGTATAAAACCCGCGAGTATAATTGGTCCCGCGACCGGAGATAATATAATAAGATCGGAGATCTGCCGCGCTCATGTGTGCCCAACCGAGATGTATTTATGAGCTGAGATTCGGCAGGGTGATTTCCTTGTTGTGTCCCCCTTCCCCTCCTCTCTCCGGATTGTATATCGCGTTCGTGTGCGGCACCAATCGATTCTCCGGCCGCGTGTTTACGCGCAATTTTTAAGAAAACGACAAAGATCGTCGATGCCCGCACTCCCGATGCTAATACGAATATACATATATAATATGTACATACATATCCGAGAGAGCGCGAGATTCGGGAGCGATATGCATGTATTCATGCGCTCCCGAGGTGTACAATCAACAACTTTCTAAAGTGCCCCCCTTTTTTTTCGTTTTTCTTACAAATCACAGCATTCAAAAGCGCGAGTTTCGCGATTTATGGCCGACGATAGGTTCCGCGGACCGCTTAACACAGCGTGCTCGATAATTCACGAACAATCGGTCGACATTGGCCTCGCGGGAACCAAATGAAAATTGATCGACCGGCCGATTCGGAAGCGCATCCCTTTCAATTATCCCCGGGATGAAATAACGACAATTGCGACACGCGCGCGGATCGAGAAAACGTCATCAATTGCAATTCCCGCGTATATGTATAGGTATATTCTGATAATGATTTGTGCACGCGTAACTATATATACTTACGAGGAAGACGTAATGGCGCCTTTGGCGTCCTCGGTTTGCGTGATTTATGAAGAAAAGCCACGTGTGTAGGTATACGGTTGAGAACAAGTCCCCGCGGGGTGATTTGGCGGGAAAATTCGTCCTCTCCCTGCATGAAGTACCGCGTGGAAAACACCGAGTCCTTCCATTTGTCACGTGCGCCCACATTTTGCGACGATGACGTTGCACCGGACAGAAGCTGAGAGAGACCTGCAAGGATGTTCTTCCTGGCGGTCATACAAATGTACAATGTATAATACACACTGGACGTGTATACGGGGGAACGAGCGCGGAGATCGTATTTCTCTTCCATCACTTTCAGCCGCGTGTGCCGCGTTTGCAACACGATGACGGCGCGTCCTCCTCCTGATGCAGTGTACCTACTTATTTTTCTTGTCTCTTCGTATTGCGTGCATTACGTTCGCGCGAGCGGCAAGGAGAGTCGCGGTGCAGATTGATCGTTTGGCAAACAATGTGTTTCGCATGTAAGTACAAAAGACTTCAGCCGGGGAGCTCGACGATTTGTTGCGAGGATAACTCGAGATGCGTTGCGGTGAGGTGCGTTACATCCTGTACAGACGCAAGGGGATCCAACTATGCGAACAAAGGATCAATGTTTACTTTTATATAGGCTGAATAACAAGCTTGAACAAGAGATGAAAAATATACAAGGATTAGTTCGACTTACGAGTGCAATGACACGTGCGTGATTGTGGTGTAAAAGATACGCATATATTTATATGAGCAGAGGATTTAGGGACTAACTATGATTTTTGAAAACAGAGTCAGAGTAGGAGCCGCCAATATTTATCAGAGAGCTGTTGAATGCTTAAAATAATAGAGAGTGAATTTTAAAGGTAAAGAAAATAAGCTGGAAAAAGTGATGTTTAAGAAACAACAATTATAGTATATCTGGGGAAGTGGTAAGTAGAGGGCAGAGTTGAAGGAGAATGAACAAACCATCGTTGATACAAGTTAATTATGGAGTCACAGAACGAAAAGTAGTAGTATTGAAGTACACACCAAAGATAAAACTAGATGTTACAAATAATGTTGTGGATAATCACATTGCCTAACTTTACCGATTAGCGGAATGATTACCGTGGTATATTTATCGTACGAGGGTAGAGAGTGCAGTATGAGACAGCGATGCGTTCACTCGATCGACTCCGATGCGTAAATCGGACATTATCTTCTCTCGCCTCTCCCCCGATCCCGGCGCGCATCGTAGAGGACGTCCCGAGAGCTTAATGCGATTCGATGCGAGCTCCAGAGCGTGCAGGCCGACTTCAATATGATACTCGTCTGGACTCGTTAGCCGGACACAGGATGACCAATAGGTCGCCCCGAGGGTATGCACGTCCGATCGGCGTTCCTGCTTATCGGTGAGGTGTCACAAATGATAGCCGACCTTTGTCAAAGATCCCTCTTCTTCTTCTTCTCCTTCTACCTTTTTCAAATGATATTTTTTGATGCGCCAGCCGATTTTTTCATGATACCGGCGAATCGGTGTGTACCAACTCGAACACATGGTCTATAGAACCGCGTCTCTTGTACGAGCGTCCTACGTAACGCGAGGAAACTCGACTCTGCTTGCACGGCTGCGCGCCCCCGTGTGTACATGCACATCCGATGCGAAAAGTGGTTTCGAGTTCAGGGGCGTTTTGTTTTTACCTGCCCGCGTACAGACCGAGAGATCATCAGAGCAACCCAATATGCAATTTAACAACATTTTCTTTGTGTTTCCTCGCATGTTCTCCAAAGAGCTCCATACCACCCCGTGGGGAAATCCGGGCAGGGGGGGGCCTCTGACTGACGGATGCACCGATACGTTGTCTTTCGCTTCATTGTTCGCGTTGGTCAATACGCACATTTTAACGAGACATCGTGGCAAATGTACACCGTCTTTAGTTTGGATGCCCGAACATATAACTCACAGCAACGCGATCGAAATACGCGGCCAAACGGCTATAGCAGGGGGAATTCGTGTCATCGGGGAGGAAATAATATGCCAGCATTCGCCGAAAGCTTCGATAATAAGGCACTGGTTAACCAGCACAGCGGTAACGAGAGAACGAACTGGTCCATTTGTATTTCCAACGATATATAATTATGCAGGCGTGTACATACACGAGCGGGCACGGCGAGTTGAAGGCAGAGTCTTATTGACACCGCGAGGTGTTCGTTATACCCTCCTCCTCCTCCTTCGAATGTCGCGACCGCAAAACGCAGGGACACGCATATCTCTCGGAAGGAGGTGATGATGATGGTGGTATTCGCGCGAGCCAATTCGCAAAGGGGCATTGCAAGCACTTTTGCGCTGAAAATCCACTTGGCTGCGTTATCAAGGCAAGGAATGAGCTTTTTTTGCGACCCTCCCTCACGGAACAATATATATATANTCGCCTTCGATCAGCCATACGCGCTGCGAAATGTAAGCCATTGGAGCGAGATTTGTTGGTTTTAGAAACACACAAACGGTACTTTATTCAGTTCATCTGGCGATATGAGGATTACGAGCGCGGCTGACTCTCATCGGTGTTGATTGATCGTGACAAATATATATATATATATAATGAACGTATGCCTGACCTTGAACTTACAAACCCACATGTTGCATACACGCGTATACATACCTGCTCGTTCGTCGGAACGTGAGGAAATTAAATTATTTTGGTTTTTTTTTTCTTTTTCTTTTTCAATGCTGTATCTTTATTCAAGATTAACTCGCTACAGTGTTACTATACTACATTTTACGGAATACATACATCGGAATCAACCACTGATGAAACTAATCGTGTATATACTTGTTCCACAATTTTTGGAAATTATATATACCTACGGGTTAATTCAGAGGTGATCCGGTTATTCCTATCGAATGTTCCATTGTTGTGTTATCTTCGTTAGTGGAATCAGTAGTTGGCTGTACGGCTCTTTCGGTCGCATTTGTATTTATTGCCACGGCTTTGTCTTTCAGTGGAGCGAGAATCTTCCCCAAAGTAGACGTGGTCGTGGTTGTACTCGAGTTCCCAGTAGTTTCATTTGACGCGCGTATACCCATTCTTTGACCAATGAGAGGTGACGTCGTTCCCTGTCTGCTGTGGTTTTTTGACTGGGTGCTGTTTTTCTTCACCAGCTTTACTCCAACGGGTATAGCGATCAGCTCGTACACGGTGACTCGCTCGTAGTCACCCCCTTTGGCTCTTTTACCGCCGGAATAAGACGTGGACCACGATACCTCCTCGCGTTCGCCCTCGATCGATGCCTCGCGTGCACCATGGCCACGATGGTGACGCCTGCTTGACTTTGTTTCTCGTCGCCTCCTCCCCCTTCCGGACTTGTCGGCCTCTCCGTGGTGCTCGTGGTGAGATTTTCTTCCGCGCTTGGTTTCACCGGACAAATGGGAGTCCACGTTGGTTTCATCCTCATCCTCGGACCGGTGGATTCTTCCCCGGTGGTTTTTGCCGCAACGTCGGCGGGTGATCAGTTTATTCAGCTTTTTCGACGGCCTGCTCTCCCTGTCGCCCAGTTCGCTGCGCAGCTCGTCCGACACGGGGATTTTGTGTTTCGACAAGTGGTCGCGAAGCAGTCGTTTGAAAAATGGCACCAACTCGTAGACCTGGTCGGAAATTTTTTCACTCTCCGACAGAACTTCGCGGTCCTCCGGCGTGTGATCGCCGAGCTGTTCGGTTGATTCCTCCCTCGAACCTTCCTGTGCAGTGGACTGGCGAAAGTGTTGTTCCATCATTTAAATCCATACCCGAGTTTAACATGATGGGTTTTTTCAAATGACATACGTTAAGAACTTTCACGATAAATCTTGGGTCTAATAATCATGGGATGATTTAATAATGACTGTTTGGTTTGAAACGTAATCAATTGATCGATTTCGAAACAACAAACCAAAGTGCATAACTGTGACTTTTTAGGATTACTGTATGATTTAGTACAACTTTTAGTTGTAGTTTCTACTTGTTAAAAAATAACAACCATTTCATTTATTGAATTAAAAAAAAATTTGGTGTACAAATGACAATTTGGAGTGAAAAAAAAAAAAAAAAAAAAAAAAAGAAGAAGAAAAAATACAATTCTTTTAGTATGACTAAAGACTTACACCATCCTGACGGCACGGGCAGATTTTTGATTCGGATGCCAAAGCAACGGCAAAGAAAGCGGCTAACAAAAACAGCTTCATGGCTTTGACCGGCAAAGCTGACGAATAATGGTACAGATTTTATTTATTTTATTTTGTATACACCGTTTTATAGATGTTTACACGAATCAAATGCCTTGCGCGTGTTAATGCCACTTTACTACCAAAGCTACTGTGATGAGGGACTGAAACGCCCCAAGTTTATATACTAAATGCTGAATGAGAAAGAAAAAATCCCTCTTTGGTCCGTTTTTTTTTTTTTTTTTTTTTTCATTGTTGGAAACAATCGAAAATTACGTGCAGATCTCAATGAAAAAGTTGTGTTCATATTTTCCTTGAAAACTCCTTCCTTCCCCTTATCTCTGGCATGTTCCGATGACGAGACTTTTTCATGCAACCGCACGAAACTGCATACGTTACAACACACTAGGCATTCACGTGTTTTACGAGCAATTCGAAAAATTCTTTAAAATATTCAGATCACGTACTTAATATTGAACCGAGCGATAACAAGCGACCGGATGGGTTTTTTCTTCCGTGAAATCAAATTGATCTGTTATACGAGATTTTTCTTTTTTTTTTCATCAATCAACATATGACAATTGTGCGCGTGCGTAGGAAATATGCGTATATAGACAAAATTCTTCAAAAGCTCGAAAACCGGTCCTACAATGACTCGTGAACACTTTTTGCTAAATGACCGAGAGAGACGCGGGGAAGGGATTTCCTTTTCAGGGGTAACGCTCGCCCGCTGCATGGTTGTTTTGAAACCCACACGATCCCCCACTGGACAAGTACAACGACGAGATCATCGCACTCGTTAAAAATCGTGGGTGGGTGGAATGTCGTCTTCTCTGCGCTTTGCCCTTTTATTTTTGTCTGACGGTGGACGCAAAGTCGCGCTGGTTTTCGTTCGTGCTGTCGTTCCTATGACTTTGTTTTTTTTTGTTTTTCGTTAAAAATTTTCATCTTATCGATTTGATGATTTTTCTATAAATAGGAAAAAAATATACGTGGTTCTTGGATTGGCTAATGACGGCCATTAGCACAGCTGTTGTGTTACTCCATACGCCGAGACAAGCGACCTTTCGTGACAATGACGTATGGACGAATACCTTTTAATGGGTAGGTATATATACCATATCAAAGGTGATCTTGATTTTCACAGGATATCAGTAAGAACGATCAAGCGCTACGTGAAGAGCACAATTATTGGTTATTACTTGGAAAAAAAAAAAAAAAAAAAAAAAAATCAACGCCTTAGACGTTGAAAAAATTAATTTAAATTGCAAAAATACGGACTATAGTAAATTACATAAAATACAAAGTGTGACCCGTACCAGCTGTTAGACGCTGGATGATGTATATATTTATGCATGTATGTATACGGGTATTTTTATTTACCATCGTTATTGTGTATCGGGTTCCGTAAACAGTATCATATATCGTCCCTGACATGATTACATTATAACTCTGCTCAGCGATCGTGTTTAAAGGTGTAACCATAATCGTATATCCACGATCTGTGTAATACAGCTCACCAAAACCTTTTAATTACCATACTTACAGGATTTTTTTTTTTTAACAGAAACACAAAATTTTCCCAATAACTTGTACGTATGGAAAATCATTTCGTTTCTAAAAAAAAAAAAAAAAAAAAAAAAAATGTAATCGATCCGATTCTAATGCCGTTAGATTATACGCGTGCTTCGATGGTACGTGTGGGTATAATTTCATACAGCGGCTCCCTGTGATGATGTCGCCTTCGATCAGCCATACGCGCTGCGAAATGTAAGCCATTGGAGCGAGATTTGTTGGTTTTAGAAACACACAAACGGTACTTTATTCAGTTCATCTGGCGATATGAGGATTACGAGCGCGGCTGACTCTCATCGGTGTTGATTGATCGTGACAAATATCGGGGCTGTTAAGTATATACATATACAGCGTGATCAGAAAATTTTTTCGAAAAACTAGATTTACCGGACTCGTTAATATAGGTACATGGGAAAAAAAAGGTACATCGTGACTACTTTCGATCCGACGCTTAATTGCTTTTCGACACATTTTACGTCGGTGTATCATTTTTTTTTTTTTTTTTTTTTTGGCTTCGACGAGCTTCGCCTCCGAGCGTCTATTATTTTCAGGAATGACCTTTAGAATAAGCTGACAAGCTTACGCGTCGAATCACGGCGAGAAGCAATTCAACAAAGCAAGTTTTTTTTAATTTTTTGTTTAATTTACTGATAATTGAATCAATAGGCACGACATCGATGCATCATATGCTATATATTTTTGTCCTAAACTTAGGTTCGTACGTATGGACGTGTGTACCGACAAAAAAGGTGCCATTTTATAAATGAACGATTCATTAATCGCCAGCGACTAATAAATAATTTTCTCGATTTGATGTACGCATATACTTTCAACGACACACTCGGCATGGAAAAGTCCTCAAAAAGCACGTTTACTCGTTCTTGGTGTTGAAATCGATGAGCAGCGTCTCGTTGAAGGATCGCTTCGACGTCCTCTCGTCGGCCAATGTCTTCTTGGAGCTCGACAACACCGACATTCCATTCCTGGTGGTGTACGAACACGAAGTTTGGGATTCTGTGCAAGACGATCGTACAATCAACTCGAGATTCATTGCCATACGGGCACCCATAATACAATATACGTACCACTCCTTGATCCTCGGATCGACGCGATGTTTCGCACCTTTCCGAGCCAGCCCTCGGTGAGTCTATCCCGGAACTTTGGCGTCGTGAACGTGTACAACAGAGGATTGACCGCGCTGTTCACCGGCAGGATGAACACGACGACCCAAGCGTGCAGATCGGCTATGTACGACGATTTCCACCATCACAATGAGCAAAATCAAAGGTACCCAATGACACACACACATATATATATATATATATATATATACATATACGTACGTGGTACGGGGTACTCGGCGAGAGCCATGATCTTGAGGAGGATGATGGGCGCCCAGCAGATGACGTCCGTGAGGACTATGAGGAAAAATCTCAGGGCGAACTCGGACTCGTCCACCGGCAGTGGGGTCGCGTGGCGCGTTTTCAAAATACTTGCAAACATCCCGGCGTAGGCGTAGACAATCACCAGTAGACTGAAAATAAACAACGACGATTGAAGGTACATTGTTTTTCTTCCCTTGGGATTTATGGGGATACATGCAATCCCTACCCGATAAAATTGACGCCGAGGAAAATAATGGCCGAGTACTCCCATCCGACGCCAAAGGGATCGTCGATGTGGAGGGGAAAGCACATGCCGTTTAGCCCGTAAAAGCGCGTACTGCTGCGCCAAAGGATAGCTGCAAGCATATCGACATGTATACCTTTCTAACTATATTATATACTTCCTTTCGATGAAAAAAGATAAAACTAAACTAAACTCGAAAGATTGTGATATCGGATGTGTACAAGTGGGAAGTGAAAGTGGAATCCGATAAGGAAAAGTGTACATGGTGCGTGTATGTATACAGTTGGACATTGTGTATACGTATCGTATTGTCGTGCGACATGAAAATATATACCCATACGTGTGTATATGCGCAGAGGTAAGGGTCCATGGGCACACTCACCAGGTAAAATCGCTACCGATATACCGATGACCCAGATGACAAGCATCGCCGAGGCGGCCGTTTGGGGAGTTATCGCTCGGCGACCTCTAAACGGCGCCGCGATCAGCATAAATCGCTCGACCGACATGAAAGACAAGATCAGCACCGATACCTGCGTGCACGCAGAGGAGAAATCAGTGCGTTTTTTATAAATATACCCTCTCATATCGATTTACCTCTCTCTACAGCAAAGTGTATTCTTTTGCTCTTATTTTTTCTTTTATTCGTGATCGGGAAGGAAAAAAAGAATTATGTTTACCTCGGAAGAAGTCATGGCGAGCATACCGATCAGCGTACAGGACCACGAGCTCATCCAAACTCTAGCCTCTTGGCCGTAGCTGTTGCGAAATCGTATGTCCTGGATGCCAATGATCAGCAGATATATTCCCATGAACGAGTCGGAAACTATGGGGTAACGATCATCATCAAACTTCGACATCGGTGTTATAAATTAAAATTGAACATTATACTTTGGTGTACTTTTTACCTGCCAGGTTTTTTATGATTATACTTAACACGCGATTTTCATCTTTGGTCGAGAATCTGCCCCAAAGCACGAGGGTGTTACCTAAGCTGGTTACGCTCCATATGCCCCAGACGGCTACTTTTATTAACGTCGTTCTTAACAAGTGTGACAGTGACGAGACACCTGAGATGATCGAGAGAGAAAAAAAAAAAAAAAAAAAAAACAATGCCAATTACGTCAAAATCGCGTAAAATTAATCGTTTGGCTGTGTTAAATAATTTACCATCGCTAGCAGGATGGCATATCTTCACGTGTGGAGTGTAGGTGGTGCAGTAGTGAAATTTTGTAAAGTAACTGCAATTTTCAATGCGATCATAACAATTGTTGACTAAAAAAAAAGAACAAGAGAAATCAGCCATCACTCGGGAACAAGATTAATAATAAAGTAAGGATAACTCGAGGTTTGCGTAAATTTATTTTCTACCTCACCCCCGACTGATAGTTGATTTCTCTTTTTTTTCATAATCAACCATATACTTACATGGTTTCAAGATTTGTAAACATATTGAATACTTTTTTGTCGATGTTGTCGATATCGATTTCTTCGACACCTCTGCGAATAAAAGACAACTTTTTTTTTTCACTTCCCTGTAAAATATGCTATTTGAAAAATAAAATAAAAAATTGTAAAGATTCATTACAGCGAACGAAGGCTGGCTTTAATTGGCTCGAACGTCGTGGAAGGTAAGTACTTAATACCTCGGTTGTACCCTATGGCTCTAAAATGCGAAAAAACGTAAATTTTATACAAAATATAACGGTGATGTTTATGTATTTTTGTAAAGTAAATTAAAACTCTGCGTAACGTGTACGCCATAATCCGTTTGCATGCTTTGTCTACTCAGTTTCATAATGATCTGTAAATCGCACGTCTCTCGCGATCTCTTAAGCGCCGCGCAGCGCTTGCGAGCACGCATCTGGCTTAAAAGCTGTGTAGCGACATAATATATACACACGATACAAATAATGCTTTTGTAAGTGTATACTTGATTGAATGGATAGTTTATAATTTTTTTTATAAATGTTAATTTGTACTGACAGTATTGAAAGGTTTGGAGTTGGTTCAAAGAGATCCGATGGTAACTCAGTTATTTTGTTCCCCATTAGAGTCCTATAAATCGGTACAATAACTGTACTTAAGTTCATTAAAAAAATTATTCATTCATTTGTTTTTCTTATTTACAAATCAACGAGGTTGTGTAAATTTTCAAGCGCATCCGGGGATATGTTCTGTATTAGATTATGATCCAGATTTCTGTAAGAAAAATTTGATTTTGTTTTGAATCTCTTGCATCTTCGGCACAGTGATAATCCAATTATAAATACCCAACGCACATTGACGTTAACCCAGGTAGTTGAGCAAATAAATCGTCGGTTATAGAGTCCAAATGGTTTTGATCTAAAATTCTGTAATTTATTAGCAAATTAAAAAAAATAAAATAATAATGGAAACAGTAAAAATTTGTGTTCAGAAAAGTCTTACAATTCTCTCAAGGCTGGTAAAAATGGGAGATATATATTCTTAGTAGTTAAAAGATTTTTCGATACATCTCTGTAAAAATTAATTGCACAGTTTCATACGATCAAATGAAATTTCAAAAAGACTTGAAAAAATTACTCTTACAATAAGTATAACGATGTGCTATTCTCCAGATCTTTTAAATCTAACGAGAATATTTTATTTTCAGCCAAGTTGAGGGTGATCAAGGACATCAATCCAATAAGATGGCCACCTTTTATCTCTTTCCTATTGTTTCCAACCAAATTTCTGAAACGTTTCAGTTATATTTTTTTTTTTTAACTGTAGTATCCTAATTTTATTAATTTTCATAAATAATACTACATACAAATTTGTTAAGCTCTTCTGGTAGAAAAAAATATGACGTTCCAAAAGTAGTATCCCATTATTGTTGAGATACCTGAAATATTCATGTAAATCGAGCGAATAATTGATTTTCCCGCATACATAGTAACTAATTAAAATGTTTATCGAATCAAAACTTACAGTTCTTCCAGTTCGCTGTAACGTCGAAAAGAATCTATTTTCAGTACCGGTAGTGAGCTATCAATTATTGTACTGAGAAAATAACAAACTATATCATTTTTTTGTTACTTTAAATTTACAGTATCAAAAAACTTACAGTTTTTTTAATGTTTTTGCAAATTTTTGGGGAATTACACGATAAGGAAAGTCACTGCATACAACTGCACACGAATTATTATTATAAATGCAGCTGTCGTAGTATTCTAAAATTTATTTTGTATAAATATTAAACATTGTATTATGATAAAATGATTTCTAACGCTAACCTTCGGTGATATTTGGGCACGATATCATTGAGGCATTCATCTTATTTTTGTTGTATAATTTTATGTAGTAGTTCCAAGACTCCATGGACACGCCTGTGGCATCGACTGGAGTAGTTATATTTTTCCAAAAAGGTAAAATAAAGTAATTAATATCAATTAGACTTTCCGTATGAATATTTTTCATTTTTTAAAACAAAAGAAAAAAAAGCTGCGTTGGCACTCACGGCACGTCAAGATATCTTCATCCTCTCCTTCGGGACAATCAAGCTCATTATTGCAAAAGCTGTTTTGCGATACGCAGAGGGTAGAGTTTGCACAAGAAAATGTACTCTCGGGACATTTNTACTCTATATAGCTTTTACAACTCGATTTTTTTTATTGAATCAAAAAAGTTCGATGCTCTGTCAAATAAAAAATTCAACGAAAATTTTGATTTTATTTGAAGTGGTAAAAAAACAATATGATAAATCATTATTATTCTTACATAGGGCACGAGTTACTTTTTATCCCTCAGAATCTTTGTTTTAAGCTTATAGGAATAAATGGTTGAGGAAACAAGCATTGAAGAGAACTTCAATTGGGAAACAAATGACATTTTAAAGTATAAAAATGCATACGACAATATTCAGTTATTTAAATTCTTACTTCTTTAGCAGGCGTCGAATTTTGTTTATACTCTTCCAAACTGAATCCTGAATTACTGTCATCTCCACAAGACTGAACAACTACAACATCTTCTTCTTTCTGCAAATTTTATTAGATCTCAAGAAAAAATAATTACTTTTAAATTCGTTTTACCCCCTGGATTAGGTGAATTCACTTGAACCAAATTATGCAGAAAAATTTCACCTTATTTTCACGATTGTTAATTTCACAATGCTTGCATGTCGAAAGTTTGAGACAAAATAAACTGATAAAAGCATCACCGGAGCGAACCGTGAAAGGACAACATTGGAAAAAACACTCACCTTGATTGAAGTAGTACATTGAAGTGACGATCAGAGCAAAAGTGGCAAGTAAAACTGTGCCTATCCTGACAACGTGCTTGTACTTCATTATTGTGAGTTATTGCGATGTCTGGTCGACAAAATCAAATATTTGCCCCGATGTATATCTATCGCCTTGATGGTCAAATGCAATTAAATTTTTTAGTTTTTTTTTACAGTGGATTATCAACAACTCCCGAATCACATTTCATTAAAATCAACGGCTTTGATGAAATTTTGACCTCCGCAAATTTTCATTCTTGTACTTACTCTCTTTGTGATACACGGCTAAGTGAGCGCGTACTTACTACAGCCAGCAGGACCTGAAGTCTTGAAGTGATGATGCTGAAGTTGGGCGTGCGCAGCTCCGATACAAGCGCAGTATAATGTGCCCGTAAGTGGTCATAGGAATCACCCTACTTTTGGCTAGTTTTCTTTAAATAGTGCCATTTAATTGTTCTCGCAGATTAATAAAAATATTATTCCATAAAATACTCAGGCTCGTCTGTCCATCGTACGTAAAAGGTAATTATAACTAAGCATATGAAATAAATGAAAAAGCAGAAAAAAATTGTTCGGTTCTTGATGATTATTTATTTGCATAGATCTTTCGTTTTATGTTACATGTTATGGCGGAAGTAAGGCTTTCACTCTTAAAAATTCATTCATATAAGTATCACTCGCTGGTTCTTCTTACATTTTTTTTTCTTTTTTTTTTTTTTTTTTTTTTTCATTGTTGGAAACAATCGAAAATTACGTGCAGATCTCAATGAAAAAGTTGTGTTCATATTTTCCTTGAAAACTCCTTCCTTCCCCTTATCTCTGGCATGTTCCGATGACGAGACTTTTTCATGCAACCGCACGAAACTGCATACGTTACAACACACTAGGCATTCACGTGTTTTACGAGCAATTCGAAAAATTCTTTAAAATATTCAGATCACGTACTTAATATTGAACCGAGCGATAACAAGCGACCGGATGGGTTTTTTCTTCCGTGAAATCAAATTGATCTGTTATACGAGATTTTTCTTTTTTTTTTCATCAATCAACATATGACAATTGTGCGCGTGCGTAGGAAATATGCGTATATAGACAAAATTCTTCAAAAGCTCGAAAACCGGTCCTACAATGACTCGTGAACACTTTTTGCTAAATGACCGAGAGAGACGCGGGGAAGGGATTTCCTTTTCAGGGGTAACGCTCGCCCGCTGCATGGTTGTTTTGAAACCCACACGATCCCCCACTGGACAAGTACAACGACGAGATCATCGCACTCGTTAAAAATCGTGGGTGGGTGGAATGTCGTCTTCTCTGCGCTTTGCCCTTTTATTTTTGTCTGACGGTGGACGCAAAGTCGCGCTGGTTTTCGTTCGTGCTGTCGTTCCTATGACTTTGTTTTTTTTTGTTTTTCGTTAAAAATTTTCATCTTATCGATTTGATGATTTTTCTATAAATAGGAAAAAAATATACGTGGTTCTTGGATTGGCTAATGACGGCCATTAGCACAGCTGTTGTGTTACTCCATACGCCGAGACAAGCGACCTTTCGTGACAATGACGTATGGACGAATACCTTTTAATGGGTAGGTATATATACCATATCAAAGGTGATCTTGATTTTCACAGGATATCAGTAAGAACGATCAAGCGCTACGTGAAGAGCACAATTATTGGTTATTACTTGGAAAAAAAAAAAAAAAAAAAAAAAAATNACAGACTGTCACAGTTGACTGTGGATGAGATATTTTTGATAAATGATCATTTTTACAGATTAAATTTTCTCAGATTATCACAGTTTACAGTTAAAAGTCTAAGGTCTTTGAACTTTGGACATCTCAGTCGTAGTAATCTGATGCATCTCATGTTTTTTATGAAAGTCAACAAAAGAATAGGCATTTCTTTGAATGCCAATGAACATCATATCTGGAAACATTTTGATGAATTTACTATGACAGAATTAGGAATACTTGCCATGGCTTTTTTTAAAAATGAAACTAAAATTCAAGATAAACAACGTTTGTTGAAAATCATGCAAAAGCTTAAGAATAATATTGACACTGTCAACGACATAACTTTGAATGCATGTTTGAAGATCTTGAGGTATTTAATTTGAACAAATCAGCTGTCCCATATGCCCTGCTTGCATCAAAGAAAAAATATAATAATTCCTTGATTTCGGTTTATTTAAACAAAAATCAGGATTTTGTAAATTAACGTTTTAGTAAACGTATGCTCTTCTCTTGCAGATACAGTGTCACTCTAAATTTATTGGAACATTTTACTGATTTGCTTCTATCACTAGCAGATCAAGTACCACATCGTACTTTGGAAACTATAACTCAAATAGCACATGTACAAGCTAGTTCCATAGTGCATAATAGACAAATAATATTAAAAATACTCGAGAGGTAATAGTTGTATGAATGGATCACTATTGATGAATGATGCATGATATACAAATGTATTGTTGAAATGTATTTAATGCATAACAAATTTTATTTCAATTGATTCAGATACAAGCAAGAAATTGGTCAAGCTAGACTAAAAGACATAGAAAGAATAGCATTTGTATTATATACTTTTAATTATGATCCTGAAACGACACACTTTTACTCAGATGCTACCAAAGAGCTCTTGAATCCTAAAAGAGCAGAAGAAATTAAAAGGTCATTTTATTTTACTAAACAATTTTTCATTGATACCATTTTGAAACTAGAAACATTATTTCTTTGTTTATAGATTTCCAAAATCAGCTGTATATACATTAATGTACATTACCCAAGTGAATTACTATTCAGAAGAGACCTTAAGTTATTTTATGAGTCGGGAATTCATTGAAAAATTATCTCAGGGTAATTGGAATAAATTAAATCGAGAATATTTAATTCTTGATTACTGTTTGGAAATAGATCATCCCGAATATCGAGGTCCTAGAATAGAAAAAAATTTACTAGAACACCTCAAGGTAAACCTTTTTTTTTATCATCATATTTCTGTGCCTCTGGTGTGAGTATTTTTTTTCAAATCTAGAAAAATCTAGAATTTTGACTTTGAAAACAGTATGAAATTACTCTATATAGCTTTTACAACTCGATTTTTTTTATTGAATCAAAAAAGTTCGATGCTCTGTCAAATAAAAAATTCAACGAAAATTTTGATTTTATTTGAAGTGGTAAAAAAACAATATGATAAATCATTATTATTCTTACATAGGGCACGAGTTACTTTTTATCCCTCAGAATCTTTGTTTTAAGCTTATAGGAATAAATGGTTGAGGAAACAAGCATTGAAGAGAACTTCAATTGGGAAACAAATGACATTTTAAAGTATAAAAATGCATACGACAATATTCAGTTATTTAAATTCTTACTTCTTTAGCAGGCGTCGAATTTTGTTTATACTCTTCCAAACTGAATCCTGAATTACTGTCATCTCCACAAGACTGAACAACTACAACATCTTCTTCTTTCTGCAAATTTTATTAGATCTCAAGATAATTGTTAGAAATGTATACACAGATGGACATGCAAAGAAATTTTTTTGTATTCTAAAATAAAGTGAAAATTCGTTGAGTTTAAAATTGATGTGTTACATCAATGACAATTAAGTACGGTAAATAACCAATGTTTAAATAATCTATTATTGAATTTATTCGGATTCTTTATGAATTACTCAAGAAAAAATTATAAAAAAGGATTATCAGATTAAGTTACAATTCCATGTCAAAACAATAACTGATTCACTTCTAAGGGGAAAAACTGATTTCCATGTGTGTATATACTTGCTTATGTGTTGGTCGAGCAGTGCTTACCCAATCCAGTTCAATCAAGGTGAATAGAGGAATTATGTAACTAGACACAAACTGGTAAGTAATATGTGTAAAATCACCTGTTGTGTTGGTACTGGCTGTTTCGTCTGTTGTTCGCTTTCCTGTACTTTCCGCTTTTTGTCGCTAATATCGATGTTCTGATCTGACCTTCTTTTCCTCAATGTTTGATCACTTGGATTCCGAGGTGAAACACCGCTATTACCATTTACATTCCGCTGATTGCCGCTTGAAGTCTAATAAATAATAATAAAAACGTTAATAACTTTTTCAACAACATTTTATTAACAACGTATTTACATGGTCAAGTACGATGTACCTTTCGTTCTCTTTTTATTAGAGATGAGGAAATATAATTAGCTAGATCCTTTTTCTTTACATGCCGTGCTTCTATCGTCATACCGTGTTTAAATACCTTAATTTGTCGTTCAGCTGTGGATATATTGAGTTGTGAGAAAATACCAATTAAAAAAAAAAAAAAAAAAAAAAATTAATCATACAAATAATCGTAAGAATGCACTTACTCATATCAACAAAAGATTTGATCTCATACGTAAGGTCGATGTTTAGGTGTTCTCCTTTTTTAAAAGTTAACCCAATAAACCACATGGACACAAACTTATCAGGTTCCGAATGTAACGGTGGAAACGCTTCTGGGTTTATGTGTGCTAATGTGATGTGTGGATTCCTTTCTAACGTACCTATATTGCATCAAATCAAAAAATAATCACAATTAATGCCATAGATTACGATAGTAATTATTTAAAATCAAGAAAGGAAATAGTATGAAAAAAAACTTCCAACTTTGCATAAGTTTACTTTTTTAACTGATTGTAATGAAAAGTAATTTTTCAAAGTCATGTACAAATAAATTAAGCATGTAACAAATAAATTAAGCATACCTATCAAATGTCGTATTTTTGCTTCAATTAGTCCACACCACTCCAGTTGATCCTCTGATGATGAACTGCTTGCAAATAAAACAATATAGTGTTTATATTTGCCAAAAAAGTTTGGTGGTTCAAACAGTTTGTCCCACGTTGCTTTGCCCATAACGATTTCTTCTGTAACAACTTGACCCGCTTCAAATGCCTCTTGCATTATTGTTCTAGTTGACAGTGATACATTAAATGTGGAATTCTGCTGTGGATAGGCAGGTGTGATTATTGGCATTACGTGGTACCTATCACCTACATTAACCTGCAAAATGATTTAATATTAATAATTAAGTACTGTTGTTTACTTATACCGTGATGATTAAGTATCTAGTTTCATCATATACTAACTCGTGGATCCCAGACTGGAAAGCCGTAATTTACGGTATCTGGCGATTTTAGAAGCACTGGCTGTGGCCACTTCCATTGTGAAAAAACGAGAAAAAATTTTTCTATTAACGTTGATGCAACGGCGTTAGGGTAAAGCTGACATGTTCTTGCAACTAGCATAGCCCAAGAAACACCTCCCAAGTAGCCTAACATGTTACTATAAATTCCGTGTCCTAAACATAAAAGAATGTAATTTAATCTCAAATGAAAAAACTTTATGGTCTTGTACATTTGCCGACAATGTTGAATCTTACTTTTGGCCCAGAGTTTTATAGCTCTGAGAGCTAGTCTAAAATTCTCTATGTTTGGAACTAAACGCAAAATTTCGTCTGTTACCCTGCAACCATTCAGACTTCGAACACATTTTTCATCTAAATTTTTTAAAAGTAGATCGTCTTTAAGATCCTACAAAACAAAATAAAAAGTATGATTATACCAACAAAATTTTCAGCATAGTTGAAGTACATGTCGTGCAATATTTACCATTGAATCAGGAACTTCTTTTAGTAATAATCTGGCAAATAATAAATCGATTTCTATACCATCAAAATTCATTTTTATTACAGGTACATATGCTTCCTCTACGGCCTAGAAATAAAATAATTTCAATTCACACATTTTACAAATGATTGATATTCTTTATGACTATTCAATATTATTGAACACTTTACTCTCAGTTCTGCAACTTCTTTTTGAGTTCTAAGCATATTTAAAAATGATGTAAAGTAGTCGCTTCTAGTTATGTGCCGAGGTACAACGCATAATGCATCTATATCAGCTCCCTTGTGATGTACACCTAATCTGTATGATCCGAATGTGTATATTTTACCCCCCACTTGTTCTGCTACACTTGGAGGCATATTTCTTGAAATACTGGTCTCTCGAATCCATTGCTTAACTAAGGTGTTCAACTTACTGTTAACAAAAAAGATTAGCCAAATCTTGAAAGGAATTTCTATCAGGTAATTTCGCTGCTTAAAACTGAACGTACCTTAATATTTCCATCCTATGATTAAGTCCTTCTTCTGAGTCAAAAACATTGTATGGCTTGAGAGATTCTTTGAGTTCTTGCGTCCTAATGCGGTCACTGGGTTTTGGTTCTGCCATACTAATGGCAGATGTCATACCTAGGGTACGCAAATTCGGATTTCCCGCATTGCCACTGTTGGTTGTTGATGACCACATTATGGCAGCCACTTTTTAATCTCCCTGTAAATTTATATAAAGGGTTATTTTCAACCAAAACCTGGAGGAATTGAAAAATAGGTTAATGAATAAATGATATGGAAATGTAATTTTTTATGGAAGTCACACCATTACAAAATTATATTATTAACTCTAGACTAACAAAAATAATAGAAGAAAAAGCATGAAATAAAAAAAAAAAAGTAAAATAAAATTACAACAAAGATCGAAAGGATTCATCTGGAGTTTGTACATCAAATAAAAGTATTTGCACAAACTCTGTAATGAAATAAACATACGTTTTTCACGTTTCCACACACCCATGTCATGCATCCTAACCCGAATAAAAGACAATAAAAGGCATAAACAACAACAACATCAACAACAAAACAATGCAAATGAAACAACTTACACGTGGAGTGTCCAAGGAAGAAGTACCTAAATACAGAAGCTTGTATCTCTCTGGATGAGGCGAGCTCAAGCAAGTCGCATGTCAGCACAATAACAAGAGGATGCCCTGGACACAGAGTCACGGACAGACGCTCGCTGAACTTTGCTTTTCGTATCCAATGTATAAGGACGAGCCTTGTGTGTTGTGTGTGAGAACAATCGTATAATGAGCGTGTTGTGTTTTGTGTGCGACTGATAAGGAATAATAATGTTGGGTGCCGCTCCTCATAGGCTGCAGGTAAATGTAACACAATACTACTCAGGACGCCTGGACGCCGGCAGACTATGTAGATAGCAAAAAATCACAACACTCATTTGTACGCGCTATACTCCATACAAGTGCTGTATGTACAACCAAGCTGTCCAAGGCAGGACGCGCATCCGCCCTCTTTTTCCTCGACGATGAGGCAGCAGCAGCAGCGAGATAAAATGAGCAACAACACAAGACAACGACTTCGGGAAGATATAGACACCAACTGTCCTATTTTACGTGTCCTAAACGTGCAGCGTGCTATCTTTACTCTTTTCTCTCCCCCTACAAACACACTGCACGTATATATACGTATATATATACATGCGGCCTCTGGCACGTCTGCAGTTCTGCAGTATAGCAATAGCATAAGCAACACACGCACTTATTGTCTCCCCCTCTCGCAGCGTCCTTCGTTTCCTCTCTCAGACCTCGCCGACCTCGGACCCTCGGTTTCAGTCGGATAAATATAATATCGGACGGAACGACAGCAGCGCCCTACACCTGCACCTAAGACTATGCCCCCCCCGAGTAAGACTGCAAGGGTCTGCAGTCTTCTCCACTCCTTTCAGAGCTCCATAAATTCAACCATGCACGCGAGCCTTTTTGTTTTTTTTTTTTTTTTTTTTTTTACATTTTTTTATTATCCCTTAATGTCGCAATATACCTGCAGTTGGAAATCTATTATAATTATAAAAAATTAACACTGAAACTTAAAACATCAATTTGCGGGGATAGTCGGGAGGGCGGATTGTTGAAAAAACGGTATACATACATACATTTGAACATGATTAGTCAGTGTTTTTTTTTTTTCTTTATATGCCATAATATAATACGGTCTTACGTATTTATGGCACGCATGAAACACTGAATCATACCTATATTGTTCATCTATAAGTTCCACATGGTACAGTCATGTTATAAGTATGTCAGAAAAAGTTACAGGAGAGTTGGTGACTTTCAAACGATTTTTACCATTTTTTTTAACGATTTTATCATTTCTTTGTTAGGGTTCTCACGAAATCACTCGTAAAATAAACCTACAATATGTAAAAAGTATCACTCTTTCATCAGATTCAAATACGGTTTTAAAACAATTTTTTCACAATTTCTTTTTCATCAAATGATAATTTTTTAAATATCAAATAAGCTTAAGTTTCAGTATGAAAAAAACATGTATTATAATTTATAAAAATTATTCACTAAAATGGTAGACTTTGGTAAATGGTCACTACGTGTTTAGATAAAGTTTATTAAATTTTCATTTAAAAAGTTAACGCACAGTTCGCGCGCACGTGATGTGTCTCTGAAACTCCTGTCTCTTTCGACAGTCTCTTTCGTTCTGCAGATTTTTAAAAATAAAACTGCATCATAGCTGAAAGCTGGAGTATTATACGAGGAAAAATGTGAATGAAAAGAGTTAGAACAGTTTAGTGCTTTCATCTTGTGCATAAAGGACGAACAATAATGTTTGCGAAAAAACTCTCGAGAAATTGCAAAAAATGGGTTATTTTGCAGAGGTTCGATTCACGGATTGAAAAAGTGTCGTCTGCTAACAGTAATAATAACAAGCTCTGTCACGCGAGTAGAGGTTTGTCTTTTAACAGGGATAAATATTTTGTAAAACGGGATGCTTCGAGACGCTTACATACCTGTGTCAACTTAATGTCACTAGAGATCAAGTATGCCCATAATGTTTTACAAAGTTCCGAGGCTTATCCCAATTGTTTGGTTAATTCCTTGACAGCAAAACAAGTTCAAATCATAGAAGTGCAACAATTGATTGCAAAACCGTGGATTGCCATGAGCAACAAAGAGCTACTGGAGAACTTTGAACATTTATCCTTGTATGCTCACAAAAATTGTGAATCCATTAGTGATAGTAAATATGACACGGTAATAGAAGCAGTAATGGAAAAATGTATATATTTCAATAACGAAAAGTTGATGAATTTATTAAGTTGTTTAGAGCTGTGGTCTTCTGAAAGCAACTGGATATCTCCAAGCATGCAGAAAATTGCAGTCATTGTAGACAAAGAGTTTTTAAACAGACTGTCACAGTTGACTGTGGATGAGATATTTTTGATAAATGATCATTTTTACAGATTAAATTTTCTCAGATTATCACAGTTTACAGTTAAAAGTCTAAGGTCTTTGAACTTTGGACATCTCAGTCGTAGTAATCTGATGCATCTCATGTTTTTTATGAAAGTCAACAAAAGAATAGGCATTTCTTTGAATGCCAATGAACATCATATCTGGAAACATTTTGATGAATTTACTATGACAGAATTAGGAATACTTGCCATGGCTTTTTTTAAAAATGAAACTAAAATTCAAGATAAACAACGTTTGTTGAAAATCATGCAAAAGCTTAAGAATAATATTGACACTGTCAACGACATAACTTTGAATGCATGTTTGAAGATCTTGAGGTATTTAATTTGAACAAATCAGCTGTCCCATATGCCCTGCTTGCATCAAAGAAAAAATATAATAATTCCTTGATTTCGGTTTATTTAAACAAAAATCAGGATTTTGTAAATTAACGTTTTAGTAAACGTATGCTCTTCTCTTGCAGATACAGTGTCACTCTAAATTTATTGGAACATTTTACTGATTTGCTTCTATCACTAGCAGATCAAGTACCACATCGTACTTTGGAAACTATAACTCAAATAGCACATGTACAAGCTAGTTCCATAGTGCATAATAGACAAATAATATTAAAAATACTCGAGAGGTAATAGTTGTATGAATGGATCACTATTGATGAATGATGCATGATATACAAATGTATTGTTGAAATGTATTTAATGCATAACAAATTTTATTTCAATTGATTCAGATACAAGCAAGAAATTGGTCAAGCTAGACTAAAAGACATAGAAAGAATAGCATTTGTATTATATACTTTTAATTATGATCCTGAAACGACACACTTTTACTCAGATGCTACCAAAGAGCTCTTGAATCCTAAAAGAGCAGAAGAAATTAAAAGGTCATTTTATTTTACTAAACAATTTTTCATTGATACCATTTTGAAACTAGAAACATTATTTCTTTGTTTATAGATTTCCAAAATCAGCTGTATATACATTAATGTACATTACCCAAGTGAATTACTATTCAGAAGAGACCTTAAGTTATTTTATGAGTCGGGAATTCATTGAAAAATTATCTCAGGGTAATTGGAATAAATTAAATCGAGAATATTTAATTCTTGATTACTGTTTGGAAATAGATCATCCCGAATATCGAGGTCCTAGAATAGAAAAAAATTTACTAGAACACCTCAAGGTAAACCTTTTTTTTTATCATCATATTTATTTTTATGAGATTATTTCGGATTTTAAATCAATGACTAAAATATTCCTGAAACTTGAGAATCTTAAACGTTACAGAAGCATGGTGTTTTTTATAAAAATCCAAAATCGGAAATTGTAAAAGTTGATCAACTTCACAAGCTAATCATTGATGTAATTCACGTCTTACAGGTAATATGAGATTCCTTCACTAATAAAAAAAATTCATATTTATGCTTTTCTAAAATGTGGGTTTAAACGATATTTTTCCCAGAATCTTTTAGGTTCCCAATCAGCGATTCACGTAGACTTTCTATTACCACATGTTTCCAGAGATTACATTATTTTGTGTTACGATCAAAAATTGAAAAAATATATTTCTCCAGCCAAACAACTGTCCCGAATACAATTAGGTTCAATCAAGTATGCTCCTAAGGATGGTAACACATGGTATGCCATAGTAATAGGATCCCACAACATCTTGACCAGAGATACTACCATGCCCACTGGAATATTAGCGATGCAAATGCGACATTTAGAGCGTATCGGTTACAAACCTATTCTGGTATGTAATTTCTTTATCGCTATAATTAAAAAAATTCCAATTACGTAGTAAAATTTTATTGATTAATTTTTTGAAACTAGATCAAATACAACCAATGGAAAAATTTTAGGAATGAAAAAAGCAGGAGAGCTTACCTTTCCACACGCCTACCGTTGTGTTGACATTTTATTATATATTTGCTTACACTGTATATAAAATTCTACAATAAAAATAAAGAACGATACTCAAATTCATTATTAACTATGTTACCGATACATTCTTACATTTTTAAGTTTTGTAACAAAAATTAAGTCATCTTCCGCTAATGAGTTCAATGATAACAATTGTTGTCTTGACAATTTATATTTGAAATAATTCTTCACGTAGAAATTTCCAATGATTTATCAAGATTTTCATTTTTGTTGACTACTTATTTTCAAGTTAAACTGAGTGCACTCGTCTGGAAGGTTTTGAGCCAATAACGAGTTATTGTCGACGTTAAATTTCATACGCGTGGCTTTATTTCGTTAAATGATAGAGTATTATTATTCAAAAAAACTACGTAGCAACATTAGCTACAGTACTAGTTTATTTGACGGATATTTTGTACTCGAGTAGATATTGAATTCAATTTTTAGTTCAGTAACATTTGGTTTACATGGGTTTCATATGACACGACTTGATGGCAGTGTTATCCATAAGAGCTGCATTGAAATTTTCAAGTAGTAAGTACAATAGTGTGTCGGTACAATTAAGTTCGCACATTTAACAATTTTGAATTTCTCCCAGTATAAATACCACATATACCTATGTATACTTGGCGCCTAGAGAGAGAGCCAGTGCTCTCAATTCTAAAAGCTAAAACTCTCAGACAGTCTCAGAAAATTTCTCCATCAGACAGCGCTAGTGGCAGAACTGAAAAACCACTAGCCTAGTGATACTAGTAACATTAGGCTAGAGAATTTTTCTGAGAGGTTTAGGGTTAAGGGTGCTTTTTAGTTCGAAATTCGCAACGCGAGATGGCGCTGATTCTGCATTTATAATTATAATTTAACGCGCGTGTGTGGTAGGCGGGTGATTCAAATCAAGCCAATCAAGTGTGTTACTGTGTTGTGTCTTCTTTTGGAATGTTTACGCAACTAAAGCCTTTTTTTATGTACAATAGTATCAAATTATATGACGAATGAAGTTATCTGGTGCAAAAATGTTATGTAAAAAAAGGCAAACATTCACAAAAAATAAAAGGTACGAGATTTCAATCGTGCTACGCACATTGTAAAGGACTGTAAGCTAGGCACATTCATAGCGATTGCATCACTAGCCAATCAATGTTATTAGTTATTTATTCAATTTTATATTTTACAACGAGGGCTCACTTTCATAATTCTCAGGTAAGTAGCCGGTGCATAATATGTATAACATATAATCCCCTCCCCTCCCATCACAAAGCGCATCTCTAACCTAATATTTTATTGCAGTGATATGTGTGTGACGTACAAGTTCCTGAGTGTTTAAAAATCTACCAAAACGTATCTCATACTTAATTAAAACAACTGATAATGAATGATAAAATATTTTTATGGGTGAAGTGTGCATGGTTTTAGTCGTCAATATCTGTAATATTATTCATGAGTAAAATTTGTAAATTAGATAAAATGTTCATTTGTAAAAGTTGGTCTGCTCTGCAGAGAACAGACACTGCAATTAGACACTTTTCACGTGTAACTAGTACATCTTATTGCGTAAATAAATTTTTAAACTCAAAAAAATTTATTAAGCAACGATTATCGTCTGACATTGGCCCGATGCGAATGATGCAAACAGAATGTCGCTCGTATCATGCACAAGAAATAGTTTACGCTCGCACTGTTGTGATGCAAAATTCTGACAATTACGCCAAGTCTACAGCAAGTACACTGATAGAAAAAGATATGCAGATCATTGAGGTAGAAAAAATACTTGAAAAACATTGGAGCAGTATGAGCGTTTTAGAGATGCTGCAAAACTTTGAATTTTTATCTTTCTTTGCCAAAAAAAATACAGAAAATATAAGTGACCCCAAGTATCAAGGGATCATTGAAGTCATGACAAGCAAAGTTCCAGAATTCTGTGATAAAGACTTGCAATTTTTACTCAAGTGTTTAGAATTTTGGCAATTAGATGTAAAGAACGAAGCTTTCAAACAATTGTATTCAGCCATTGACAAAGAATGTTTAAACAGAAGAAAAAATTGGAGTTTCGACGAAATACTGTTAATAAATGACTTGTTTTTTAATATCAGATTGAACAGAATAGTTGATTTCACTTGGGTTACTTTGAACAAACTGGGACGGAAACCTTGTCTTCTATCCCCATCTCAATTGGTACAATTTGCGTTTTGTTTGAAAACAAACAGATATATACACTCTCCATTGTATAATACAGAACATGCCTTTGAACAAAATTTTGATAATTTTACACTAGATGAGCTGGGAATATTTGCAATGGCTTTCGTTAAATATAAATCAAGTATTAAGAGCAAAGATTTTGCAACAAGGATACTGCAAAAAATTACTAATGAGATTGATTCCACAAATGATATTACTCTTGTAGCATTATTAAAAACTCTGACGTAAGAACGACTGAAAACAAACACCAATTATTAGTCTAAAATAATTTGATATTTTTATTAAAAAATCGCAATTTTGTTTATATATTTTCTAATTAATTCCTTTTCATTATAGAGTGCTTAAAAAGCCAGATGACTTTGAAAATATTTATAAATTCATTGAGGCACTAGAAACGCAAATTGATAAGAGGTCCATAAAGGTTTTGGTACATGTTATGCTTTGGTTAAAAGAATTACGTTTTGAAAATACAGAATTGATGTCGAAAATGTTAAACAGGTAATACGAATTTTTATATGTTTATGTCTTTAATAAACAAGTAATGCATGGTTAATCTGTACCCATGCTAGGTATGTCTGATTAATTTATAAACTAGTTATCCATATAAACTAATAAATTCAATTTTATAAATAGTTTAATAAGATATATTAAAAAATAAATGAGCAATATTGACTTCGTATTTTTTGTAGATTTGAAAAAGATTTGCCAAATATGAATTTAGCAGACATACAAAAAGTACTTTACACCTTATTCACATTTAATTACGATCCAAAAGAAACACCGTTTTTCTCCTCAGCTATGAATGAGGTTTCAAAACCAGATAGAACACAAGAAATCGAAAGGTATTTACGAAATTTTGTACACTTCTAAATAAAAGGTGTATTTTAGTATGTTGAAAAAAAATTACAAGCATTTAAAATACGTTTTATTTAGATTTTCAAAAAGTTTGATCAGCATTGTCCAGTCTGCTGTGAATTTAAACTATTATCCAGAGAAAGCTTTAAAACAAATAATGGACCCTGAATACACAAAACGACATTTTATACATGAATATAGACTGATTTCAGAATACCTCAAGATAGATTACTGTATAGAAATCGAACATCCTCAGTACGATGGTCCCAGAATTCAGAAGGATCAAATCAACTTGTTACTAAAAGTGAAGTACATTGCCTTGAAAATTTTTTTTTTCGTATTTGTATTATTTTTAACTAATACTGTTTTGCAGAGGCATGGAAGCCTATGTAGGTGGGAAGTAAGACAAAACAGAAAAGTTATTACTCGATTCTATGTAGTGGAAAACTTTTTGTCTGCATGTAAAGTATGTTTTTTACATTTATTATAATAATACTTATTAATGCACTGAGTAGTAGAATTGACATTAAGCTTAAATATATTTTCTTTTCAGAAATTGTTTGGCTTTGAATCAGCTGTGCACGATGACATCCTTTTACCGCACTTAGCTTTGCCACATTTTGTACTTTGTTATGATCCTGAAACAGAAAAGTATGTTTCACCAGGAGAACAACTGTCAAAAATACCTACAAGCGAAATTAAATATGCGCCAAAAGACGGCAAGGAGTGGTATGTCATAATTATAACACCAGGGCTTGTATATATTAGAAATACTCTTAAACCTACAGGCTTTTTAGCCATGAGGTTGAGGCAATTGAAGCGTATTGGGTACGAACCTATTGTGGTACGTTAAACGTTATTTCTTATATTTTTTAAAATATTCTTGGATTATTGCAACCCTAAAACTTGCGGTATTTTACTTAGATTCCTATGGCAGAATGGAGTAGGATGAAAGAAGAGGCGGAAAGGTGTGAATACATAAAGAAACTTTTGCCTAGACAACCATAAATTTGTTATGTTACTGAAAAATAAAATTTATTTAACAATCAGTGGATCCTTGTTAGATATTCCATTTTAATTTTACGAATTTATGTATTTACATTATTGTATTACTCTATAAAAAAATATTGTAACATATCTTTGTAGAATACTCTTTATTGTAAAAGCATTATTTATATAAACTGACTTTTTTTTATCAAGTTTTAAAGAAAAGATTTATCTAAGGAAAGGAAAAAAAGACAGAGACAATAATCTATATATTTTACCATCTGATTGAAAGATGATTATCCTAGTTTTTTTGGTAACAACAGTAAATTGTATAGGTTTTCTCTTTCTCATAACAATGGATTTACCGCACAAAATATGTAGAAGCACATACTTCATACATACGCGATAAAATAAACTTTTTTTTAATCATTTTTCTCTCAAGTTAGAAAAAATGCATTTAATGTCGTTCGACCTGTACGCGGATGTTATGTCATATTATTTTTGTTCTTTGTATAAATCGAACGTGATATAAAAATATTGTCCTCGCATTGAACTAATCACCACGCGATAAGATAGTTTAAAAAGAAAAAAAAATTCTCTAAATTCAAGTTCAGGGCATGCGTCAATCCAACGCTTGGTGAAGCAGTTTCTTTGTATACTCGTATGTGACAAAGAGGGTGGCTGTAGCTGGTATCGTCCTAATCATCGTAGGCTTAAGGCCATTGTACAAGGCACTGACTCCTTCCGTCCTTGCAATTTCTTTCATCACTTGCAACGCCGGCGCCTTTAAAGATTGAACCTTCAAAAATGGAGAAAGAATCATATAAGTAATTATCATGAAAAATCTAACAATCTCACCAAAAAATATTACCTGAATTCGGCTCTTGACGACGTCAGCAGGGAATATAACGAGCCAGAGCACACTTCCACCAACAGCTCCAGCAATCATAGTCCTTAACCAGCCAATGTCATCTCTGCTTTGGCCAGGTATTGCCAATAATTCGCGAGTAAGTTCGTACGATCCGAAAAAACAAAAGTATCCAGGCATCTCGCGCGCAATTGTTGATGACAACCCCCTAAACAGTCCTGGGATTCCTTGTTCTTGGAGGATTTGTTTGGTGAGCGTCCAGGGCCCGATGAATTTCTGAACGGAAATAATAATAATAATAATAAAAATTAGCTTCCCTTTTGTAAACAAAACTTTGTTTTGAATTGAATGGTACTTACGACTTTTTCTCCTTGACCCTTCTTTTGGCTCTCAACTTCTCGCATCGCCTGTTGACGACACTTGATGAGTTCTGTAGGGCACAAAGTGAGCGACGAAAAAAATGCCGCAAAAAAGCCGGCAAACGCGTTGCCGATTGAATTCAATTCCTCGACTTTAGGAACTCCTGTGGGATAAATTACCATTTACGGTCGGCCATTGAGCGTGAAATTTTTTTATTCCATGATAAGTAGGAGCTGAGCATATTACCCATAATGTTAGCGACAACTTTTTGGCAGCCGCCGTAAGCTGCAAATAGGACTGAATTCTCGGCAACATTGGCAACGATTGACGGCATCGTTCCCGCATACAGTCCTCTCATGACTCCGTCAGTTCTCAAAGTTTTCATGAAACAGTCTGCCATGCCCTTGTACAGCGTTGGAAAGGTTTGCATTTTTACTTTGACGGTGTCCAGCGGCTGGCCGACTAAGACTAGTGCCATTCCACCTATTTGCATTGTATGTATGTACACATTCGTGCGTTTTTTTACTTACATTTTTGTACATATAATTTCAGCCTGATCGACAACATGGTTTTCAAAGTCAAATTCATTGTTTTCTTTATTATACGTAGCTCAAAATTTATTCCGCCTATTTTATCGAGTTGGGGTGGACAAAGACGCGCACCATCTCATTGAAAATCACATTTCAATTGTATGGTTTAAATAAACAGAGTGACTACATTGGTGAAAAATTCGTACAAATTTTGCTTGTTGAAAGAAATATTTTTGCAAAAATTTGTAGAAGAGGTGTATAAGGAAATGCTATGTAATTAAAAAAATTTGTATCTATGCTGAGTAGCGAATTAAAAACTTTTTGATTTGAGTGAGCTTGCAAGCTCGTTAGGGAATCACTTGAAATCAGATAAAAAATGTTTTTACTACAATCATGTCACTGATAAAAATACGAATGAATCAACTCACCAAGGGAGCCAGAAAAGAAGTCGATAAAGCCGTCCTTGACGTTGCTCATGTTAACACTCTTTGTTTCAACAACCAGACTCTCAAGTGACATGATCCCACAAAATAGTTATATCGGCAATCGTCTTCTATTTATCACTCACTTTTCCACACCAACCCGCACATACACGCTTTCTAAAAAAAAAAAAAAAAAAAAACAAAAAAAACAAGTTTTACTTGGTCAAAGTACGAAAACAGAAATTCCTGACTATCCAACGTAGTGGATGTTTTTTTTAAACTATTTTATTTAGTACTTGTGTCTTTTATCCTAATTATCCTCCCACGTAGATGGCTTATCTTTGGTATCTGAAAAATACAAGTATTTGAGAGTTTGCTCTGTATATACGTCACTGATCTGATTCACTGTTTTATCTGTCACAATAAGTTTAAAATTTTTATAAAGTACCGAGGTGATACAAAATTTTTTTTATGATTTCGATATGTACAACACCGTTGAAGGAAACTGATAAGAAAATGCATAAACTAGTCAGGCATGTATATTAATAGATTAGATGTGGATGATAAAGAGATCGGGCATATTGTAGCGACGAATCATTGGAATTTACGTACAAACGCATTTGTTACACTGTACATCGACAAACAATTGGATTTGAAAAAAAAAAAAAAAAATATTACAAGAACTTGAAATAATAATATTATAATAATTTGTTACTTTAAATGTTTACATTCGATTCAATAAGTAAAAAAAATTTATGATTTTCATAATAAAGTTTTTAAGTTTCTGCAAACCATAATAATGTTTTTGTATATTACGAGAGAAAAAAAATTCAACTCCATCACGAAAACAAACTGAGCGTGGTTTCATACAGTTGCTTTGACAAACTTCAACTGTCAGATTATTTTTAACTACACAAAACAAAGTGACTCGTAATCTTAACATTAATAACACTTTTCACCACATATACATTTAATGCCACCCAATCATGATACCCATAATTCGAAGGCTGTACAGATAAGAGTCGTATTTTTTGTTGTTACTCAATAATCGTAAAACGATTTCATTTTTAACAAGTGAAAAAAACACTTGGAAATACGTAACAACACACACGAGCCGAACAAGCATCAAGGTTAGAAACAGATTGTTCTGAAGACCACACATTAAGCGACTAATTACACGAAGAATTTTTTTATGGTGCTTTTATTTTAAGGCAAATTCAACATTTCTGCGTCACTTTAATTGTCAACTACACATCAATTGCCAAAGTGTATGAGAAAGATACACACGTGTGTTTAGTGTTGAGACGTTCCGATAAAATACAATAAACTAATACCTTAGATTAAGAAGATTACTTAGCGATTGACATATTATATGTCATTATTTTCCGTACGACGCGAAACTCATCACTTCCGCGTTGATTGTAATTAAGAATTGTATAAGTAATGCGTCAGAAGGTAAAACCCGATTTTCCGCGGTGATGATGGATTTCGAAACTTTTGACGCGGAACTGAATAGATAAGGCGCGTCGGCTGCTTCACCCGTCCGTGCCATCTAGCGAGGCTGATTCCGAACTAAAAAGTCCCGCAACAGAAAATTCTCCGCGAGACAGCGCTAGTGGTGTTTGTAAATTGAGTTGTGTAAATGTGTAGTGTAATTCGTATATATTTCATATTTGAATACTTTAAAGTTACACGTCCCCATCAGAAATTTAATGAGTTTGCCACCTTAGTTAATGGGGTCCCCCTTAGGTTGCCTAGTTATTTCCCCATTAGGCGCGTCACGGGGCGAACTTAGGGTCCATCGTAGGCTGCCCCAAAAATCTAGCTAAAACTGTTGAAAACATTATATATTTCTGTACGAGTTTGGGTTAAATATATGTGATCGTAATTTAATTCTTCCTAGGAACTTGCACGGCCGATAAACTCCATAATCTGCATAGCACGCATGGTAAATCAGGCACATGCTCTTATGATAATTGTATTAAATGCAATGATGTACCTACACAAAAAATACAAAGGGTTAGGATAAACTTTCTTTCCTATTGGGGCACACTAGAGAGGACCACATCTACGCCTAGTGACGATGCCATTCTAGGGCCACATGTGGTTAAATTGGCAGCCTACTGTGGACCCCATCAGCACCCCACTAAGGTTTCTGATCGGGACTCTCCATGATGTACATATATATATCCACTTACTACAAATGCACCATATGTATGTATGTATGCAGAAAGTACACAAAGCACGACAGCACCCTATACCTGGCTACAGGCTACAGCTACTCAAAAACAGACAGGATGGATAAATATCTACGTATGGGCAGGGATTCAGGGAGTTCGTAAATATTTTGCTACAATGCATGTAATAAGATTTTATTGTAAAATTATTATTTTCTGTTAAAAATAAGTATGTGTGAATATTTTAATTTAGAATTGAGCACAAAAAATGTTTCTTTGGAACGTTTATCTCTGGAGCTGAAACACCAATATTTTAAATAAACATTGTTTGATTATTTTCGTAAAATACTGCAGTCCATTCAACGTTTTTGGATGATAAGGTGATAAAATAAAATGAAAAAAAAGCCAGAACGCGATCTCAGTGAACTAGTGTATATATTTTAATACAATAAAACTATCTTAATTGATGAATTAAAGTTCAACAGCTTGATAGAACGAATAAAACATGGAGTTTCCCTCGATTAACAATTACAATTCTTCAGTTCAAAATTCTAATTTAGTTAATCTGGAAGAAAATTTGATATGGAATAATCCAGAATACATACCACCAGAAAATTTTCTTCCCAGCGAAGATCCAGTATTAAATGAACAATTTAATGAACAATTCAATGGGGGTGAGTTCAGGGAGACGAGGACTGAGATGACAGATGGTTCTGGCAATGGATTTGGTGTTTCAACGGTAAATTTTGACAATGTTGAAGAAATTGTGTGGACTGGGAATCAGGGTGGTCATGTGACATCCTATTACGGTCCACTTTTACAGAAATATACATCCTTTCAAGTACACTCCAAGGATGAAGTGCGTCAAATTCGATCCATGGACAACGCAATCCTAGCATTGACTCGAAACTCTTTAAGATTTCAAAGCAGAAGAGGCCTGCCTATCTATACCCATACCTCAGCCAATATGATTGATATGCAATGTCTGCTGTGCTATTCTCCCACTAGTATACTGATGGGAGGCCACCAAGAGAGTATAATAGATTACGATTTGGAAGCCAACAAGGAAAAAAGAGTGGTTGAAGTGGGCGAAAATGGCTGTGCTATGCTGAGACAGCACACTAGATTTATTTGCGCTGGAAATGCGTTCGGTAGGATAGAGTTTAAGGACCCTGTAACATTAAAAACAGAGCATGGTTTGGATACACACAGTGGCTCTCTGAGTGATTTTGACGTTCAAGGTAATTATCTTGTAACTTGTGGATTCAGCAACAGTAGGCAGGGCCTATCGGTTGACAGATTTTTGATGGTATATGATTTGAGACAAATGAAAGCAATCACTCCACTACCAACATTGACTTATCCATTGCTGCTTAAATTTTTGCCAACTTATTCCGCTAGGATATTAGTTGTTTCACCATTGGGACAAATGCAAATACTTGATACAATATATGCCAATGCACAATCTTCAGTTACTTGCCTGTATCAAGTTGCTACTGGTGGAGCAATGATACTGTCAGTAGATGTTTCCATGACGTCTCAGTGTGTATGTTTTGGTGGAGCTGTTGGTTCCATACACTTGATGTCATCTAATGTAGAACCTCAATTTAATTCATACTCAAGGTCAACTGAATTTGTTGATACAGATGATACTGTACAATCCATTGATATTAATGATGGCAGCATACCACTAAGTGTAATGCCAATAGCATACAATATGAATCCATTGTTAAGTGATTGGCCTGAAGAGTTTTCTAAAAAAGTTTATAGAAGAACGCCAGCAGTAGATGCTGATATTCTTAAAACAATGAAAATGCAGGGCTCCATTGGATATGCTCCCAATCATCATAGAAGACAGAAACAACAAATTATTTCTGCATAAGATTAAAAACAAAAGTTGAGCAGTCAAATGCAAAGTATTAAAGACATGGCAGACTGCAATTTTCAAAAAATCATGAAATAAAAACAAAATAGACTTAGTATTATAATGTATAAGTTTTCTTTTTGGTATGGACACTATTCATTAATATGTATTTTTTTTTCGTAGAAAAAAAAAATTGTCAAAAACAGGTATTTAACGATTTTGTAAAAATTACAAAGTTTGTACAAAAGTTATTTTATTTTTGAAAAATATTTATGATATAATGAAAATGTGAAGTATTAAAAATCAATGTGACTTGAAAAAAATTATGTGTGTATAGACAAAAGAATCCAAATTTTATATTTAAATTGATAATTACTCGTATATATGGGACACAATTAAGTACAAGAACATGTGATCGTTAATTCAGTATTTATAAGATTTTTGATCAATAAATTGAAGTTAATTTAAAAATATTACGAGCGAAAAAGCTATTGCACATCCCTTTAGCTGATTCTGACTTCTGACATAATCTGATACGCTTTATTCACCCCCTCCCCTCCCCATTTATTTTCCCTCTCATTTCTCATCAGCTCCGTCCGTACACACAACAATATCAAGAAAAAAAAAAAAAAAAAGATCGACTATGCAGGGCAACGTGACGAAGTTGCAAACCAGAAGGTAAACTAGAGACGACTCCCAGAAGAATATGTGCACGTAATTTCATCGACTTGTCCTGGTTGGATATTTGCAGGAAACATGTGAAAATTGTACCTAGTGTCATTTGTTGGTAGAAAATAAACAGGAGTGGTATTCCATAACTAGTTTGCTGTCCATCAGCCTATGCTATACAACATAAGCTAACACAGTGAAAAAAAGTTACGGAATACCACCCCACATCCCAGGGATCTAGCGAAAGGTATACCTGAGCTGAGTAGCTGAAGGCTACATCAGGCTGGGCTGCACATGGTCTGACAATAAAGAGAGAGAGAGAAAGAGGAACACCTAGTGCAAAGCAAAGTTAAGCAAAGTGCATGTGCTTTTGGACGAAGCAAAGAGTGAGACGGAGGAGAGAGATGAGTGCTGATATATCCTCTCTATTCTCCTCTTCTGTGCCCGTCTCTCTATATGCCGTGTGTGCTGTTGCGGCGCGTGCTGTGCTGTGCGTCCCTTTACGACACACAACACAACCACAAGCCATTATACTTACGTTATTACGAGGAGAGGAGGTAATTAACTTGCCTTTTGCGGTGCAGGTGAGATGCCTGACTGCAAATAAAGTATAGTGTTACTCTCTCTCGCTCAACGTCAATCATCGTGTCGCCGAGTCATCGGGAGTGTTATAGTTTATTCGAAAAGAATACAAGTAAATTAGTACAGTGAAGCCAGAAGAGGTTTAATAGTATACGCACACGATGGCTCGAGTGTTTTGCTGCACAGGCGGTAGCAGCAACAGCAGCCGCAGTAGCAGTTATCGTCGTCGTCATCGTCGAGTAATTGAAACGTGAAGAGAGACGAGCCACCCGGGAAGAAGAGCTAGTGCCTGCAGCTGCAGGGAAGAGGAGGAGGAGGTAGTGGCTCTCTCATGACGTCCGCCCGACGCTCCACCTGCGTGCGCTCGCTCATCCTAAGGGATCGACGTGTCTCCAAGAGGTAGAGACACCCTCTACGTGCCAACGGAATTTACTTTTTCGTTCTTTTTTTTTTTTTTTTAATTTTTTTTTGTGCACGGGTGGATTTGTAGGAATCGATTTTTCACAGCACACACAACGCGATTTTTCTTTTTCGTTCTTTTTTTTTTTTTTTTAATTTTTTTTTGTGACAGACCCAAGATAAACAAAAAAAAAGCGAATGTGTACGAAATGGTTGTTTGAAACTGGTTTTTTTCATAGCGAGCTTTTTGCATATCAATGTACAATTGTCGTGCATCGTCTACGAAAACAGCTGCATAGTGTTCCCCAGGCTACACCTGGAACATCAAAACCTTCACTTTCAGAATTTTTTATTTATATTAATAGTCATTAAATGAAGTAGGTAATATGCAGACGCACACATGACGTGATTTTGAGTATATGCGATAAGTGTGGCCGTATAAACACACATTTTTAATTATTTATTTTATTCGCCTATTATAAGCACCCATATTAGGCTCTGCATGAAATTCAGCGTCAAGTTATGTGTAAAGTCTTGGCGACGATGAATTATGCATTTATTGAGTCGATGTAGACAGAAATAATGTTATATGCGACACGTTTTATGTGTGCATTGGAATGGAATAATCGAGGGATCGGGATAATTTTGGAGCTTGAAGGATTTTTATTCGTTTTGTGATATAGGATGGTGAGGTAATTTACCGAAAGCGTATGCTTATTTGTGTGTATACGCACGAGTGTTTCTTTTTTGTAAGAGTCTTCCCTTGTTGTAAATTGTACATTCAACGAAAACGTTTTGTGTGGGGCTGGGGTGTGGAAGTGGGAAACGACTATTAGAGCTTTTCAATGCGTCCATTCTTCATTTCTACCTCCGGATTGTACTTGGACGTCGTGTGAAATCTTGCGTTTAAAAATTTCGGAGCATCGCTTGAAATCCAAACTTTTTAGCTACCTTTTTTTTCGTCTGCTGCATTGCATTTAAATTGTTTAACTGTAGCCCGTCCCGCTTTACCTATATATTTATATACTCACTGGCAGCAGTAGCTTCAATGGTCTCACATTTACACACACGTTGTGTTCTGTCTCTTTCTTTCGACTCTTTACTCTCTAACACACATACACACACCCACACACACACTCGCGCTAGAACTCCGTTTTCTCTCTCGTTGCGTTATTAAATAAGAAGTTATTAATGAAGTGGGTATATCAAGTGTGTACTTTCTTTAACTAAGTATTAACTGTCCAAGTGCCAAATATTACGCATGAGAGAGGCCTGTAATTCTTTTCAGAGTTAATACACATACGTCATCATTTAGTTAAAGATCATTCGGTACGTTAATGCTCTTGGTATCTCGGCTTCCACATCTATTTCTACCAAAGTACTCCGAGCCTCGTTATTTACTTCTAAGTATATCTACACTTACCGTATTGGTTCCGCTTTGAATTTTTTTTACATGTCTTGTACAACACGTTCTTTTTTTTTTTTTTTTTCAAAAAAAAAAAACGCTATTTCATACTAAAAAGTAGGTAGTAAAAACTTGTTCGTTCTTCTTAGACATTTAGACGCAGGCAGCACAGCCATTAGTGCATCCGTTTTGCATAAAATTAGACGACAGTTGCACTGTTGTTAAACACAAATTAATAAAAAATATAAAAAATGACAAGACGAGAGGATAAAAGTATACGGCATGAGCGTAATCAAGCGAGAATTACTACGACGTGCTCCATTTTATTCTAGAATGATTTTTTATCAGAGTTCTTTCCCACTCGCCAGCATTAGAGAGACATTAGGCAAAAAAGTAACGGTACCGCTCCTTCCTCGGCTGTAATACCTAAGTATGCCCTTTGTGTCTTTCCCTTTAAATCACAACGAACATTACATTCCATTTCCATTTAAAATCCACCCCTCCCCTCCCCCCGCCCGATATCTGTTCATGTAACAATTTTAGAGTCTTGGAGCACTCAATCTGCTCCGTCCACCACGTATTTTTTCAGTCAAAGTATATTATTCTTCGTAGGCAAACATTTACAAAAAAGGGAAGCATAGGCATAAAAAGCGTATATATACGAAAGAGGAGAAGAAGAAGGAGGCAAAATAAGAGATAGATCGCGAAGCTGCCATGATAGATCGCGCCGCTCTTTCTCTCTCTGCCTGCCAGCTCCTCTCTCTCGCTCTATAACTTGCGCCTATACTTACCTACTCTTGTGTGTTCAAAGTACACACAACAGCTGGTCCGCTCGAGGCTTCGTCACCGAGAGGATGACGTTCTCGTAGATATTGGTCCCAGCGCCGGCGTCGCGAGTGTGCGAGCGCGCGTGCGTTTGTGTGTGCAAGTCCAGGACTCCAGAAGACGAGGACAAAACAGAGGTAGAAAAGAGGAGAAGGATAAACGGATAAAAAGGGAGTCGTGGAGAAAGAAAGGAAGGGAGCCATGGCTAGTTAACGCTATAGGGACGTGCAGAGAGAAGGCGAACGCTTGCGCGGCGCCGTACAACGAAGCGAGCTCCTCTTTTCTCTCTCTTTCGCGTTCGGCCATTTCTCTATCTGCCGCAGCAGTACCACTGCCTTTGGCTGCTCTTTTTTTTTTTTTTTTTTTTGCCCTCCCCCTTCGTCCATAAAAGAACTTTTTGAGTGATAGTGTGTTCTTGTGCGCCAAGGGTTTTTCGTGTGTAGTTTTGCTCGGGTCGAAATAATGAAGTTCCTTGCCGTCGTGGATCAAGTCCGAGCTATTCGCGGCTGAGTCTGTCTCTCTCGCTCGATACAGTTGGGTATAGTCATCGTCGCCAACGACATCGTCGTCGTCGAGTTCTGCTGAGTGCCGTGAAGAACTTGACCCTGGGGCCATTGGAATGCGCGCGCGCGCACGTGTGTGTCTGGGTAGCTTCTGCTCTTTTTTCGTATTTTCGGAGTATCGTCCTGATGCGGTGATGCGGCGCTCGAATACCCCCGGATAAAGTATTTTGGATTTTTTTTTTTTTTTTTTTTTTTTTCTTGTAATTGTAACTTTTTGTTCGTGTAAGCAAAATCTCGTAATGGAAAAAGCTGTGTTGAATAATATTGCAATTTTAGATCAACTAGCTTTTCTATATATATAGAAGTAGAGTTTTTGTAACTTCTTTAAAACAGTATTACAAATAAATTCGCAAACCATTACTTTGTGTAATTATGCCAAATTTTGAGCAGTAAATATAAATTGTATAATTTACAGTAAGGGAATAGATCGCAGAATGGTGGTCGATTGCCTATCCAACCAGGGCTCGGGAGGGCGTAAGCAGGAGAGGAGACTGGGTGGCTCGGTCAACTCCAGAATGCATCTCAATGTCACGGGTGCAGGTGGCATGACGCCCAAGGAGTTGTCTGATAACGACGACCTGGCCACCTCTCTCGTGATGGATACTTATCTGGGTTTCACGACTCACAAGATGAACACTAGGTGGGTAAAACTTTTATTGCAAGTTAAGTTTCAATCAATTTTCGTAATTGTATTTGATTTTTTTTTCTTTTTTCTAGATATAGGCCTCTAAAAACAAACAAGGACGAATTGAAAAAAGTAATTAATGAGTTTATTCAAACTCAGAATTATCAAAAAACATACAAAAAATTAATCAGTGGAGATTGGGGAGCGCGCATGCCAAACACCAAATCAAAAGCACAACAAATGAATCTGGAGAAACATGTAAGATGCGGTGGAACAAATTAATTTAATAATTTTTGTTTTAAGAGATAACTCATTGTAGATACTTTTTTTTTTAGATTTACCGATACTTGAGGGTATTCGATAAAGACTCGGGTTTCGAAATTAAGCCATGTTATAGGTATTCGCTCGAAGGACAGAAAGGTGCAAAAATATGCGCGACAAGAAAATGGTTGAAAAATGAAAAAATACCTTGCCTTGTCGGTGTTATAGCAGAATTAAGTGATAAAGTATGCGTGATACGTGCATTAAAAAACTTTTGAAACAATTTTTATTTGTTTTCTGTAAAAAATTTTAATCAATTTTAATTTTTAGGAGGAGGCTGCTCTGTTGCATCCTGGAAAAAATGATTTTTCCGTAATGTTTAGCTGTAGAAAAAATTGTGCTCAGCTTTGGCTTGGTCCAGCAGCTTTCATAAATCATGACTGCCGAGCTAATTGCAAGGTTGCTAATTTTTTCGTGATGGCTTATGACTAATCATCTATTACATAAACAAAAAAAAAAAAACCTAATGTATTTTCCACCGTAGTTTGTTCCAACTGGACGGGATACTGCCTGTGTTAAGGTATTACGTGACATAGAATCCGGAGAGGAGATAACCTGCTTTTACGGAGTAGACTTTTTTGGTGATGACAACTGTTACTGTGAGTGTGAAACGTGCGAACGACGTAAAACTGGTGTCTTTGCAAAACAAAATCCAGAAGACGAGTCAGAGTCAGGTTTGTAAATTTATTAATCACGAATCAACAATTACAAATAAGTTATGTCTTGCTTAACGTGCAAACGTATGGCCTTTGTTTATAAATTCAGCTGCTTGTTGATCATTTTTATTTACCTCTACTTATCATTAATTTTTTACTTGCCAGGTTATCGGTTGCGAGAAACAGACAATCGCATTAACCGCACCAAACATAGGCAGCAACCTCTAGGAAACGCGAATAAACAGCAGGAGGGTAGTACCTTATCAGAACGTAACATCGAAATTAGCAGTAATTTAACTGTGGCGCCGCAGTCATTGAATATGAAAGAGATGAAACAGCGTGGTCTCACAAAATACGACGCCGAACTTTTGATAGCTCAGGGTTGTCGCTTCTCGGATGTAGACCAGAAGCGGGGTGGTCAGAGCGTACCGAGCTCAGCCACACGAACCCTTAGAAACAAGAATCAAGCAAACAAGACTGAAAGTAATATTAATAATAATAACAATAACAATAACAATAGTAACAATAATCAGGACAACCTTAAGGGCTGTCAGCGTTTGAGGGCTTCCAGGTAACTATCATTGATTATTTCGAAATTAATTGTTTACTCTAGCTTTATGCACAACGATTCTGTTATTTTTGCAGGCTACAAAAAAAACCAGAGGTTAAAAGAAACAAGAACAATGGCACGCATCACGGCGCAATGTATGTCCGGCATCGCAAAGAGGACTCTAACAGAGGGGAGGCTGATGAGAATTGTATTTTTTCGAATCACCATAAACACAGCAATCAAGAATCGTCCAGAGATCGTAGTAGCAGCGATAACTGTCACGTGCGAGACCTGCGCTCGACGTCAACGGATAAGCACGTTGATAACTGCTCACTGGGAAGTGAGAGCTCTGAAAACGATCGCAATTTTTTAACACACAGTACAAACAACTCCTTTAGTCCAAGTCATCATAGCCTCGTTCCGAAAATCAAACACTTGACAGATAATTTCACCTCAACGCATCATTGTTCAAAGAATAGTCTTAAAAATAATCAGTGTAATGTGAATGTGGACTTAAAGTCGGATTGTGATAACGAAACGATAAAAGACGCGAGTTCGAACAAAGCCTATGACCGACTGTTCATAAGTGACAAAAAATCGTGTAACAAGTTTAGTGATAACGTGTCTTACGACATCAACTGCCGAAAATCACCGATTCATGGCAAGGCGCCTCGAAACTCGCCTTTCCCTGACACCAACGAGTTTGATTCCATCGAAGGTTCAGCTGGTGAGACTCTCGAGTCCAAGATGACCGCAGATTATGATCAATCTGCAATGAATTCCACAGAGCCATCAAATGCTTTGGAGTATCGCGATGCAAATTCACTAGACGACAAATCTTGGTTTTCCAGTGACATTAAAGATTGCGCCAAGACTGCCAAGATCGTAAATAGTGTTCAGGACGAGTGTTTTTTATCCGATGTTAAATCTGAAGTGCCAGTCGTGGTTGCCGATGCTGATGTGAGCAAAGTGAGTGATACCTTAGTACAAAGTGAAAAATTTTCGGAAGATTTCGCGTTCGAAAAAGCAGAAGACACGCGTAGTCTGACGATTAAGAGATGCAACGATGTGGCGCAGCGTTCTCGCAAAAATCAAACGAAAAAACCAACAGCGTCGCGAGGTAAAGCGAGAAAAACAAAAAACGGCCGGTACAGTTTTGTGGACAGATCTAGTGCACGATTGACCAGGAGCCAAAAGAAAGATTCTCAGCAAACGGCCGTGACGGCGATCAGTGCAGCGGACGACGATTCGGGCATTCAAGGGGATATTTATGAGTTCAGTGAAAAAGAGAGCAATCTCGATGATGTTCAACTGCCAAAAAAGATGTCGCAGTTAAGGGAGAAATTAAACGAAGCTAAGGAGGCGGTTACAAAAACGTCGACTCTAGACTGGCAGAGATGTGAGAACGATATCGTTAAGTGCGGCAAAGACAGAAGGTCAAAAGAAGATGAAAAAGAGTAAGTTTAATTTTGATATAAAATATTGAATCAAATATTTCGTTGATGGCTTCAATCGTTCTGAAACCTACTTTACCGATCGTCGGTAAACATTGTTGCTAGTTTGCAAACAATTTACTTTTATCTATCTTACTTTTGACAGTAGCCAGAGCGAAAACAGAAATAATTCTCCGAATAACCCACCATCGTGGCAAGTCCAACAGTCGCAATCACAGTCTTCTCTAGAAAGCGCAGAGAGCAAAGCGTATCCAGCCACCCCAGAAAAATCGAATCACGTGAAACTGACGCTCCGCATGAAACGTTCTCCCATCCTGGATGATATAATTGAATCTGGTACAAGTTTAAGCGAGGACTGTGGTAACGACTGCGGTTTAGTCCCAGAGTACGAAGTGTTGCGGGTCGAAGGCGTGGACGAAGATGAGACGATGCTACAGCAACAACAGCATCAACAGCGTAAAAAGCACAAAACTCGGGATAAGGAGAGGCGGCACAAAAAACGATTCGAAGCTATCAGTGTACCGCCTCCTCCGCCTATGAAGCGCATCCGGCTCATCTTCGGTAACGAGACTCACACCATCAACCTGCCGCCACATTCCTAACGTACGGGGAACGAGCAAGGATAGCGCGAGACGATTAACGATGATTGCTCCAGCGATGACGACGAACGTAAAAAAGAACGCGAGCTACTTGACCGTTATTTTCGATCTATGTTCTGTTGAATGAAAAATTGATTTGTGATATGTTGCACTACTAGTATTTTTGACTCTATTATATATATATGAGTGTTCGTGTGACTAACTAATATTCTTTGGTTGACTGTAAATTAAACTATAGATCGAAAGTAACTACAGAGCATCATTGTCGCTAACGACCATCGTTTTTAAGTCAGTAAAACTGTGAGGGTCTTGTAAAGAAAAATTGCAACTCACACATTCACAAAAAATTGCATATGTGTTTTTGGTAGACTGAATCGTGAAATCTTGAATCAGTTGTATGCCCAAGCAGTATATTGACTCTCAATTCTGCTATACTTGCATTAATAAAAAAAACGATATGGGCCTACTGGGAGACATTTCTGTAAAGTAATGCGCCGCTTTTAATTAATTAAACAAAAAAAAACTTCATTTAAACGTTGAAAATTTATTTTTTTATTTTTTATTTTTTTTTTTTTTATAATCTGAAGGCTACAAATAATTGTAAATACGTAGAAAAATTTAGGGAGATTATTTTCTAAATATCATTTTCGATAATCTTATACAATACAGTAGGTAATTCATGTTATGCATCTAGTATCTTATGACAATTGTTTCTTATATAGTTGTTCGGAAGCTACGTAAGATTATCTTTCTATGAATATCATGCTGTCAGTTTGCCCATTAGTTAGTCAAGTAGGTAAAAGAAATAATGTTGTGTTAATTTTTGCAAAGATCCAATACTTTTATTCTTTGCGGAAATCGAAGAATCATGCAAGTACGTAAGCGTATTAAGTTCTTACACTATGTATAAATATTAACAGTAACGAAACTAATTTCAATGAATTTAATGAAAGAAACACGCCTTCTACATCTTAAATTATCATTGAAAGTAAAAATTTGTATGATTTTTAAAAAGCACTAAATGTTTCAAGAAAATTTTTATCTTTTTTTCATGACAAACAATCGATATGCATAAATATGATACCGTAATTTTACAACTTATATTTTATGTTATATTTCATATCAGAGAATAGTTTCACAACTGCATCTAGAATGGTTTGTCAAATATTTTTTAAAAATTTATTTCGTTACTCTTGATTTGCATCAACATGACACTACTGAAAGAACAGTTATCAACTTTATTTTCTGTATCATAATTAAATTTTTACTATATGTATATATTATGTGATAAAGCTATCACAAGTATTGAATATATAACAAATCAATTTTTGGATTTATGTAAATTAAATGAATTTTACAAATAAAAACGTGGTAAAAAGCCACACTTTTGCATATAAGGCACGACTGGTACATTAATCACCAGAGCCTAAAGTGTATTACGTCATACATAAATATTTATTTGATGTAAAATAATTTTTTGTAAAATTTTGTTGCTAAGTTTTGTTTTTGAGACTTAATTTTTTTGATACTGGCAAACACTAATTTTTTATTTTTTTATTTAAATTGTTTCGATTTAGATGGATTATAGAAACATTATTTTTCATATAAATTTTCTGAGTTTACAAACTTGATGCATAATTAACCCTAACATCATTTGCACCACTGATTATTAAAATTTTTTTTACACCAAGAATAGACAATTAATGTGTGGTTGCACATTTTGATGTGGTGAAAAATCACTGTGTGGGGCGGTCGTACCTTAAAACATTGCAATGCTTATTATCTACGACTCAAAAAAATATTTATTCAACTGAAATCATTTTAAGAATATAAAAAATTAGCTTATTTTTCTGTGACGATTCATAATTTTAAATTGTCGCACGGTATACAGCCTGCATATATTCGTGATAGCTTTTAATTTTTTAATAAGTAACAATTCTCTAAAACTAATAATTGGCTAACATCTTTTTTTGAAACTTTTAATATGAATAAGCATTATACTTGAAATTTAAATAAAATATACACCTAATGAAAATACAATAATTAAGCTTTTCAAGCTTAGTATTCAGTAAACACGTAACAAATTATGATGTCGCTATTAAACTACGTCGTCCACTCACGAATGTCCAATTTCTTGTTTACGTAATACACTATTGACATCTCTTAAAGCAATCAATCTAAACGTTGAAAACGAAATTTTAGAAGATGTTAAGGCAGAACTAGCAAAGAATGAGGGAATCAGTTTGTAGAGAATTGTTGTCCAATCAACAATTGATACAACATCACAGTTATACATAAAAGGAATCGTATAAATAAATATATTTATGCATATACATAATATACATACAGAAGTAAATACAATAGCCAATAATAATAATAATAATAATAAATAAAATAAATTCAAATACATAAAGTATAAGCAATGTAACATATACGCTATGCATGATTATAAAATGCAGTTAATAAATTATTATAAAAAATTTAATTGATTATAGGTTCTTTTGAGAAGTGTGTAAGTGTGTAAAAATTGCCTCTCACAAGAAACAAACAACAATTGTGATATATATATATATAAATACAAATACATATAGTCCTATTGTCTATAATTTTTCGTTCAATTCTAAGCGAATTAGCGTATAAAATAAAAGCGAACCCTAGCAAGTATATTCTAGGAAAATAGAAAAAAATGTAAAAAAAATTCCTAGAAAATGAGATAAGAAATTAAAATTACACAATACTAGACGTAATAATCGTTGAATGAATTTTGGGTTATTGGATGAGCATAACAAATGTTAAAAAAATTTTCGCTCATTAGACATTTAGAATCATAATACAATAATTTAAATAAAAGAAACTAATATAATTTAGTTATTTAGTCTTTCCCACGTAACAGGGGAAAACAACACGTATTTTTGTCACATCCGATACATTAAATACTGGGCGCCTTCAGCTTGGTGGCATTCTTTTTATATTTTTATTGCGTTTCAGACAAGCTTGTGATAGTAGAAAATGTATTGACTACTGAGATTTTTGGATGCTGCCATTTTTTTTAGTTTTTTTTTTTTAGGATTTTATTGTGTAAAATCGTTTGAGGGACTAAATGTTAAGCTCGTGTGATTTTTTTCTTATATAATTTTACATACTTTTAATCATTAATTTTTAATTTTGTGTATTTTTTACAAACAGTTGTAAATAAGAGTACTGTTATCTAATCGAGTAACATTACACATATCGTAGCAATTTCATTTTTAGTTACGATTTTTATTAAACCTCAAAAAATTTTCGATCTCTATATTGGTTAATAAATGTTTACAGGAACAAAGTTTTGTGTTTTTATTTCGCAAACTTTTGAACAAAATTTACGTTCTTAAATTGTATGTGTTAGTAAGACTTAAAAACAAATAGTAAATATAAAGCATCATTTATTCATAAATATTCATGCTATTAAGCGGAAAGTTTGGTTGGTTGAGTAAAAGTTTGCCATCAAGCTGAGAGTTATCTAGAAATATTCTTGAAAGAAGCCCTACTCACTGCCACTAGAGACGTAATTATTTTTATTTTTAAGTAACACCCCCAAGCCACCTTTCCTTTTTGTACATTGATAAACAAATTTCATGATTTTTGTATTGAATGCAAAAAAAAAAAAGAAAGAAAAAAAAAGGAGGTAGATCATGTCGGTTCTCAGATTTGTAAATACGTTGTGGAGAAAAAGAAATGCTAGATGCTAATGACACTTACGATTAACTAGCACGTCATGTATTTTATTTATTTTATATTTTCTACTCGTTCTAAACGACAAATGCCCTGTCTCGTTTTTTTAGTGCGCACAACAAAATATTTGTGTGACTTGTAATTTTAATCTAATGTAAAAGATTAAATGTTTGTAAATTCATTAGTGTTATTTACGGATGTGAGTTTTTTAATTTATTTTTCATTTTGTATTGGTTAGTTATTATTATCGCTCTTGCAAAAAGTTGCGTGAATTAAGTTTGCAAATGTTCATGTCAATGTTTATTATTTTTAATGAATTATAAAATAAATGAATGCAGTATTTATGGCTGAATTTTTTTATCACTTTCGTAAAATTCTTTTTTTTCTCTAAGTATATACCCTAGCGCGCTGCTATACGGAAGCCGGGGGTCGTACCATGTAACTATTTTTCAGTACATCGGCCTATTTATGTTATAACATATAGGCCTGCAAAGCAAAAAAAAGTTATATGGTACGGACCCGGGTCACGACACTAGAAACGCAAAAGAGTGCACGAAAGCGCGCACACAAGTTGCAAGGCGGACGATTTCTATTTCATTTACATGAGTACTGCAGCTTATAATTGTTACTCAAGTTACTAGTCAATTACAAGTCAATTAGTACTCAAGTAAATGAAATAGAAACCGTCTGCCGTGCAACTTGTTCTTATGCGTGCTTTGTGCTTAATAAGCACTGCTTATGCGTTTTTATGCAGATGTCGTGACCGGGCTTCCGTACACGCTGCTTTTGGGCACGAGGCGCGCGAGCTTGAATTTGTCAAATATGTTCCAAAATTGGAATGATGTACTATTTCGGAACGAAACTGTCAAGTCTCTCTCACCTAACGACCTAACCTATGGTGTATACTTTAATTAGATACACGTGCGTTGATTTGGTGATGTCTAATATAGAAAATAACGTAGATATTTTGTTTAATTAAAGATAAATAATTAAAATATCCATATGACAACTTTTACAGATTTAAAGCTCAAAAAATGGTTAATAAAACAGTGCGATGCAATGGGTAATTTTTGCATAAATTTGTGTGTAATTAAACTTTGTTGTCTCTATTTTTGAAATATAATTTGACTTTTAATCACAAGGTTTGCACAAACCAACACCGATCCAGCAAAATTGTATTCCAGCTATATTGGAAGGTAGAAACGTCATAGGTTGTGCTCAGACAGGTAGTGGTAAGACACTAGCTTTTGCACTTCCAATTGTTCAAACGCTTGCTGAGGATCCGTATGGCATTTATGCTTTAATTTTGACGCCGACTAAGGAACTTGCTTTTCAGGTAATTGTTAAAATTCTTGATATGTATTGCGTGTTGAGTTCTGCAACGTTGATGAGCCCTATTTTTGACAGATAGCAGATCAGTTTGCCATAGTAGGAAAGTCTATGAATTTGAAGAAATGTGTTGTGGTTGGTGGGATGGATATGGTAATCCAAGGACAGGAATTGTCTAGGCATCCTCATATTGTCGTGGCAACACCTGGTCGTTTGGCAGATCATTTAGAAAGTTGTGATGAATTCACATTGAAAAAAATCAAGTATCTTGTTTTTGATGAAGCTGACAGATTATTGGAAGATCACTTTCATGATCAGTTGTCTGTTATAAATAAAGCCCTTCCAAAGGAAAAGCAGATTCTCCTTTTCAGTGCTACTATAACTGAAAAAATAGAAAATGTAATGAATGTCAAAACAAGAGATTTTTTTGTTTGGAATAGTAATACAGATGATAACATAGCCACAGTTAAGCAACTGGATCAAAGAATAGTGACTTGTCCAAAAGAGCCAAAAGATGCTTATTTGGTTGAAGTGATAAGGATATTCAAGGAAAACAACAGTGGATCAATTATAGTATTTACTGATACTTGCAAGTATGATTACTTCTACATCATAATAATAATATCGGTGTTACATGATAAATCATTTAATTGAAACTCAATTTTTCAGAGAATGCCACTTGATATCAGTAACGTTAAATAGAATTGGTTTTGATAATTTTGCTTTGCATTCCAAAATGAAAATGAGGGAACGCTTGGCTGGTCTGACCAAATTCAAGTCCAATCAAACAAAAATTTTAATTGCCACTGATGTGGCATCTCGAGGTCTTGATATACCCATCGTTTCTCTGGTTATCAATCACAACGTTCCAAATAATCCAAAAGATTATATACATAGGGTCGGTAGAACTGCTCGTGCAGGAAAATATGGCATGTCAATTACTTTGGCAACGCAGTATGATTTGCATTTGATAGATTGCATTGAAAAAATGATTAACACTAAGCTCAAAGTGCTCAACGTCGATGGTAAGTTTATAAAATTTATTATTTTTTTTTTATTTGTAACTGATTTTTGAACGTTTTTGTAGATCAAGAAATAGTGAATATTTTTACACAAATCTCAGTAACAAAACGCGAAGCTGAAATTGAATTAGATGAAGCAGATTTTGATGAAAAGAAAATGATCAACAAAAGAAAAAAATTAATTTTGGGAGGATGTGACCCACATGAAGCTGACGAAATTATGCAAGAACAAAAGGATCGAAGATTAAAGAAACCAAAACCAAAGCCAAAAAAGAAAAAGAAACTAATTATCGAGGAAAAGGAAAAAACAAATGGTGAAGAAAAAGAGTCTGATTAGCTTAAATTCAATTGTTACAGCTTACATACCCATGTACATTGAAGATATACAAATATACCTTTTTAATATTTTATGATAAGTGTGAGTAAATTCTGTGATTTTTATTTACTTCCATTTGTTCTTTAAAAAGTAAAATATTCTTTTGTCAGACTGGACTTGTAAATGAATATAAAGTTGTTGATTAATGATGTACTAGGTACTAGGTAAGTAAGTAGAAACGAATTAATTGGAAAATGCGACGTTGCACTGGCCAAGTGTTTGTGAGTCTCATCAGGTGGAATTGACACTACTAAATTAACAATTGTGTATTTAAAATTATGAAGGATGTTTTTAAATACACTACTTTGGATTTGTAAATAGAATTTTCTAGCAGTAACTATTGGCTTTATCAATGTAGTGTATAGTTTTATTTTATCGTACATCATTTGTAACGTACAATATGTCTGCAAGTACATGTTATGAAGTTGGCATTTGTCTTTTTTACGAAAGTATATGTAAATGTAAATTAACAACACGATGGTAGGAAGTAAAAAAGTAATTATTATTAAATAACATGAAAAATCCTTTGTAAATTAAATCAACGGCGAATAAAAATTCGAAGGAATTTTTCATCTCTTCAGAGCCGGGCACGAAATTTTTCATCGTTCCTTATGAGCTGCAGTTTGTTCAAGAAAGAGTAAAGTTCCGCTATGTACTCTTTAGGCTCGGATCGAAAATGTCCAACGTGGGGTGTATTTTCAAACAACTTCACATGCGTCTGAGAAACATTATTTAAAATTGTAGTATTTAAGTTTTTTTTTTTGTTTTATTTAAGAAAAAATCATTGCCATAACGTTACCTCCGTGCCTAAGGAATCCCAAGAATCTCGAACCCTCATGTTACTTTTGTAGGAACCGACGGGATCGGTCTTGCTGACGAAGAACAAAGCCGGCGAGCGTACCAAATTCAAGTGGAACAACTGACTGGATCTTCTGTAATATTGCGTAGCTTGTTTTTCAAAAGTTACCATGTGAAACCTGCAAAACAACAAACCGATAATTCAGCAAGTGACGAACGGTTCCTCCTATGTGAAGGATCAACAAAAACCGAACACCCACTCAAGATACTTTCGCATCATGTTCTCCAGCACCCGATTGTTCGGGAACATCGCTTTGGGCGTACCGATCGTTATTTCGCTAATGTCAGCCGCGCTGTCCCACACGTGGCCGACAATACGATCGATCACCTGGTCGTATCTTTTTCGGTCCTTGTGCACAAAGTCGAGAAGCTCGCCCCACAGGTAACCACCGATGGAGAAGCCGTGCAGCAGTATGCGCTCGTAATGCTTGTTCTCATCCAAGATCTGCAGCAGATCAAAGGCTGTAGCCTGTGGAAGCGCGAAAGAAGAAACAAATATTAAATATCTCATCTGTGAGTTCCAAGGGATTAATGTTATAAAGATCGTTGGCGCGTACTTTGGAGCCATTAACTGGCCACATTAGTTGCCAGGGATTGATCGACACCGTCACGACGTCAAAGCCCTGTTCCAAGTACAAATTGGCGAATTTCATGATGTGCGGCTTTTTCGACAATAACCAGCACAACAGAACTAGCAGGGGACGATTTTCGTCTTGCTTGAGACTGGTGATTTTTTTCGACTCTGCAACAATGACCGGTTCCTCCGTCAGCAGTTCGATGTTCTTGGTGAGCTGCTGAGTGTGCAAAAAGTTGCAAGCGACGAAGCCAAAGACCTGTGTGTGCGATGATTTTGCATTTTATTATTATTTTTTTTTTTCTTTCGAATTTTCACACCATATTATATTATATGCTTTGAACAAAAAAAGTGAAACAACCGTCTTACCATGTTGTTCCGACCTCGAGGTCTCGACTTGGGAAAGGCGTATGCGCCAAAACGAGTCTTCGCAAAGCTGCTAAGGGCTCTCCGCAGTGCGTGTGCCATTTTTGGCCGATCTGCTATCTCTTTCACCCGCTTAGTTAGCTGAAACCATATAACGTGTAAAAATGTACATGACAAGCTGGACGAGTTGTTCCATCGGCTCTTTATTTTTACCGAATTATCAAATAAATATTATTCGCTGCGGTCTATAGACAACTAACAAAAGTTTGCTGAGATAACTTTTTTCTTTTTTTTTCTTTTTTACGAAACAAGCCTCCTCCGAATAGTGCGATAAGCGTTACTTGAACTCGTTCTGACAATTTATGATTGACTACTTTAATTGTACCTCAAGTTTTCTTAATGAAAAAAAAAAAAAAAAAAAAAAAAAAAAAAAAAAGTATTACGAAAACTGAAAAAATGTCGGTACTCCGAGCTGAAGAGCAGAATTCAACGATACAAAAAAATGTTTCAAGCACAAAAAAAAAACTATTCTTTTCAGCGCGACAATTTATCTCTTTTGGCTCACGTGTTGGTCACGCTGATGAGCGACAAGTCCTTTATATATGCACGTGAGGATGGCGTGCGCAAGAGCGCTTTTTACTGCTGATGGCAATGCTAGTTTTTCATGGAAAAAAATAAAAATAACCCATGAGTGCCTATTATCTGGGTGTGATTTGCTGATAATTTTTTTCCTGGAACATGTTTTATGTATGTGCTCAAAAGAGAAGCTTTACAATCGCGTGTACACAACGAAAACTCGCGCATCAACAACCCGTTTTCTCTCCAAGTGTAAGTACTTAGTCAATCGTCACATAAATTCTGCTACCTTAAAAATTGTATTGTTTCAAATTTCTGAGAGAAAATGAGGTCGGTTTTTTTTTTTTTTTTTTTTTAAGTCAAGTCGAGAACTTATTTCGTAACATTTTTTTACCATGTTTAATTAACGCTGAAAAAATTTGTTCATTTCAGATAACAATAAATATTATCGGTTATCTATTTTTTTTTTTTTTTTTTTTTTTTTTTTTTTTTTTTTTTTTTTTAATAGCTTTGCTACACCATACTATTGAAATGTATCTTACATTTAAGATACTAATTTTATGAAATTTTCAATAATTAATGAATCGTTTAAAACGTTTCATCGTTTTTATTTTTAATCTGTTCATTGATGAACATGTGAGAACCCATATTTTGATTGATAGTATACATTAGCTTATGTAAGATTAATTAAGCAAAAGATCTATAAACTCGTAAATTGTATTTGACTCGAAATGATAAGATATTTATTTATCACTTGATCAATAATGTATGATTATATTGTAGATAAATAGTAATCAACGCATTGTTAATCGAAACAATTTTTGTTCGTCAGCTGTTATTTTATTTTTGGAAATCAAAGGAAATGTCTTTCTGTTAATGCGATCGAGTACATTCCAATACCAAACAATTAATAAGCCTTTAATTTGCTCATCGCGTAATTGAATTTTCACGCGCGTAATTTTGCATAAAATTTGATGAACACAAAAAATATCTATCATTTTTAGTACGAAAAATATTATTTCAAGAAATGTAGAATTCGTTAAAAAAAAACCTCCGCTAAATACGGTAGATAATAATTACTATGCCGTTAATGTAAAAATAATGATATTTTAACTGTTTGCAGATAATCGCTGAAACAAATTATTATAGCGAAACTGAAAGTCGGAGCTTCTTCAGAACGTGAATCGAGCCATGTAAAATTGAATACAAGACCCAACAATTGCTGAGCTATTCGGGACGTCTCGTTGGCAATTAAATCGAATCTTGCTAGTCCCCATTGTTGTTAATCCTTGCGCCCAGCTCTTCGATACTAATACAAAAGTTATGCATACCTCGCCATTATTATAAATAAAAAAAAGGTCAAAAAATAAATGTAAATTTCCGAATTTTCTGTAATTTTTTAATCAAATGAGACCACAGAGTATTTTATATAAATATAATAAAAAGTGATACATGTAATACCAGAGTAGTAGTCTACTGCTCGTTAAATATATACATGCACATGTTAGTACTTAATGAAATATTTGCAGCACGCGAGTTCGAGGTTCGACAGACAGACCCTTGTGTATATACACACTCGCGGTTATAAGTACGGATATACCTGTATTTATGAGATTGTGTGTCTTTCTCTTGCATCCACGTCTGCAAAACACATGCAATGATGAAAAAAAAAANTTACGCGCACAAAGTGGGACGTCGACCTGTTAAAAATACACGCGGGTTGCAGCGAAAAGAAAAAGAAAAAAAAAAAGAAAAAAAAACTTGACTTTTTTCGATTAAATTTTAAGGTGTTATTTTACACTCACGAGATTTGCAACAGAGAAAAATTCTCTCCTGGTCCTCGTTGCGGAAGCACTTCGTTAACAACACTTCCAAGAGGTAAGTAGGTGTGCTGTTGGTAATACCCAGCTGCACTACAAACTACAACTGCAGCTCGGTCTTTCTGATGGTGCGTGCTGAGCTTGTTGCCACTTTGCCTCACTCTCCTCTCCCTCTCTTACACTCTTCTCTTTTACTTACTTACTATAGTGCCATACTGCTGCCGATAATGATAAATTTTCTTTGATACAAGTACACCGCATCAGATAACACACGCCTTTAACAATAAGATTGATACAATAGATTGTTCATTACGTCATATGTCCAAAGATTCCTCGAAAGCATTCGCCAAAAAAGATTTTTATTCTGATTGACAAATGTATTTATTTGAATTTTTAACTGTTGTTGTATAAATACATACAAAATCTCTGTGTATTATTTATATAGCTGAAGGTGTTTTGTGGTACCACTATAGTATGGGTTGGTTGTACCGCTACAGGGGGTTGCAATGTTGCATACGTGTCAACGTCAACACATATATTATATGTATCTCTGATTCCACAAAGAGAAACATTATCTGTATTAAATTCCATTTCATTTTTTTACACCTCAACTTAAACAATTTAAAAATTCGTGCAGTCATAAATTGAATTTATTCCACATTCGGCGTAAAAATAAAATATTAAACGGTAAAACCGGTGTACGTAGAATGTATGTTCTGGTTCCTTCTCTTCCTTTGGCGAATGTCCTTTGATGAACTTTAATTGTGCATTGCGTTGTATGAGGTATAGCATATGCGCGAGAAAACATTTTATCACGCAACTTAATTCATATTGATTATATTATAAATTGTTAATAATAATAATATGTATGGTAAATTATTAAATAAAAGTAATACGAGTTATTGGTTGCTTTCATTTATTACAGATATTTTACAAATACTGACAATAAATAAGACGGTATGGTTTTTTTCTTTATATTCACTCGTTTGTTCGTTTTTAAAAATTTTATGTGTACATGTGTAAATTTGTGCCTTCCACTTATTGTTATTTCGATTTTTTTTTCCAACCCACAACGCAGGCCACGTTACTCTCTTATTACTACTTTTCACTTTGAATACATTGTTATTGTTATTATTAAACGTTAAAATTAAAATTTCGCACTTTCATATTGTGATGTGTTGTATATACATATGGGGATGTGTGATTTATTTTATTTATTTAGGTACTCGTATTATTGCTACCGGGTGAATTCAACACCATAAATGTCGCCAAAGTCGAGCTTCAGAAAATAACGAAAAGAAAAAAATTTCTCTTTCTTGACTAATAACTTGGTCGTTATGCCATTTAAACAGGCGCTACTGGTATACGTTTTATGCTATACTATTAATGTATACGTTAAAATTACGACGCGTCGCACAGTTTTCTCAACTTTTGTCACTATTATCATAATCATCAAATTTTTTTCTTCTTTCGTTCTTTCGAAGTAATAAGTTACTTAATGACTATTGATATCATTGTTTGTAATTTTTTCTTCTTTTTTTCTCTCAAATACATTTTTGTTCCATAAAAAACACTCATTGTTTATATATAGTCACATTTACAAAATCTAGACTTGTATTTCATGGACGTATTTTAAGGCAGCACACATCGGCAGGGATGATTTTTGTGGTAGGTATCAATTTCCTGTTTATATACGTAAATCATACTTGTGTATTTTAGATTGTGCTAGTTACAGAAAAATAAATACTGCACGTCAATGTTATTATTTTTATTCAGTTTTTTTTGTTTTTTTTTTTTTGTTTTTTTTTTCTTTTTACCAAGAAGAGTACTCGTTTTAAAAATTTTTCAAGAGAAATATTCAAGCAAATACAAAATGTATAAAAAAGATATATTTTATTTGCCGAGCATTTTATTGCTGGACAATTATCGAAAGAGGAAAATACTACATGCCCTCATTGGTGTGAACTGTACCTTTTTATTTAGCAACAAATATCGAAATACGGATTACCTTTCGTTCAAATTAATTTTCTATCTAAACACTTCCTAGAATACTAATTTCCAAACTTCATGAAAAAACCACTAAAACAATAATTATTTGTCTTAAAAATATATTAACAAAAGTTTCACAGTTGAACATACTTCTTTTCAATAAATGAACAATTGATCGTATTGGTTACCTCAGTCGTATATATATATATTACAAGAAGTCAATACTCGTATGACGTAACAGTTACACATTTCACGATGTTACACGAATAAAAAATAATATACAAAAGACGAAGAAAGAAGCCATAAGGCTATAAAACTAATAGTTCAGACTCTAAAATCTCTTCTTTTTTTTTTCTTTGCTATGCCACCTCGAGATATTTATTTTTACACAAGAAAATTTTTTTATCGATTAATAATGTCTCACGTACACTTACACTTACAAGATCGTAACTAAGTAAACGATATGTCATGATTAAGCCATTAAAAAAAATTTATTAAAGTTAATAAAAAATCATTTTGAATTTCGAACTAATTGAATAAAAAAAAACAACAAGTAGTCCAGTTCACATACAAAAAATTTGACAACCCTTCAACGTATCAATGGAAAAAGATTCATTATTTCCTTATAGTTAATTATGTAAATAAAAAATAATTCTTTTTCTTTGAATAAACAATATCGTTTTCAGAACCAAGTACTCACAAGTACGTTACAAAACTTGTGGACGAAAAATAAAATGATTGCACTGACGCGTTTTATGCAAAAACGCGTGTAAAAGACACGGAAAAAATACTGAGAGTGAACACTGGAAGAAGTTGTACATGTACACTATTTCAGTGTGTACGTGATAGTAATTTGATGATGCTGCTCGTACATAACGCAAAGAATCTTAATGAATATTTGTCGTAATTATTTAATGGTAAAAGAAACAATAAAAAATACTTCAAGAATAAAAGCTACTTATACGTTTGCAAAGAAAATTCAATCGCACAACAACGTAGCTTCTATCAAGAAATACTGTTTCAAATTTCTTTGATAAATTCAAAAAATACACCGCATTTTTAAACAAATGGCAGTATACAAACATTGCACGAAATACCAACAACGAGTATAATCGGTATAATTGCATTAAAATTACTACTTAATCGATTACCAGTCATGTTTGAATTATATTTTTTATGCGTATTCATGGCAGTTGATTCGTTAATTTTATTTTTCCTAACATTTAACGACGTCAATCGACAAAGATCGAGCAGTGGATTCCTATGAACTATACTACTTTATTATACATTGTGTGCGCGTGTAACGTATATAGCTTTTTTGTTTATTCACAAAAAAGTGTTGTGTAGATACATACATCGTTTTTTTTTTTTTTTTTTTTTTTTTTAATTTAATTGCTTTGGCTCTAACGAGCTGTGTGTGTAAAGGAGCTTTGAAACACCTGGTACCACCAAATAATTTGGAAAAATCTATCATTATTATAACAATTAAATGATTATTCTCTAAAAGCACTAAGAAAGGGATGACACTGACGAGTAAGAGTATGTTTCGTGGCTTGCTATTGTAGCTGTTAATTGAAATTGCAATGTTATTCTCAAAACTATTGTGTCACTAAAGCTGATGCGTTTAAAATCAAAATGGCATCTCGTAAAAATATGTTAGTAGCATAAATGGCGATAGCCACTTTGTATAAAACACAATATAGATACACTTTTGCACCCAATAGTTCCTTCGATTGGTTTGAACCGGTTATTTTTTTCCATTCCTAGAGCAGTTTTTAGAGGTGTGACAAAGATCTTTGAATAAGAATTTTTGTTCAAGAGGGGTGGTTTTTTGATGAAATAAGTAAAGGACAATTATGAATTTTACTGCCGTTGTAAAACAACTTTTTGACCTTGGACGAAAAAAAAAAAAAAATCAATTCGGCGTTAAAGCTCGTACTAAAAATAAAAGGAACCAGAAAACAACCAGAAATGGTTAATGATCATTGACAAGCTCAATAAGCATGAAAATTACTTTTAAATTAAGCTTATTACGTAAGAGTGGTATGCATGTATAAAAATAAATCACTGGTATTGGTTTATGTACAAAAATAAAAATTAGCAGTTTTATTAAAGAAAACAAAAAAAAAAACAGGAACTTATTAAGTTTACCCAGAATCATCAACAAATGTCAAATTCTGTTGCATCATGACAAATTGTAAATACTTTGTTGAAATTTCGCTGTTACTGTCACGTTGGTTCATCTATCGACTACGCGTTTTGTACAGAAAGCTAATTATAGGGGTGCCACGCCTCTGTCCTCTCCTAACATTAAGTTCTAAACATACGCACATTAGTTGCAACTGATGACGTACTTGATCGGCGACTTTCCTTCTTATCACGTACTTACGTCCAAGATTTTTTAAGAAACTATACCAGATTTTTAATACATCCATTGCGCCAAAAATTGTTTGATAAGTGCAATTTTCATAAATCTCTTTTTCGTTTGAATAAGTAATAAAAAGTAGAGTCAAACTTATTTACTAACCTTTGAGCTTGTGACTTGTAAATCACATTCGATCGTTTCAATTCATTGTTAAGAAAATGTTGCATCGCAAAAAGGATGAATTTCTACAAAATATTCAACCATCTTTTACTATGCTAAATAAAAATTACTCAAACAATTGTAATACTTTTCAATTAACAACAACCATGAAAACCAAATTTCATAGAATATCATCCTCATGAGAAATAAACAAAAAAACCGCAGATGATTGTTAGCCTTGTATGTATGTACAGCACGGATGAAGCGGCTCCTCATGAGTTCTTTGTTTAGATGCAAGTTTCCAGGAGTAAAGCTGGGTCTCAGAAGGCCTCGACGAAGCTGGCCGGGAAGAGCCCGGTGCGTCCGGTACGCTGTTGCGTTCCTTTGTACCAGCCGTCGTCCCGTTTCTTGTGTACGTAAATTATATCACCGACTCGTAATTCAAGCTCGAATTCGCTGTTTGGTGGGTAGGGTACGATACAACGAAATCGATAGACTCGCTCTCTGTAAGGCAAAACGTAGAATTTGCATCATAAAATATTGCTTGAGTATTTACGTGTTCAGAGAGCTGAATAATTCGATACTGACCGATCCCTCGTTAACGATTGTTGCTTTACGTGTTTGCCAGTTCCTGCGTCCAGTGAATTACTTTTACGGTGGTGATTGCTCAACGTGCCCGTGCCACCAGATTCAGCGGTCCTGAATTTTTTTTAAAGTTTATTTTTGAACAACGCGAGAGATGTATTGTTCTTTTTGTAATAACATCCCTCCATGAACAATCTTGATTAGATCTCAAGTTTTAGAAAAAAATTTTACGTTTACAAGGGACAAAGCGTTGTTGTTTTTTTTTTTTTTTTTTTTTCCCATGGAAATACATATTTTTGACCCCAACAATTAAGTACAGCAGTGGAATCGATGTTATTAAAGTCGACGAGATTTGTCAAGGTCAATATTTTTCCAAAATAATAAGATGCAAATTTTATATTATAATTTCAAGATGAAAAACTCACCCACTATACATTTTTGTACTAACATGAGGGATTATAAATATATCGGTATAAACTTTTAGCCACTCACTGAATTATATAATTTGATAAAAGCTTGAAGCTTGAAACGTACATACAAATAGCATTATGGTATGTTTTAATGAAATCATTCATGCCACAGTGTTAAAAAAAAAAAAAAATCAAGACAACACTTTATGTTTGAATCGTGCGTTTTTATTTTGCATAAAAAACTTAAAACTGTGCAAGACAATTGATGTACAAAGAACACAAAATATATTCTCAATTTCAAAACTTATGCTAATCATAATGCAAAAACAAAAATTATAAGCTCATGTGTATAACATTGAAAAAGCTTTTAAGCAATTATATATTGCATTGTATTATATTATATCATACAATAATCTAAATGACGATCTAAAAACATTTCCCTACAGCCTAACGTTGCTTATCAATAAATGGCGTCCATAAGAAGGAAATAGAGAACGTACAGTACCACTGTTGTACTAACAATTATACTAACCTTTGGATGAAACTCACGGGTAAAGATGGTCTCTCTTTGTGCTTAACTCGTTGAGACGGATACGCACGTTGATGTCCTGCTGCATTGGTTACAGGAGCATTCGCTCCTTGCAGCAACTGACTCGGACACGATCCTGATCTAATTTTTTAAGCAAATGGAGTAATCCCGAAAAAATTTAACTCCTCAAAGGAAAATTAGATAATTCTAATTTGAATAGGAAACTGCTTATTTGCTAGTAAACTTTTAATGATACTTCTATCCATCCTGTCACTTATATTTGTTTCTTTTCAAGTACGATTTATGCAGAAGTCAATTGAGTCATCAGCAAATATGACCATAGTTTTGTTAAAACACTAATTGCAAAAGCACACATAACATATAGCGCACAAGATTTCACGTGATCGTGCAGTATGTAAAAATGCTCAAAGAAAACCATGCACATGGATAGTTATTGCATTTGATGCTGTCATCAGAAAAATATTAAAAAATAAAATATAGCGAGTATTGAAAACCTAAAGCTATATGACCCAAGACGTGCATGATTACTCACAAAAAAGGCAAAATACTTACCTAACATGATTAATCGATGGTGATTGACTTGTGTTGCCGTCGTCAAATACTGGGTTATCCATTGAGTAAGTTGATGGTGGAGGAGATTTCGATTTTTTAATGATTGTAAAACGGCGCATTAATGATACACCTTTTTCTTTTTTTTCTTTGACCTTTAAAAATAAAAATAAAAAATTTAACACGAATAAAAACCGTAAGTATAGCAACAAACTAACCCAGTGGATAATAAGAAATGAAAAAAACCATTTATAATTTTCTCACCTTTTCCGAAGACTTTGGCGTTGCAGCTGACGCAGATCCGCTCGATGAAGCCAATAAATGTGCATTACTAGGACTTTTACTGGCATCAGTAGTGGCACTTGATGTGCGACTACTGTTCTCAAAATTCGACATGAATGCGAGCGGCGGGTGCTTATGCGGTGAAGCTGTAATCATCACGTAAAATGATTACAGTTTATTCTTACTTTTTAATCAAGACTATGATTAAATTTCCTTACCGTAAGCGGTAGGCATAACTGCACTTTGGCTCCGACTTATCGAGGAGATCGGTATGCTTTGATCTTGGGCTAATCTAGGCGGACTTTGATTTTGACTGAGTTGTCTCGGCTGGGGCTGCCAAGCTGAAGCTCCGACCGACGCGGGACTCAAAGCTCGAGGTGGCAATTCTGGTGGGGGAAGCTTGTGTGGTTGTGGCGCTGGACCTTTGTTAGCAGCTGTAGGTTTAGTGTATGTAACAGTAGCTGTCATTGCTCTATTATCAGATGATCCGCTGCTCGATGCATTATTACTCGCCCCTGCAGTTACTGGATTAGGTATAGTGCTCGGCGATCGGCACACTGTTCGTTGGCATCTATTTCATCAGTAAGTAAATAAATTTAACTTTTTAAACTACCATGTGAGAACTTATGAGCTTATAATATTTTTCTTACGTCTTAGCAGGCGCCACGTAGTTGCCGGGAAAAACGCCGCATTTTTGAGTGCGATTGGCCGTACCTTTAAACCAACCATCTTGACACCTTTCCGTTACCATGTAAATACCACCTTTCCTTAATTCCAATTCATCAACTTTTTGCGGCCTATAAGGATAAATCGCGATATAGGCCGCAGGTAAATTGCTGTTGTTGCTACCCGAGGCTCCGCTTGATGAGGCAGTTGTTGAAGGCGCACTACTCGTCATCTGAGATGACTGAGAGATCACCAGATCACTGCTACCACTGCGTCTATGCCGAGGAGTCGGCTCACTGCTTGTACTCGTCTACAAGTTGCGAATTAAAAATTAATAAAATGATTTTCATCGAGTTCCTTGTGACAAACGTATCGTGTATGTTTTAACCACCTGGCTACTTGTTATCGCAGAATCGTCATTTGCTGCACCAGCAGTAGCACTAGCTGAAGCAGAGATCTCATCTGGATTGTGGAGAGCAGCGTCTACCGCTACACTCAAAATTTCAGCGCTGTGACGATGCTGGGGTGGTTGCTGCTGCTGATTGTTGATTGCTGTGAAACTATGCCTCTTTGCACTGTGTCGATTGTTGGAGTGTTGCATCGATGGGGCCGTGGGTGGCGACATTGCCGGACTACTTGGACTGCTTGGAGAAGTGCTTGAACTACTCGAGCTTGGGCTCGTCATCACGGGCGACGAAGTTGTTGTCGAGCTACTGCCCGACGAGACATTCGGACCTGATTCTGAGGTCGGCAGTGTAGTTTGTTGCCTAGGCTGACTCGACGCCTGAATTGTGCGTGAATGATCTGTGGGTATAAGCGGTGTGGTCTCTTCGTTCGTTGGTGTAGGTGGTGCGACTCTAGACGGTCCCGGTTGAGCACTAATTTAAGTAACAAAACATTTATTTTTGTAGTACTGCAAGGAAACAATTACATCAACGCACGCTGCTACTCACTTTGTCGAGAGTTTCATTAATGCTCTAGCAACGCTGTTTAGCTCCACAAAAGCTAAGGGAAAAATTCCTATTCTGTCAAGAAGTTTACCCTCAGCCCAATTCTCGTCGATTCTTCGAATTACGCTGATTATTTCTCCCTAATATAAAAGACAATTATTTTAGAGCTTATTACTATCAGTACTAATTTGAAAATAAATTCATTTTATACTATATAAAATCAAAACAAAACATCATAAAACAATTCTCCCGGTTTATACCTTGTTAAAAGTAAGACAGCCATCTTCTTCGTCGTTTGACATTCTGAAGTCATAGAGAGCTTTACACTGAGGAACATGTGGAGGTATGGGAGTCATCACCTGGAATTATAACATTTATAAATAGGATTATTTTTAATAACTGTAAATTTTTTTTAAACGTACCTGAACGTATGATAAAGGAAAAACACCATGACTTGTGCCACATTCTCCAAAGTACCAATTGTTATCAATTTTTTTCCTTAAAATAATAATATCTCCTTTTCTAAAGCTCAAATCTCTGCAATGAATAATAAGACACAAACATTAAAGCTATTTATCTGTTGAAAAAAATAATAACAGAAAATTAGTTTCAATATATACTAGCTTACCCTGGAACTTTAGAAACATAATCATAAATGGCATGGCCATAAGGTCTACTTTGCAAATGAACTTGTTTAGCAGCATTAACTTGTGCAGATTCAGGTGTGGCAACTGCAACTTGGGAACTTGGAGTCACTGTGAGACTTGTAGGAATTACTTGATGGCCACCCACTAATCTCTGTGGTGTACTGATGGTCTTGTTACCTTTTGGGGTGACATTTCTCATACCCTCTAAAATCCTCATGAGTAACACATTAGGTGGTAGATCTTCTATCTTGGCATTGACAAGGATTCTACACTCAGGACAACGCAACTCCCTATGTGTGCTCACTATTTCATCGAGGCACTTTTTACAAAAAGTATGCTGACACGGCAGTACTTTACTCGATGTGTCTAGCCTCTCAAGACACACCGAGCACTCTAATAGATCATTGAGCATACATTCATCCATGATTCTGATGATTACTGCAAAAAACAAAAAGTTTTTATTATTCATACGGTAAAATTATTTTTTATTTTAAATTGCAACTAGATTTTCATGTTTTATTATCTGTATTGATGTAGAACAGGTGTTTTGTTTATACCAATTTCAAAATTAAAATATAAATTATTTATTATTATTTTAAAATTGATAAAGAACTCTTTCAATTCAATGAATGTATTTAAGTTATTTATTTTTTAAACTGATAAAAAAAAGTAACTGATAGTTGCAGAGTATTGTCACAAGTTGGTGGTTAGCTTTATCACCATATAATTTGATTGAAACATTTATTTTTTTTCTTTATCATCTTTCTTGGTAAACACAGAAAAGAGATAACATCAATACGAACGTGATTGATAAAATACAAATGTCTAATGTATACTTAGATAAACTAAATAAACATAAATAGTAAGAGAAAAAAAGTGAAGACACCAGCATTGCCTAGTTGTCTAGTTCTAAAAAAAATCTAAAAATACCCTTTGTTTGAAACTTTGCGAAGGTAAAAAATATTTTTAATCAAAGTAAAACCAATCCATGTCAAAATCAATATATCATTAAAAATAAGTAAAGCTTTTTTTTATTTTTATTTTTTCAGTTTATAGAGGTCGAACCGGTCCGACCACGAGACCGAATTCCGAACGCTCGAAACACTCCAATTCTAGATAAAATGGTTGTTAAAATACAGTCAAGCAATGCAAGCAATTAAAAAAAATTATTTATCCTCGTCTGAGTTCTTGGTTATTGCTTAAATAGACATTAGCTAGTACACAACCTAACCGATGTAAACACTGGAGCGTCCGAGCCGTTTGGATCTCAGTCTCGACTGAAAATGCATCCTGGACCAGATATAGGCCGCACCAAAAGTACAGTCATCGAGAGAAACAAAAGCAATCTCACCTGTCCAGCGACAGCAACAATGAAGCAACAAAAGCTGCCGAGTCCTTGACACCGATGATCATCCATCATCATCGTCTCCCTAAAAAGTCTTACGGCACCGCACACACTGTGATCCCAATAAAAAAAAAAAGAGCCGCTCTTTTTGCTCAAAATAGAAAAGGAAGAAAGAGAGAAAAACCCAATCACTGTCTCCTGCTGATGCTGCAGAGATGAGATGACGAGAGAACACGCAACACACAGAAACTCGTGGTGGGTAAAAGTGAATCACTTTTGAAGGGACGTGGTGGAAGAGAGGCAGTCTCAAATTTTTCAAGACTTAGTATATCTGCTATATCCTCTCTTACTCTGTTATTTTCCTAATGCTCTTGTTCACTATATTTAAGTACAGCTTTAAAAAGCATCAGCTGAAAAAATCGAAAGCACCCCGGAGGGGAAACGCGGGAGCGGCAGCCACGATACGACACAACAGACGACTCCGAAATCGAGCTCCTAGTGTTAGTGCAATAGTGCACACACTATATACATAACGTTTGACAACATAGTGACAAGACAAGACAACAGTGATCTCGCAGGTGCTCACTGCTCAGAGAAGTTTAATGCAGACTCCAAATTTATACTTTGCCGTTGCTTATATATTTCTCTGTTGTTGCTCTCCGCCATTTCTTCTTCGATTACTCTCGCTCTCTATATAGCTCTAGCTCTCTTTATACACACCATTATTATTTTATACATGTATCTACACACATATCATATATATGCATGCGTATATTTAGATAAATTATAAATACATCTATTTTATAATTATCCGTCTATTGTTTGCCTATTTTGTTCCAACCATTTTTTTCTTTCTCCATACAAAGTCGTTTTAAAATTTTTGTTTCTCTAATTTTACCGTCTCTAGTTTCTAGTATTGTTCTTCATGTATTAGCCTTAAGTTGATTTTTCGTAAATTTTTGCAAATTTTGGAGCAATATCTTCTATGTATTACTTATATAGTACACAATTCAAGTTTTTTTTATACTTGCGCATCATCAATAAGTTGTTAAAATTGGTTATTGGCATGAGCTGCGGGCGTGAATGTATGTACATCAGACAGTGAAACATGTTGTACATAAGTACGAAAGTAAAGTTATGAACTATTTAAGTAATGAATTAAAAAATTTTTATGGTGATTGTTGTTTTCTCATGTTATTGCTCTCATTAGTTATGAGCGCGAAACGCGCTCTTTTAAATTTTCAATCCAGGAAAATCTCACTTGTATGAACATTTCGAACGTCTCTCGCGTTGAGCCATGAGCCGTGTGGTAAACCAACTGTGTTCCGCGCGTGACATATATCTCTATCTTTTAGATTATTAATTTCTCTCTCTTTCTAATATTACGCTTGAAAAAACGCTACATTCTGTGTGATTTTTTGTTTGTTTGTGCTCGCTTTGGATTTTTGATGGCAATAACTTTTTCCATGAAAGTTTCAATTATATTTTATTGGTAATGCAGAGTACTGACATTATCTACATGCCATTAAAAATTGATAACGACGTATAGCCGTTTTCGGGAAAAATCTCAGTTTGTATCTGAATGAAGGAATCATTCCAGTGGAATGTCTGATGGATAATACACCTGCTCGTGGGAGTGACAATACTAACAGTGACAATTGTACATTTTTGTGCTTTCTGGATTTTTTTTTTTTTTTAACGGAGTTTCAAGCAACATTTGTGTTGTTTTTTATACTATAGGTACTTGTTGCTTGTACTTATGACTGAAATGAAGAAAAACATATATTAAAAATTTTTTTCTGTAATTTTGTAAGCATATTTGTAAGTGAAATGCAAATAACGAACACTTTATTGATTTGTTCAATCAATCAACATAGGCAATGCGCGCTTAACATACAAAATGTAAATTAATTAAAATTAAATTATATCTTTAGTATTACTACATATTAAAACAATTATTAGTCAAATTGTCGTTTTTTCAGTGGTTTGAGGTAATGAAAAAATTTGCAGTACGAATGTATGAACATAGATTTAATCAAATTAAAAAAAAAAAAATTATTTCGACAATAAGGACTAAAAACGTTTTACTTTTTAAACATTTATGTTCTAAGATGTAAATAATAAAAAATTAATAGATTTCCACAAAATGTTATTCATATTTTTTTATACAAACTGATTTCACGTATGTAAATTTACAATAACTATAATGTATATTTTTGCATAAATATACGCAAATTATGCACTTTTCCATGTATGTTACTTTTGTACTACAACAGTGTGTTGGAATATGAATTTTTCACAAGTAGAGAAGCGTAAGTAATGGCACTAATGGCAGAATGTTTGTACAAAGTAAAAAAATATTCCAATAATAATAACAATATATTCCATGGACGGTGGGCTCTTAAATGTTTTTATACACCTTATGTACATGCATATGGTTCAAATTTGTACATAAATACAACGACGACGATAACAACAACAATGAAGAATATAATTTTGTTATGAGTAAATATATGTGCAAGTAATACGTGAGAGAATGGTAGGTAACACAATTACGCAAGTTTATACATAATATTGTATGTCAAGATAGTATATACTATACTATATATGTATCAAACTTACAGAGGAGATACCTATCTAAACGCAAGAAACATTTTGTAATCGGTAAGTATCGATGTCCTACATTACACAACGAAACATGATTTAAAAAAAAACTAGGGTACATTTTTTTTGATAACGAAAGTTCTTGATAAAAATAGAAAACTAACTCGTATGCCTTTAATGTAAGAATAATATATTGTGTGTGTGCAACGGGAATTGATATTTAAAAAAATTTTTGTACGCTTTATAAGGATGAGTTATTTTAAGTTACTGATGTTTTACACTACCAGGTACTTATTGTCTTCCAGCATCAATATAATCTCTATGTTGACAATTTTTCAATTTCATGGAGTTGGCTGAGTGCTCGTTGTCTATAAATTTTTCGAACTTGTATTTAATTTATTTATGCGTATTGCTGCAATGCGTTTCAGAAGTGTACAGCAATTAGCATCATAACACTTGGATTTATAGTACATAAATACATATACTTACCCATTAGCGGATAGAGGGTCAGACCAATCAACATCAGATCGACGTTTAAAAGCCGAACTGGAAACTTATATTATTGGAAAAAAAAAAAAAAAAAAAAAAAAAAAAAAAAAAGCACTTCTGAAACTTCTCTTTCATGTTTATTTAGGGTAAGTACTTTGAGTAAAAATGGTAGAGTTGCCGCATTTTAATCGAACTCTACATGCACTTTCGTGCGCAAAAGTGCACCTTTATCGCTCGTGGAAAATCCCGTATTAGGAGTCAGAAATAATTCCGTTAGCTTTGATAACTTTGCGAATAAAAATGTGATGTATACTTACCTTTTAACCAGCAGACACGAGAGAAAAAAATCTGATTTATACATTCTATTGACGCGATTGTCAGGACAGGGTAAATAATTAATAAGGTATCCAGCCTCTAGTGACCACATTCTCAATTAGTAAATACAAAAATATTTTTCAAACTATAATATTAGGTAACAGGTTTGTATGTAATATATTACAAATAAAAGGAGTATAAAGTATCGTCAAAGCTTTTTTATATCATAAGTAATCGGTGACGAAAACAAAAGGGTGAGGGTTATACCTTAAGATACAATTATTAATAATTATTATACAGGAGAAAGGGGAGAGGAGGGAGTTATCAGGGCAGAGGACAGCTAGGGAAGACACCAAATCATATATGTTTATCAGAAATACCGATACCGATACCGAACATTACCGAACTCATATATCAGTACACATGTATTACACATACATAAAATTGCAATGCATGACGGGAGACAGGAGTGTGCGATATATAGAACATGTAAACTTCCTTATGATAATTGATAGGAGAGGGGGTTCTAGTAGTTCTCATTACTCTCCGGTCCTCTCTCTCTTCGCTTAAGTATAATAAGTATAAGTATGTAACAATAGGTAGAAGAATACACAAAAAGAACGAGCGAGAGAGAGAAAAGAGAGTCGATGATTAATGACGTGATCTAGTGATTATTTGGAATAAATTTTGATAATGTACAGGTAAAAAGTCCAAAAGTCATCACTTATTAAGCGACACTTACCATGCGTAAGCTTACAACAATAACTTAATTAAGTATTAGATGTCATAAAACATGTAATTTATACAAAAACAGTCTGACGGCATACTTTGTTTGTTTGTGCAAGGTAGGTATAATTGATAACCCCCGCACAATACCGGTTACCGGTATGCGGTATCAAAATATAAGGCAGCTAGGCCGCAGCTAGGGCGGCGATGGGGAGAGAGGAGCCCCTCCCTGGGGAACATTTTACCCAGACAAGGGGGGGGGCATTCGCCCGCAGTGCACTCCTATATATGCGTGTCATATGGGCGGCGAGCGAGAGCATAACATAATATAACGTAATAACACACAGCGCGAAGCGAATCGGCGGCACTGGGGGGGACAAGGGGGGCACCGCGCGCGCGGCTCCCCCCCTCGACATTCAAAGCCAACAGCATCAGCAGGGAAGGGACCCGCTGTACTGTCTGCTGCAGTAGTTCGCTTACGGGCGGCGGGTGAGGAGGAGGCGAGGAAAACGTTTCGCGAGGGGCTGCCATATAGAGATATATATCGTGTGTTGTATATTGCGCGAGGGAGCGAGGAGAGACGACGGTGTGTTGTGCGGACGGATATCGCGGGCCACGCCGCGCCGCCGCCATGACAGCGCGCGCTACGACTATCACATAGGTATATACCTACACCACATTAGAGTCTTTTTCTCTCCCAGCCACCCCCCCCCCTCGCGTACCGATTTTTTCGTCGTAAAATTAGTCACCTATGGACGATAAGCAGATACCAAGAAAGCATAGGCATTGTTTAGATAGTACCTAATGTGTGTACGATATGATTGGGGCTTCCCGGGACGAAAGAGAGGCGCGTCCTTCCGTCCCCTCCCTTGGCCACTATGACCGTATGACCAATTGTGTTGCGTGTATGGTACACACGTGTGTGCGTGTGCGAGGGGAACCCCAAACCCCTCCTCCCGGCGACAAGGGGATGTATTTAAATATACCGACGAACCTCTTCCCCGCGAGCAGCTGCTTCGCGTAAAAGTGACACCCCATGCGTATCTACACTACTTACCCCCATGCTACGAATGTACACCTACCACGTGAGTGTTGTTCACCTGCTCTCTTGTCGTTCCTTTATGACCCACGTTTGCCCTCTTTACTGCGCGGAATCCTACAATTAAGAAACTCTTAATTCGCAACTACCTATGATGATGATTCCTCCCAAGTAATTTATTGATACTGAGCTGCTCTAATGTGCTTTTATGATATCCTGGATTAGTGCACGTATGTATACATGTATGCGTGTGTGATTTCTTCGATGATGATGATGACGGAAGGGCGGCGGGCGGACATCTTGCGTTTGCAGGTTCCAACGCGGCGCGCGCGACGAGGAACATGTTGCAGTAGTTGTGTGTTGACTACGTGTACATGATAACGATAGTATGTGCACATTTGCACGTCGTATGTCGTGCTCGAGAAGAGAAATAGATAGATCGGTAATATTTTTACCCACTCTAAAGCGGATGTTTTACTTATGCGTCTCCAATGCGGGTGTGCTAATTTATCTTGTGCAAGTTCCAATAAGTACACGCTCGCAAATGACCGATGATCATCATGTTATAAAAAAATGTCTATGCTCTTTTGGAACTGTTGCGCGCGCGTGCTCTACTCTTATCACGCAACAATAAATAAGTACCGCACACTCTAGGTAGTCCGTATTATTTCCTCTCCGACAGATTCTAAATTCACCGTGTGTGATGCATTCATGCTTACTTTTTTTCCTTTTACATTCGATAAATAGTATACAGAGGTATGTTTTTACTAAAATTCATGAGTCATTTTTTTGTTGTGGGTCTTTTTTTGCTCCGACCGTGTGATTTCGCAAGAAAGATAGGTTAGGAGATGGATACTTACTTATGCACATTTTTTTTTCGGAGTCGGGCTACTTTATGCTTTTTTCTCGAGCCCGCAGTCTTTTGTTAAGTATTTAAGTTAAGAAACGTGACTCATGCTAGCTTGTTCATTGATTTGTTCGTCAGTAGCAATTTTTTTTCACGATCTGACACAGATATTTGACGATACTGTGGTTTGGTAATACGTGTTTGTTGAAATCTGACGTTTAATAAACAATAGAATTTTATTATCTAAGAACTATTTTATTTTATTTTACTTTATTTTTTTTACGAAAAAAGTATGATTTTTAAATTGTAGGTATTTAAAGTTACGAAAAACGTTTTACATCAACTTAGAAATAATGGGGTTTACTATATTGACACTGATTTAATTGTTCTCAGTGAAGATGCAAAGTAAATATTGGTAGTAACACATATATGTGGTATTTCGAGACTATTGTAATTTTTTTGATAACCTTTATGTAATCTTGATCTTTAGGTCACTGTAATGTCCCTAAACTATAATACAAACTTTAAAAAAATTGAAATGCTAAGATTTTGTATTATTGTTTACATTTTTAGGTACCACATCAATGTTTTTAATTGAACAAAAATGAACAGTGAGCAGCATGCTCTGCCAGCGACAACGCAGGCTCAGCAAGAGGTAAATTGTTAAATTTTTGTTTTCAGATAACTATAGTTTTTACTAGACTACAAATGCGTTTCTGCATCCCTATGTTTATATAGGAAGAATTTTTCTTGTAATATGGTCTATAATGTTAGTAAAGTAGAAATTACATCAGTATTTTCATTATCTTGAATTATCTTAACTTGCATTTGTTAATTATCTTAATTTTTATGCCATGATAATTTTTTCTATAGTAGAAATTAGTTTTATCTCCTGTAGTATTTTCTGTAAAACATCTTTGCTATGAAAGAATAACTTTGTATGATAATATTCTGTAGAGTGCATGTTTTATTTCAATGTATCTATTTTTAACTTTCTATACATGTTTTACATCTTTTCATTTCTTTGCAAGGGTACTTTAATACATAAACATGCTACATACAAACACTAGCAGTTTAATAGCAAACAACTTTGAGATTTGTTATTGATTGTAACATTTTGATTCAATATTTAATATTTAACCATAAATAAATGTAGATATTCATTTTTACTCACTTGATCAAATAATTACCTTAAAAAAATACTCGTAAAGTATCAATTTGAACAATTACACAAACAATCAACTTTTCAATAAAATACATACCATTGACTAAGTAAAGGCCATAACGAACCATAAAACTTTTGTAATCACTTAAATATCAAATTTTAGCGCATTTGTCGGTTAATTGAAGAAATAAAAAAAAAAAAACTAGTACACAAACATTTGAACTGCACGTTGTTGCATGGCCTGATTGATGTTGTAAAAACTCTTGGTTCTCGAATGTGTGTTACGTTAGGAAGTAAGCGCAGCTCAGAGCGGTCGCTCCTCATATCCAGGTGCCACTAATACTCTAGCCGCAGCAGTTAGCCAACAACAGCAGCCAACCTCATCAGCTAGTCTAACCAACTCCTCCGCGACGGAGCTGCGAGTAGGTACGACAAATGCTGTGGCCATAGCTAATCACCTGACCAAGTACCTCGTCCTCACCAATCTCTTTCCGGGACCGGTGTCGGTTTACCATCATCTACCACATCATAGAGGCGGTGCTGCCGAGCAGCAGGGTGGTAATAATAATAAGGAATCTGGAAATCTGATCAGCCAGGACATGTCGCTGGCTTCGGGGACCCATCATCAGGCGTCCACGGCACTGCATCATCATCAGGCTAATGTTGGTAAAACTGGCCATCATACTTCTCTCCAGTCTGCTACCCAGGTTTGTTGATGTAGACTGCACGTCAAATTTTTAATACACGACAAAATTCACCATTCACATGTGCTCATGTCTAAAGTCAAGAATGAGCTTTAAAAATTCCAACTTTTGCATATTGCTATTTTTAACTCTTGTATCTTCAAAATATCCATACCTACATTGCATTGCATTAAACTGAATGTAATTAATGTTTGTCTGCCTTTACAGTAAATATCACTTGTTGCACTTGAAAAAATAATTTAGTTTCACTACAATATTATGTATTTTCTCAAAAGTAAGATCGTTAAATTATTATGCAATAATTTTTATGTTTAAAAAAAAACCATGTGTGTTACATATTTAAACTCTTAATAACTGCATGTATTTTTTTCTTTCAGATTCCAGTCTCTCTACCAGGGCTCACTTTAGATGGAAGTCACTTGCAGGCGAGCGTTAGTCACCTGCAAGCAGCAGCAGCTCATGCTCAAATACAGCAGATGCAAACGCAACAGCAGCAAGCACAGTTGCACCAACAACAGCAACAGCAAGCTCATCATCAACTTCAGAACCATCAAACCCAAGCTGGCCAAAATCAAAGGGATGACAAGATTAAGGAGGACCCATCCGAAAGACACGAGAATCAGGTGCATGCCCACGTTCAGAATGAACACCATCAGCATCAGCAAGCGCAAGATTTGCAACAGAATCTGATGCATCAGCAGCAACAACAGCAGCAAATCACAGTTACTCTAGGTAACTCGGTTGTGGATGCTAGTTCTGTCAGAATCGAAAAGATTGAGAAAAAAGAAGATATTCGGCAGTTAAACATGACTCAGTAAGGACGATAATCTTATAAAATATGTAGTTTCCTTTGTTGAGGCTTTAAATTAAATTGTTTGATCTTTCAGGTTTCAAGTGCCCGACCTTAAGTCAGGAAGCCACCTGATGGATGTCCGAACTGCAGATGGATCGATTGTTAAGATTAGTGCGGCGAGCGATCAAGATATCGCAAAAACCTTAAGTGTTGATATATCCCAGTATATCAACAAGGTAAATTTTCCAACATCGGTAAACACCCTTAAATTTTTTTTTTTTCACCAAAATATTTAATGCTCAGTGTTATGAATGAATCAATTTTTTTTATCTTAGGGAGCTGTAAATGTCGAGGAGCTGAATCAGTTAAACCAATTGTTGGCCTATCATGAAGTATTTGGTAAACTGCAAGGCGATGGAAATACGACATTAATCGGTAGTACGATACCGACGCAAACGGTCACGACGATGCAAAACGGCACACCTGTCGCGCAGCAAGTGCAGCTCAACAAGTTCGAAATCAAAACGAGCGACGGTGAGGCTACGCCTGGACCAAGCGCCTCACCTGTCTCGGCAGGCAGCCACGCCTGCGAGGTGTGTGGAAAGATTTTTCAATACCGGTACATGCTAATCGTGCATAGGAGATATCACACCGAAAGAAAGCCTTTTACGTGTCAGGTGATTATCTTTAGTCTTTAGCATCGTTACACGCCCAGATTGAGAGGGGTGTTTATTTGTTATGTTTTCCATAGGTTTGCGGCAAAGCGTTTAACACTGCGCCTGATCTAACGCGACATGGTAAATGTCACTTGGGTAATTCCATGTTTACATGTGCAGTCTGCTTCCATGTGTTTGCTAATGCTCCGTCTCTTGAACGGCACATGAAGCGTCACGCTACGGAAAAGCCGTACAACTGTACTATTTGTGGCAAAAGCTTTGCAAGGAAAGAACATTTAGATAATCATACTAGGTGTCATACAGGAGAAACTCCGTACAGGTATGTTGTGGCAAATGTTCAGGTGCAATTTTTTTTCATCATATTTATTAAGCTTTACATTAACGTTGCCAAACGCCTACAATTGCAGATGCCAATACTGCGCAAAAACGTTCACGCGCAAAGAACACATGGTGAACCACGTGCGTAAGCACACGGGCGAAACGCCGCATCGCTGCGACATCTGCAAGAAGTCGTTCACGCGAAAGGAACACTACCTAAACCACGTGATGTGGCACACTGGTGAGACGCCCCACCATTGTCAAGTATGCGGCAAAAAGTATACGCGCAAGGAACACCTGGCCAACCACATGCGTTCGCATACTAACGACACGCCCTTCCGCTGCGAAATTTGTGGTAAGTTATAACTGTAATTTCAGAATCGTTGTCAAGCACGTACCCAGCATGTATTTGGCGTAGTCTCGATTATAATTTAAAAGTATCCTTTTAATAAAACATGTTTAAGGGAAAGATTTATTCCATTGATTTCGCTTAATGTTCAATACCTAAGTAACTAGTGTTTGATCAACATACGAATTCTGCGTCATCGAGTCATGTTTGTAATTTTCTAGTGCGCGTGAAAAAGAAGAAAAAAAAAAAAAAAAAAAAACCGTGTTGGAGAATTGATCGGGTCGGCTTTCCTCCCTATCTCACCCCCTCCCCCGATAATTTCATACATCCCCTCTTACCGTACCCTGCCGAGCTCTTCATTCGTGAACCGGTATAATCGTTGTCGTCACCCCCTCCACACACATTCCCTCTTTCTCTTTGTTATCAACCCCCCACGATTACACCTCTCCCGCCTTTTTGGCTCGTACTTTGACCCTTCTCCTCTACCCCTTGAGCTTGACGTATATTACTTCCGAAAGATGCAGATACAGAATCGTGGGTGGGCCTAGAGGGGTCCAAATCTCTAGTTCTAACGATCTTCAACTTTTTTTTATAATTAGCCTTAAAAAATTTTTGTATCATAAAAAGGTTAAACATTATTTCAGTTAAATTTATAATGTTGAGCCTAAAATAAGTTTCCAGGCAACTTATCTCAAAGTCTTCTCCAAATCTGCAAAACGTCACCACAACACCACAGAATTTATTGACAGGACGCCTACTACTCCACCCTCTCTCTCGTAAGCTTCAGAACCAAGGGTGATGGGTGGCGGGGTGGTTTTAGGTGTCGCGCCGTATAGGATATAAGAGGGTGGGGAAGAAGGTTGTTGCCGTTCTGTATGTGTCTGCGTGCGTATGTTTGTGAAACGAACGCAAATCACCGTGCAATGTCGTCGCAAGTCGCGAGTGTCAGGACGAGGAGGCGGTCACGACTGTATGGCTCTCGCAGGTAGTCGAAATTTTGTGTAAGTGCTGAGTATCATGTTCGGTGGGGCTCTCGCTCACTCGTTAAGCACTACCGAGCAGCAGCTCCAGCAGCAGCACCGGGACGCCGTAGCTTCGTACCTCGTTAATTTTAGCGGTGTGTTATTATCTGATTGTTTAAAAATTTTTATTCTTTGTATTTTAAAAAGTGAGGGTGAGAGGAGAGGTTTTTGACGTGCTGGAGGGGGAGGAGAGTTAAGTCAAGGGGTTGAAAAGGAGGAGGGGGCTATATGCGAGCGACGCCTTACGCGCGTGTGTGTATATGTGACTGTAATCACTATCATATTTGATGCAGAACTTAAATTTATTATAAATTATATCGATGCGATTGCGATTAACGAGTTGTTTATTTATTTTTTTCTGTTATTTTTATGTTAACAGGCAAATCGTTCACGCGCAAGGAGCATTTTACGAATCACATAATGTGGCACACGGGCGAGACACCGCACCGCTGCGACTTCTGTTCAAAGACATTCACGCGCAAGGAGCACCTGCTTAATCACGTCAGACAGCACACGGGTGAGTCACCACACCGATGCGGCTTCTGCTCCAAATCGTTCACCAGAAAGGAACACCTTGTTAACCACATCCGCCAACACACAGGTGAGAGCGGTTGGCAGAGATGTTCACTTCGAACATTTTATTACATACGATGGACGATTAACTCGTCTCAAAATTTACGTCGACTTGGACCGACTTTCTCTCGCTCTTTCTCTTCCTGTTTCCTGTTGTTTCTTTTTATTTGTTTATTTTATTTTTTTTTGTTCCATCAAACGATTCGCCCTTTCTCTTTCTCCATTATTTCTTACTCTCTGCCTATATGATTTTAAAATTCATGTGCTTAAACGCTTTATTTTTATTTTTTTAACTCAAAAAGTTTTTTTTCCTTCATCCTTTATACATTTAAAATTTATTTTTACTTGTGTTCCAACCGTTGTTAATGTTATTCTATTTTTTATAAACATTATAATTTTAATGATTCAATCATGTAATGTTTATTTGAGTTTTACTTGTAAATTGATGACTCGGTTAATTAAAAGCTGCTTAAAAGATTAATTTTGTAATATCATTCCTTGTAATTCTTGAACGGTGCAGTAAATTTTTATAATTTCCTTTTCGATACTTTTTTTTTTTATGACGAAACTTATTGATTTGTCATTAAAAATAATTGGATTTATATTTAAAAAAATTTGTATTCTGCCTTAAACACCGCTCTCATACATGCTTGGTCATTTTGCCTGTTTTTTTGTTTTTTTGTTCTTTTTTCAATTTAAAATGCAGTTTTTTAATGTCCCCTCTTTAGTTTAACCCTTTTAACGACCATCCTTGTTGATTGTACTAACAATTACGATACGAGTCAACATTACTTGTTGAATTTGACGTATAAATTGCTTATCGTTCGGTATTTACATGGAAAAATGATTATTCATAACCAGTTAATTGAACATTAACAAACTGCTCTTTCCTTGTTAAATTTAAGCTTTGATCAAGGACAGTCTATGGCGCAATTTTATGTGAAATAATTGTTTCATTTTTTATTCATTATAAACATTGTTTGCTATAGACTTTTCTTAGATGCAATACACAAAGTTGGCAAACATAAACAATTTTTATTTAATCTAACACAATTTTTTAAAACAACTCAAATAGTTAACTTTAGTTAAAGTATAAAATTTTCTTATGGTTGTGGTTTTCTCTTTATAGAGCATGTTTAGCTGACCTACAATATAAAATTTTAACTAAATCGTTTCATTTGTAAATTACATAGATGAATTGCCTTTCTCTAATCAACAATTTTCACAATACATTCAGCTTTTTACCTAACAGAATATCAATCTGCATCGAGATATTTAAATGTATCCAATGAAAGCCACTTGGTGCATTGCATCGGGCAAAACTCGCCTTGTGCAGGTGATACGCCCTGTCTGTATGACGTTAAGAAGAGGAGGAGAAAAACATTAAAAGCTCTCAGAAAGCTCGTTTAATACAACAATTTCAGATAATAATTCAAAATTTACATTTCACTTCAAACTCATCAAATAGATATAGATCCTTTCTTAGAGAGCTTTAAAAATGTACAAGTCAATGTATAAATCCAATGTATGCAAATAATGAATTGTACAAAGAGAAAAAAAAAAAAAAAAAAAGATAACAGTTTGAAAAAAACACGAAAAAACGCAATGCAGGAGAGACGCCCTTCCGCTGTCAGTACTGTCCGAAAGCGTTTACGCGCAAGGATCACCTGGTAAACCACGTCAGGCAGCACACGGGTGAGTCACCGCACAAGTGCCAGTATTGCACGAAATCGTTCACGCGGAAGGAACATTTGACAAATCACGTGCGTCAACACACAGGCGAGTCGCCGCATCGCTGTCACTTCTGCTCCAAGTCTTTCACCCGCAAGGAGCACCTGACGAATCACGTGCGCATCCATACGGGCGAGTCGCCGCATCGCTGCGAGTTCTGCCAGCGCACCTTTACCCGCAAGGAGCACCTCAACAATCATCTCAGGCAACACACCGGTGACTCGTCCCACTGCTGCAACGTTTGCTCCAAGCCCTTCACGCGCAAGGTGAGTCTTGACATTCATGTGAGACTTACCAACTCTGCTGTTACATATAATAATAATAATAATAATAATAATTGTCTCTCTTTCTCTCTCTCCCCCCCGCCCCAACTGTTACTTGACGTCTATGTGTTTAAATTTTGTTTTCTCTCATTATAGGAACATTTGATAAACCACATGCGCTGCCACACGGGTGAGCGGCCGTTTGTTTGTACCGAGTGCGGCAAAAGTTTTCCGCTAAAGGGCAACCTGCTCTTCCACATGCGCTCGCACAACAAGGGCAGCCAAGCCGAACGGCCGTTCCGCTGCGACATTTGCAACAAGGATTTCATGTGCAAAGGCCACCTTGTCTCGCACCGTCGTTCGCACTCCGACGAGCGGCCACACACCTGTCCCGATTGCGGCAAAAGCTTCGTCGAGAAGGGCAACATGCTACGCCACTTGCGTAAACACGCTGCCGAAGGTCCACCCTCTCAGATCAGCAGCGCGGCCTCGGTGCTTGCTGCCGCGGCCCAGCAGCAGTCTACGGTCAGCGGAGCCGCGACGGCCACTGTACTGCCGATACCGCCCAGTGCGGCTGCTGCCGCGGCTGCTGTTTTGGTTGGACACCCTCTGGCGCCACCGCCTGTCCCTGCTGTCGCTTTGCCCCAACACACCGTCGTCGTGCCCACGCCACCAGGCGTACTCGCATCTTACTGAGCCTCGGCTGGCTACGGACTGCAGCACCGGGGGCTCTTCTACTAGTGGATAAAGTGCTACTCTGCTTACGGTTCTTTTTTATTTTTATGACAATTTATCGTACTATTATCATTTTTATTATTTTTATGATTATCATCGTTAAGTTCGGTGGAACGCCGTTAATTTTATTGTTGTCGAAGTGCGACTTTGCGACTTGATAGGTTATCGGTTAAACTTTGGTTTTAGTTTATCTGTGATGTTTTTGTAGCATAGAAAAGATACCAGCTTATACCTTTGTGACTTCAACCCGGTGAATACGTTATATATGCTTTGATCTAATGCTTTATGTTTTTGGAAATGAAATACTTTATTGCAATGGTTTTTCTCATTAAAAGTTATATCTTAGAAATTCATTAATATATTACTTGTAACTATAAAATTTATTTAACCCTTTTATGTTTTAATTTCTATGAATAATTTTTACGTCACTTTTCCACTAGTAGATAAGTAAAAAATCAAGGGACTCTTGATAAATTTGGTATGTGACAACTATTGTAGAAAAGATACATGAAATATGATTTATTTGTTGTTTATTGAGTTTTTTTTTATGATAAAAAATGTATGCATAGGAATTCATTTTGAAAAACGTTCGAATCAAACATGCTACATTTTTTGTCCTACAGTTTCGCACTGAACTATCCATTCAAAATGGGTATTATTTCATTAATTTTATGTTATCGACGGAGTCGACTTAACTTAATGTTTATGTCTTTTTCTCATAAGTAAGGGACTTAATTAAGTGTGGTAGTTTACTTGTTTACGAGTTAAAATGTATCATACACGTAATTTAACATTGAAAAATGAAAAATAGAATTTAATGCACGATTTTATCAGTCCCAAGGTAAAAGAAACAATAGCAAAGTTGAAGTCTGCAGTCTCGTGTTACCGACTTCTTGTAAGTAAGTTCGCATAAGAAAATTCTAATGGCAACGTAGTGTTAAGAGATTTGAAAGCGTTTTACGTGATAAAAAACAATGCATGTGTGCGATTTTTCGCAACCAAAAATAATAAAAAGAAAAAACGAAAAAACGATCTCCCTTAACCAAAAGTTCTTTGTTTGAGGAATGTTATATCTTTGAAGCAGAGTTGGGAATGGTTTATGAAACGTTCACAATATATATTTCAGAATTTTATTCTCAATTTTTTCGCAATTGGTGCACCACTTGACAACAAAAATACAATTATTTATGTCCCAACATTTCTTTAGAGTACAGGGAAAATACAAGAAAAAGTTAAAAAAGCAGTAAGATAGGATTTGAAAATGGTTTCAAGTACTAAGGTAATCAGTTATAAGAGATCCTTTAAAAAATCAACGTTTGTCAGCAAGTCTCTAAAATTATAAGGAAAATCCGCTAGTAAATAAAGTAGTTGAAAAAGTAGTTTCGCGAATTTTGCGAATTGGCATTTAACAACAAAAATACTAGATCTTATAAGAATTTAGAACCAAATTAAGATATATAAAATATTTTTTGTTTACCCAGTTTTGTACGGAAGAAAGCTCGAGAAGANTAAAGTGACTTTACTGTAAATAGCAATAATTATTTAGATCAGCGCCATCTAGCGGTCTTTATTTTTTGGCCAAAAGTATATATATATATAGATGTACCAAATGTACGAAAACATTTTATGATAAAAGAGATGACTCGCTTTTTTATAAGTTTTTTTTTTTTTACTTGTAAGTTTTTCTTTTAAGTGCAATACGAGAAAAACTCCTGACTAAGTACCACACAGGCCGTCTATTTCGATTAGTATGAGAAATTACGAGCTGTAAAAGTCATCTGTTACACACGTTCTAAAATGGTGCTTATATAAAGTTCAAAACTGCTGTAATGTACGATAGTACGTTAGTTCTATGGAGTTATTTATACACATGTACAATTAATCATCTTTAAACTTGCTGTACAATAGTGTTCTAACACACACTTTTTCCTAAATGTTTTTGAAGTCTTAAAGTAGTTCTTTGGTATATATACATGCACCTGTCAATTTGTTACGGAAAATACTTAGTTGTCTTGAAAATTTGATGTTAGCTTCAAACGTACAGGAAAAAGATGTGAAAATTCAACAAGTCTAAGAGAATGACTAATATTTTTATAAACAAAAAATGCAAATTATTAATGTGTGAAAAGTAGTATTTTTTAAAAAAGAAAACAATAACACCAAATATTTCATGTGTCGAGATTTGAATTGGCACAGATGACTTTTTATATGCCCTCTAATGAATTTTTAGTGTATTTCAAAGATAAAAACTATATAAACGCGAGAAACACTCGGTATTGAGGCTATCTTCAAAAATAGTCTCTTTACTGAGTGTACTATATAAATAAATATATTTGTTGTATATTGACAGTAAAAAAATAGATATAGGTAAGGAAAGGCAGATGATTTATCGTAACACTTTATTTCTTTCTCTTTTCTTCCTCGAATTCGTCCTTTAAAATGTCAGATTAATGATAAATTGTAAATTATTTAAACACGAAAAGATATACCAATATCTCACATTATTATACATCAGAAATAACAGCCAGTGGATTTCATAAAATATTAGTTTTAACTTACAATTTCAGCTAACAAACAATTGGTATTTTTGATTAGAAAGGTTTTTTATACTTATATATATGTATAGAAGCCATACATTATTTTCTGTTCTGTGCAGTATAAAAAAGCAAAGCTGACACCGAAAAAATAATTACATTACGTAAATAAACAAAATAAATTAAATATATAAATAAAAGATAAAAAGGACGAGCTGAGAGTTTATAGTAATATATTGTATGTATGCTACAAAAAAACGCATGGATTATATTTAAGATAACATAAAAATTAACATATGTTAAAAGTGTAAATTAAGAATTTGCTTTGAAAAACTTTAATTAACTGCGCTTGTTCCAAGTTACTGTAAAAAAATGATCTTACAACTAAAGTCTGTTTGATTCAAAGCACCAAATTAGCCAACTTAATTTTATTTTATTTTTTTCAACTGTTGCTGAACATTCTCTTTTATATAAAAAATATATGTTAACTCCGTGCTTTGGCTTGAAAAGACATGGAAAAAAATATGGTGATGGACAGAATTGATTTTATGTAACTGATTGCTGAGATAAATGGCAAGAAAAATAAAAAATATGTAAAGCGTAGATTATCCGAGTTACGACACAAGAAAACTGGTATTTCTGTTAAATGTGAAAATGTCATTTTTTTTTCTTTCCATATGACCATTAGGGGTTGACCTAATCATAAATTTTGAATGAGAGTTTTTTTTTCTCTTCCAAGAGCCATAGTTCCAAGTGTAATTAATACTTGTAAGTATAATTAAAAAAAAATAAAAGAACAAAATTAATAACAATTTCTGCCTTCTAATATTATCTTTTCATCTTTATTTTTTAACGTTTATTCAAGATCTGTTACATCGTGTGCACCTTTTTTCACCAACGATACAACCACATTTTTTAATTTACTTAAACTATATTTGCATGGATTCTCTGATCCTCCCCCGTCATATGTGAAATCTATAAACACAATAAATACAAAAAAAATGATATCCTTGATTTCAATCCTATCTATATATCTTCCTGGTAGCAATAAATAGAGTTGGTAAAAGGGGATGCGGCTGAAGTGTCCAAAAGTGCGGAAGCCCGTATAGTTCCGTAGGTCGTGGTAACGCCGCATGGTCGGGCGGCGCTAGCGCTAGCGTCAACCTGTACTAAACTGTCGGTGGGTAAGCTGGGTTCCGTATGTCAACAAACTTCGATATTTTTTGCTGTTTTTGACTCCCATGGGTGTGTTCCAGTAACGCTCTCCGACAACTTACCGACAACTTAATTATGTCTTGCGATATCTTGCGTCATGTTTAAGTTGTCGGTAAGTTGTCGGAGAGCGCTACTGGAACACACGGCATGCCACCAGATTTTTCGAGGTTTGTTGACACGCGGAACGCGGAACCTACGGAAGCTCCTATCCGCCATCTATAGGCAAGCTGCTTGCTTTCCTTAAAATAGGCAATGCAAACACTTGCGTTGCCCAAAAAGCAAAATGAAAACAATGCGTCATAACCTGTGAACCCACCGAGCCCAACACTGTCACCGACAGTTAGTACAGGTTGACGCTGGCGCCGCCTGACCATGCGACCATGCGGCGTTACCACCACGACCTACGTAACATTACAGCCTCTGATTTTACCATTCTGGTAAAGAGAGCACGGTGTAAGATATACGTTAAGTTACGTGTAGTAATTATAGTTATCATCACTGCTAAGTAATGTCATATGGTCGATTTTATGAAACCATATGAATATCTTTAGTTTTGGAGGTCGATTTTCAGGTAAAAGATAAATAGTAAACTTGCCGCAAGTAGCATAAAAAATGTCAACTATTTATCATCTATTTCTAAGATTATTTACGGCTGGTTTATAACTGTTGAAGTGACTTTACTGTAAATAGCAATAATTATTTAGATCAGCGCCATCTAGCGGTCTTTATTTTTTGGCCAAAAGTGGCCTCTAAAATTCTCAATCAGAGCAGTCAGGATTAGAGCCATTTAGTCAATTATAAACAAGCCGCAACTCATGATGAAGCTATAAAATAGAAAAATAACGATACGTGTGTTTTTGGCGGCAATTTAACAATCTATTTTCTACCAAAAATCGACCTCCTATGTATTTATACTTTTGTAGATGAATTTTCGAGCATAAGATAGATTGTTAACTTGCCGCCAAAAACACACGTATCGTTAATTTTTTATTTTATAGCTTCATCATGAGTTGCGGCTTGTTTATAATTGACTAAATGGCTCTAATCCTGATTGCTCTGATTGAGAATTTTAGAGGCCACTTTTGGCCAAAAAATAAAGACCGCTAGATGGCGCTGATCTAAATAATTATTACTACTCATACTAGAGCCATTTAATTACTTAATTATAAACCAGCCGCAACTAATCTTATAGACAGATAATGAAAAGTTGAGATTGTCTGGGCTATTTGCGGCAATTTTATAATTTGTCTTTTACAAAAAAATTGACCTCTCAAAGTATAAAAGTACAAATGTACTTATAGGAAAGCACACCAGGAGGGCTGGAGGGTCAATCAAAAAAGGTTTTTATTATTGCAAAAAAAAATTTGACGATTTACTTGTGCTATACACCTATAGAACCTCAGAGTGCGGTATTCAGATATGTTTCTTAAACTCAAACGCTGTCTTCTTTCGCTCATATGATAGAGATTTGCAGAACACAGTTAACTTCTCGACAACTCGGCATTAATTACAGTCAATGAGTGAAGTAAAATTAAACTAAGATAAGATAATGGACTAAGTGTTGTTTTTAGGTTGGTTTAGTTTCCATTCCCCATGGCTGTAATTTAACATAAAAATAAATCGGGAGCAAGCTTTGGCCAAGGAATACAAAACTGAAGTTTCTATTGATGAAGTCAAGAATGCAGTTTAAACATGTAAATTTATCGTTCATTTAAAAATTTATTGCAAATATGTACACTTCTTTTCAACGACTACAAAAATACTTTAAATAAAAAAAGTATTTTCATTTTCATGACTTTACATGTTGTAGGTATAATAAAATTTTTACATGTAAAGACCAACATTATATAACTATATAGTTACAAAAGTTTGATATTTTCAATTTATTTAAATAAGTAATCAAAAATTAAATGAAGAATATCCTAGTAAAAATCTTCTTCAGCTGTTGCAGCCGTTGATGACGATGATTGACTCTTGATCTGCTCTTGGTTCAAGTACATGTCAGCAATCTGTTGAGCGTTAGTAGCGTTTTCACAATTTTTATCGTCTCTGATACGAATAAACCTCGGAAAACGCAGCGATATGCCTTTTTCGGGATCAACTATGCCTTTTGCTGCTCCATGTACAGGTGAGAGAGACAAATCAGCGCACTTGACCTCCCAGACGAGCTTCGCTTCGAACCAATGATCGGGCTCGAGACTAGAGTCATAGCGGTAATAAGATTTGGCCTGCTCAATGACACACTCCTTGAGAGCCTCAGTATGCTTGGCCAAGTCTTCTTCGCTGAAGCCAGTACCGATCTTGCATATGCTCTGGTACTCCTCATTTTCTTGATCGTAACAAGCCAGCAAAAAGCCGCCGTAAGTACCGGTACGTTTGCCTTTGCCTATGTAACCACCAATTACTACGAGGTCTAAGGTATCTCCAACACCTTCTAGATAGTCCTTTTTCAGTTTAAGCCAATTACGCGAGCGCTTGGCTATCTCGTATGTAGCTTCTTTTTCTAGAGTCTTGATCATTAGACCTTCGCACTGATTCTTGATCGACTCATCTAGAAAATCTTGTACCTCGTCCATCGTGTTAGCGTCCAAACTTTTGGCGAAAGCCCATTCACCCTCGACTTCTTTAAAATTTGCCTTGAGTACTTCACGACGTTTCTTAAATGGCTCCTCAACCATAGCCGTACCATTGAAATACAATAAATCAAATATGAAAACGCACACTTGTACTTTTATTTCAGCTTCGTTTGCGTCCTTACGTTTTCGCGTACTTAGCACTTGGAATGGAAGAATCTGTTTTTTTTCCTTGTCCCAAGCAACAGCTTCGCAGTCAAGAACACAGCTCTTGACTTCAGCACCTTGCGTGTTAGGTATTCGTTTGATTATGTCAGGATATTTGCTCGTGTTGTCTTCCTGGTTTCTACTATATATTTTCACTGAGCCGTCCTCAAGGAGGTGAATTTGTGCTCGCTCGCCATCATACTTGTACTCACACGTAAACTTTAACCCTTCAAATCGAGTTAATACTTCTTGGATTCCTTTTGTCGGATGGGCAAGCATAGGCTTTAATGGTATACCAGGAGTGAGCTTGCATTCATTGGGCAATTCTTTAACACCTTTTTCCAAAAGGACTGGAATGATTTTATTGTAGTTTGGACACTGACAATACGTGGTTTTGAGAATCAGTGCCAGTTCATCGTATTTTTGTTTGAATGTGTCACTGGAAATACCCTTGGAGGCATTCAAAACTTCAAACGGGCGTTTTTGTTCTGGAGGAGTCATTGCACATGCAAGGGCTATAGCTTGTAAGACGGACTGTTCAGCTAAACCTATCCTGAGCTTTCCTGCCAAAGATCTTATAAGGTACCTAGCTTCTGTATGACGACAAGCGACAAACAGGGACTGTATCTTGTCGACTTTTTTCATTCCCGAAGATGTTCCCGTCGTTGAAGCTATTTCCTTTAACTTTGAGAAAACATTGCTAACTGTAAGTGGTGGAGGTTGAAACATCATTTTTTGATTGGAGCGACTTCCTTCTGCTATGAGACCTGCATGAGATGAAGCAAGTTGAGATAATTAATACATTGAAAATAATGAAGAAATTGAAATTATAACCAAGCAGACTATTACCTAGATCACCAACTTTTTGAAACTCAGCTTTAATTTGAGCAAGTGTTCTGCCAGTTGAGCTAGCAATCGCCTTCATCAAATTGGTATCTGCAATTCCTAATTCCAAACCTTCATAAGTAGGTGCAAGTTGATTAAGACACAAGTAGATACTGGGAAGGAAGTCGTCAGGACTCAAAACAATAACCGAACGAAAATAGTTTGATAATATTTCAATGATTTTTAATCTAGCACTTATATCTTCGATCAATTCAAAGGTTCTAGTTAATGCTATATAGGGAACCGTTTGACCTTCTTTCCAAAACGCGTCATTTATTGGATGGTACGAAGATGATGCTGGGTTGTAATCAACACTTTCGTTTTCTTGCTTAGCTTTTCCAAAGATACCAGTTCCGTTAGTAACAGGTTTTTTTGAAGGTGGAGACTCTTTATTCGCTTCTTTTTTTGGGTTCTCTTTTGTTTTTTTACTTTGTGGAGATTTGTCTTTTATTTCATCTGATTTTACTGGAGAGTCTTCAATTATACTTTTTGCTTTTTTACTATTAGTAGCGATTATTTCATCTTCATCATCAGATACTTGTTTGTCGTTTTCAGATTTTTCTTCTTTCTTGGTGTCCAGCTCTTTTTCTTCTACTTTGACATCTTTTTTTTTCTTATTCTTAGGTGAAGGTTTGACTTTTTTTTCCTCATCATCATCCTTCGATTTATGAGTTCTATCTTCTGTATTGAGAACTTTTTTAGATTTTTTAGAAGGAGGAGTCTTCAAAGTTTTCTTTTTGGTATCTATTTTGTCCAATTCGTTTTCAGACTCGTTTTTACTATTATTTTTTTTCTCATCAACGGGTTCTTCTTCATCAGAATCGGCACGAACAAACTTTTTCAATTTTTTAGATGATGCAGTTTCAGCTGACTTACCTCTTTCTTTGTTTCCATTTTTCTTGGAGTCTCCCTCTATTTTTTCACTTTTTTTCGATTCTTTTTTATTTTTACTTTCCTCGTCATCTTTTTCCTCCACGTTACATTCATCATTTTCCACTGCAACCTCAGAGTCATCCTTATCCTCTTCCTCTTCGGATGAACTATCAATTTTAGCCTTAAGTTTCTTTGCTGCTGCAGCAGGTTTACATGACTCTTTTTTACGCTTGCCATTGACCTGCTCTTTCTCCTCATCTGAAGATTCAGAATCAACCAGACCTTTTAGTTTTTTAACTGCATCGGACTCTCCATTATTCCTCTTATCTCTGGTAATCCTCCTAGGCACATCTTCATCCTCTTCTTCTTCATCAGTGGTGACCTCATTCTCAACGTCTTTAGCCGGTGAATCAGATTCAATGATGGACTCATCTTCTTCCTCCTCATCCTTTTTCGATACCTTCTCACTTTTCTTCTTTTTTTTAGCGTTCTCCGTAACTTTGGATTTTCTGGCAGAAGGTGACTTTTTCGCAGTGGTTGATTTTCGGCGCTTACCACTCGGCTCGCTCGACTTGTCCTTTTTGTCGGTCTTGTTCAGTGACTTTTTTGTCGTGGGCGTCTTCTTCGAGTCGTTGCTCTTGTCCCGTTTGCGCTTATTACCTGGGGTTTCGACTTTTTTTTCACTTTCATCGTCTTTTGACTCTTTTTTTGGATTTAACACCGTAAAAAACGAAGTGATGCTTCGTTGCGACATCTTCGCGCGCCAATCTATTTATAATGAAATTTTGAGGTTACTGGTATCTGACGTAGTTTTTCATTTTCGCGCCAATGCAGAATGCGCGCGCACAGATATTCTTAACCAACGTTTGGTGCTGCAGAAAAACACGTTACTTACCTATACCGATTGAGTTGAAGGAGAAAGAAAAAATATGTACTTGTCGAGTTGGAAATAATACAAAAAAAAACTTGTGAAATCTCAATCAAATGAAAAGGATAAGTAAATATACAACAAATTCAGTCAATAAAGAACGATTTATTGAAATACAGTTCGTCAAATTTTGACGGTAAATATTTGTAAATTAAAAAAAAACAGAAGGGTGATTTACAATGGATGGTACATACATGTGTATTATTTTATTTGTTCATAAAAAAAAAGGAACAGTAAATACACCCATGTACATACGCTGCATCGCTATCTTTGCTGAAATAATTACAATTAAAAATCCTGCAAAAAAAAAAAAAAAAAAAACCAGCAATACGTAAAAAGGGTACATCACGACGGAAATAAAATGAAACAAGTTCATATGACGCTCCAATTTGTTCTTACGTTTATGTATAAATTAACGTCTTTTATTTTTTACTTGGCATGATATAATAACCAAAGGAAGAAAAAAAAGCATTGCAACAATTATTAATATATTCAGTCCATGAAAATTGGCCCACAAAGCCATAAATTCCTAGTACAGCTAGGCCGATTACACGATTGAATTTATTATTTTTATCTTCTACTTAGAATTCATGGGTGTTTAATTTTAGCGGTTTTGGTACAGAAGATAATAAAAATTAAACGAGGCAAGTTACACAGAAAACAGAAACTATCTATTTTAACGTAAAGTTATGCCAAGTTGTCTTAAAAAAATTAATGGGATAAAATTTATTCACCCAAAGAAATTAATGCTATACACTTCAGTTTTATGCTTGCAAACAATTCTTGAAACAATAATTTTGTTCAATTGCGTATGCTTCTTTGAAAAGTATGCAGCGTTAGTGAACACAATTTGAAAAAAACATTGAACACAAATACATCGTTACGAGTAATTTACTTTACAATAGCGTTCAAAGGATTTTTCATAGCAAAATTGTAAAAAACGTTTTTGCCTACGTATTCAACACTTCATCGAACCGTTTAACTGCGGAACTCTTAGATCCCGATATTTTTCACTCATACACCTAGACTAAACAAAAAAAACTGTCTAAAGGATGTATAAAGTTATTACTTGATATACACTTTTGATAATTAGAATATTTACTCATACATGCAACGTTTTTTTATAAAGAAAGATGCAAAAATCTTAGATTAATCGAGTAATTCACGTATCATTTCATCATACCTATCAAATTTTTATTTTTATTTTACGTAAAAACGTGGTATTTTTGTTCTTAAACAAATACAAAAAATTAATAAAACAATGCGTGAAAAACTCTTTCCTTCAACGAAGCACGTAAAGCTTCTACAAATTGTTTTGATCCTTAGATTACAGAGCAATAAGTATCGATTTGTATACGTTTTATAATCAAGGCACTGATAATGGTAAAGGCTATTATTGCCTTACAACAAAAATTTTGGACAAGGAAACATTATGATGGGTAGAGAGAGCCTCATTNGGACTGGTATACATGTAGATATTTTATCTGATGACACACGTTTTCCATCAAAAAATGAAACATTTTTTTTATCCGTCACTTTATGGTCGTACTCCGTGGGGTTTAGAATCAATCGATTAGTTTCTGTCTTTTTTTTTTTTTTTTTTTTTTTTTTTTTTTTGACAGAGTAATACTTCAATGCACCACGAACAAAAATTCTTTTTGACGATTTTGTGGTTCATTGTATCAACAGCAACCTCTTTTAAAAATACACAACACTCGTGAGTGCTACCTTTGTCCCTTTTACATCTGTATCACAGATTTCTTCGTAATAACAATTACCAAAACTTTTGCTCTCTTCTCTATTCAGGCGGAACAATAATTGCTTATCGAAGTAATTAAAAATGAAATTTGATAATCCAATGAAACGTTTCGATCCAATACGACGCTTGAACGTTGATAAAAAAAATTTTCATTCCAAGACAAATTCACATTTCACAACCATCATCCTAAAAATTTCTAGCAAAAAAAAACGATGGACAAAAACGTCTTTCCTATTGGCTTTGAAACTTTGAGTACACTTGATATGTTGTTTATAAAAAATTTGTCGATAACCATACAGTAGACGAGAATTTATAATTATATCAATGACATGCGGGCAAAAATATGATTACACGCGTGAATGAAGAATCAATAGAATTCCAAAATTCTTGTCCATTCTTTCAAGCACATGGTCTTTTAAAGACAAAAACTTTGTTACGGTTTCTTCGACGCGACGTTTGTTAAATGATCATATAAAAAATGTATTTACGTATACATACGATAATAATATTATCGGTGCCTTTTTTGTAGAATAAACTGCGCACGTTTACATTTCATTATTGTTTTTAATTATTAAAGCTAACATACAGTTGTCCCTTGGTTTACATTTACTCTTCGTTTCAATTCATTTTCAATTTTTGTTATACTTACATATTAATCCTTAAAATTAAATTTTCATAGTTTTTTCCTACTAAAATGTGGAAAATACTGCGTTGCCTGTCGCTAGCCTTTCAGTATGACTTTACGACTAGTGCAGGAACGCTACCAATTTTCGTCTACTTATTTTCGCAAATTCGTACAAATATTTCACGCTCGCTAAAACGTATTTACAAAAAAGAATCGCTCGAGGAGATATGTATACAGTGAAATTGGTGATCGAAAAACTTGTGTTTTTCTGATTGTAAGCTTATAAAAATACGATTCACGAAATTGTGTGTACTATCAATTTTTAGTTGTATATTACTTTAAGGTGTACAGTTAAGGCCGGAGTTAATTAAATTAAAAACTTTAAAGCCGTTTGTAGGGCCATTTTAACACACATATTTAAAAAAAAGTGACATTCAATTTTTTTTCTCTCTCGTAAAATACAACTAATTTAGCCATTTTGCTTTTTGTAGCAATGATTCTAACTATGTAAACTTTTTTCCTGTGCAAGCTCTAAAAATATTTTTGGAAAATATGGGAAATTTTTTAGTCAAATAATATAAAATATTAAACTTAAAACATATCTACTGTTCGTATGTATATATTAAAAATAAATATTCATTGAAAAAGTATAAACACACGAAATAATATTGCTAACATCCCTTTTTTAGCTCAACAGTTGAGAACAAATATTTTTACATTTTTGTTTTCCAAGCTCGCAATTTTACTTATTGGCGATGGATTTTTAACTGTTAAGCCAGGCACAATACATGTAAAGCTCAAAGTAAAAAACACGAAAATTTCAAAAATACATTTTTCTTAAATAGTTTTGGATTTGCATTCTCTGATATTCCAACCCGGCGTCCTTCAAATAAACCTCATTTAAAAATAACTCGAACGTGGTACGAAGAGAAGACGCTGCCGTGCGCATTTGAGCTTTTGCTTGTGAAGAAAAATATTCACGAAAAAAAATCTTACCCCTTAATTCGATTATTATTATTTATTATAGTTAATATTATCATTATTATTTAATTGACTGTGCACATTGTTACGCGTTCATCACTTAATTTCTTATTATTATTTTAATTATTTTTTGCTATATAACCATTTTACTCGTTAGCAGAATAGGGCTTTTTTTCATCGCTATTTTTTACCAAAGGTCGATATGTATATTATGAGCTCGAAGAATATGCCTTTTATCACGGAGGCTTTAAGGCGGATAAATTAATGGACGCTAAATTGTCCGTCCTATGATATGTTTTAAAAATTTATTGTTCGAATTTCGTACTTAAAAAAAGGATGTAAAGGGTTTTCCATATTATTCTTACTTTACTCATAATTTTCCATCTAGTCAAACTATGAATGAAACAAAAAAATATTCCAAGTTTTAGAAAATTGTATGTGTTCTTGTGTAGAAATCTAGGGCAAAAGAGTTTCCAATAACTAGTACACTTTAGAAATTTTTAAATAAGTGAACGGATAATTTAAAGAGAAAACAATACGTCTGCTGTAAAATTTTAGTACTTTGTATAAACGAACATCGGTTGACATAAAGGATTGCTTAATTTTACGATCGCGTCATATTAAAAAAAATTTTTTTTTTTTTGACAAAGTACAGTCGAAGCCAATAATGGTGGTTTAGGTGTATGTGCGAAAACTAACTATTTTTATTTTCCTTTTGATTCTCCTTTTCTAAAAATTCCCATAAAATTTCATTTTGCTTTCACCTATGAAATATTTAATGCCGTCGAGTTCAATACAATTTTCTTCTTCAATAGTATAGATGAATGCAAGACTTTACGTATTTTTTACTTGGATGATAATTAACATGTTTATTGAGCCAACTGCAGCTACCTGTTTAATGTAGAAATTCAAATAACTCACGAGTTATTCCACAGCAAAACCACACGTTTCTTCAACGGCTTGGGTAAGCTTGTCCAGCATTTTTTTGTAAGTTGGATAATTTTGTGGGATGTCAATTCTGTTGAAACAAGTATGCGCTTTAGGGAGATTTTCGCTCGGTGCATCAACAGCATGTATTGTAAACAGACGAGGTCCTGCCGCTCCTGTTGATCCTAAATAACAAAAAAAAAAAAAAAAAAAAAAAAAAAAAAAAAATTTAAACATTAGTATTGCTGTAGTAAAACTTATTTTACAAGAGATACGATCAAATGTACCTTGTAAAGCTTTGAATCCCTGCAGTGGGACTCGCGAACTTCCAGTGACAAACTGTAGAAGCCTAGCACGCATTTCTTCACCATACGACTCGACAATTTGCCAGAACCATTTAACGACGGGTGTATCTTGCGTACAGTTCTTCAATCGCGTATTTTGTTTCCAATCATTGATGTCGATAGTACCAAGGCCACCAATCACAAGCTCGAGCTCTCGTTCATCAAAAGGTCGTAACAACTGTGACGGTATTAACTCATGGAAACCTTTTTGTAGGGCTAAAAATTGTTGCTCGATACCACGCATGAAGCGATAGTTGACGTACAATCGGACGTATTCTTTCTTGTTTTCCTCCGTCACTGGAATGTCCTTGCCACCGGGTTTTAACTCATGGTTCTTGATTACGCCAAAACTACTGTGCTCCACGGAGAACGTGGCGTCGAGCACGCCGTCAATACTGTTTTCTCTGTCAATCGAGTCAAAACCAATATTTATAAAGTGCAAAATAAGATATAACACTTTGCGTGAAAAGAAAATACTCACAGCATCCACGTCAAGCTGCGATGCAGATCGGGATCGACGCCCTCGATATCATTGAGCGTTATAGCTTTGTTGAGCAGCATTTTATAAAACGGTGTTGTGAAGCCGCCGTCAACGTGGTGGCCATGAAAGACGGCGATGCCGATGATTCTACCAGCAAAATGAAAGTACGACAAGTGTTCAGGGTTGATTCCAGAATCAGCGTTGATTTGTAGAGTATAGTTATCATCCCGTGAATACTGAAATAGACCGTATTGTGGATTGAGCATTTCATGAGACAGTAGATAGAGCCATTCGCGAGCTATGCCACCATAGTCAAGACCCTCTTCGCCCCTAAATTTGACCATCAAACGCTTTCTCATGTCCTTTGGTCTCATTTTCATTATCAGTCTGTATGATTCCTGAAACATAGTACAGTAGTACGTTATTGATTTTCTCATTTTAAAAATAAGCTTCAATCAATGCTTTTTTAAATATAGATGTTTACTTCGAATATCTCATTCCTCGACACGTCTAATCTGCAATGACCAGTCTGCGGCTGAAGGGCATTTAATTCAGCTCTTAAACACTTTAATTTTGCGACGAGGTCACGCTTATACTTTGGAAGAAGCTCGCTCTCCATCAACTCTTTCGGCAAATCCGACACGGTCTGTCCATTAGGTGTAGGTGGCGTCTCAACAGTTGGAGTATTATTGTTACTTGCACCTTCAATCCTAGGCCTTTGCTGGTTAACATTTTGTGGAGTCGCCGGCTGGACAGCTGGCGCCGTTGTTCCTACAGACGGTTCCACTCTCGCCGGTGTCGCTGGACTACTGTTGTTACTATTTACCGATGGATTCGCCCCATTCTGCTGAACTTGTCTGAACCATGAAAATGAAACATTTTTTTTATATCTACTAAATACGTTTTACAAGTTAAAAAAAAAAAAAAAAAAAAAAAGTTTCAAATCACCAGGATCGAGTTTCACGAAGTAAAACACATTTTTTATTATTTTGTCACTTTTTTTTCCCGTTAAACATACGAATGACTTTAAGCGTGTTTGTTTACAAAATGACGCAGACCGCGTGCGAGATAAAGATTGAAGTTTCCGCTCACGAAAAAGTTCCTCAGCGCCGTCGGTCATGCACAGATAAAACATACAAAGGCAGCCCCGCAGCTGAGATTACAATGCGACTTGTTGGCTTCTCTCATTCCAGCTATTCGTAAAATACGCTGGGAAAGGAAGGCGTTCCTTTTCCTTCGCTATGCCGGATCTCGCGTTTCCGTCAGTGATACGCTCAAGGTACAAAGCTGCAGCCGCATCTTATTTCATTCGTTTATTTCTCAATGACTCACTTTAACAGATTATTGATGATCTGAGTGGAGAGCCGGGGGTCGGTGAACTGAGTTGTGCGATTGTTGTGGTCGACAAAGTAGACCCGACCGCTCTGCGTCTGGCGCATCTCCCAGCCGCTAGGCAATGGACCCAACTCGAGTTCGTTTGCCGAAAGATCGCGTGGGATCCTCGGATCGTGCCATGTCGACGTGCCCGTTGGCACGTGGTAAAAGTACACCTGGCCCTGTTGCGTTTTGCGCATTTCTGTTGAAAAAAACGATAAGATCATGATAATTGACTATTACACATAAGCTTCCATAGGGTACGGTTAATTAGTTTCTCTTCTGCCAAACACTAAAGTTAAAATTTTGCTTTATCTTTCGTTCGGCAAGCGGCGTAATAAACGACACAAACCGTATGTGTGCGCCACAAAACAAGTATGACGAATCGGACATATCTGAGAACTAGGATCACGTATCGGTGTTCCGTTACTAAGTTCTATTGAAGACACACCTGACTCTGCGTACTTTGACGATAGCTAATACATAAAGCTGAGCTTTTAAGTATGTGCCATCGTGATATATAGAATACCGGTTACAAAAAAAAAAAAAAATTATATGTACATATTTAAAAGCCGAGCTTTTGTTAGGTAAACTCTCAGTATAAGGAAAGAAAAAGGTATCTTAAAAAACTAACCGTAACCCCGTGGTAAATCAGTCGGCTGAGACTCGGTCCTCCTTTCGCCGACCGGAGGAGCTCCTCCACCACCGTTGTTCCTATTCCGATTGGACCGGCTAGATCTTTGCCTAGACTGGCCTCCATTGATGCCCCTATCCATCCTGGCTGCACCGGTCGACTGCTGCTGATTACCGTTTTGCTCGTCATTCGGTGTACGAGCTGAACGCGGGGTAGATCGCTCGCTACGATTCGCTGGCGTGCCATTTCTACTCGGCGTCGCGGCCTGTCCGCGTGGCGGATCGGCTTCACTACCGTTCCACGAGGGCGACTGACCCTCGAGACTCTGCTGGCGGCTCGGCGTCGAAGCCGTCGTCGTGGGTGAAGTAGCTGTGCTACTACTCGTCGTATCGCTGTTATGGCCGTTTGCTGGACTGTTGCCGACACTCGACGGCGCCGAATCGAGACATGGTGGCGGTTCCGGCGTCGTTGGAATTATCGCGTTGTTGGACCTGTGGATCGGTCGGATGTTTTGCTCAATAAATGAAGATTTTTCACACTTCATGTATTTACTCACCGTGAGTTTGGACGGACCCACTGCGTAGTGCGGGTGTGATGATTGACGTAATATAGCCTGCCGCTCTGGGTTCTTCTTTCCTCCCAACCTTCCGGCAGATCGGTCGGACAGCTGAGGTCGCCCAGAAGATCGACGACGGCATTGTGGCCGACGGTGTTGCTAACGGCGCCGTTGTGCCCATCGCGAGATAACAGCGACACAACGATCTGTCCTTTTACGACGTCCGTGTCCTCCGAGTTGGCCTTACAGAGGTCCAATCGTTGATCTGTCAATGGTATTGGAGTATTATTTATTGAAGACGATTAAATTACAGTTGTTGGAGGATATTTTTTAAAAATTATGCATGCTTACATCCGGTATCCTTGAGCCTGTGGATCGTGTTCGACAGTATTCGCACGCAGCCGAGAAAACCACCGCCGTTTTTCTTGTGGACTTTTCGGTGATTCCATACCGATATTGTAATCCCGTCATTTTTTCCAATGTACCTGAAACGAATGAGAAAAAAAAAAAATTAGTTGGAGAAAACATTTACTACATCAATCTTAAAATCAGTCTCGGGGTTATTCAACTTACAAATCGTAGTGCTGATTCCACTTTGGGTCTAGAGTAGCTTTGCACGTGTCGGTGCTGTGCCACTGATCGGAACCATCGACGGCTATTTTGGCAAAAGGATCCGGCAAACCTTTATTGGACGCAAAGTTAAATAAAAAAAATGTATTTTTTTGTACAGATTCAAGTGGAGATAAAAAGTTACATTATTCATTACTTACGAAATAGATCTTTCCTAGCGAGATTGCGAGCACACAAGACTGCAAACAAATGAAAATACAAAAAATTTAAACTGATCACTACACGGTATGAAAAAAAAAAAACCTACAGGATATGAAAGGTGAATTAAAAACGGTGTCAATCGTATTAAACTTATGAAATGAAATTGAAGAAATTCCAGAGTAAATGACACACACGCATGCACATACGCACATACACGTAACAATCGGAGTTATAACGTTAAATTGAACGCATGACGAGGAGATGAAGCACGATAGCGTGGGAGAGAGAAAGGGAGTGATGAAAAAAACATTGGCACCGCCGTTGAGTTTTTTTTTTTTTGTCTTGCGCTCTGATGACCTTTCCCTCTTTGAGATGATTTCAATTGGCTGAAGTAATTATACTTCGTTTAGGCATAGTAGAGGAAGAAAAAGAGGCTCGAACGCAACTATGCAAGAATTTTTGGATATGTAGATATCCAATCTTTCTTTTCTCTCTGAAAGAATTTTAAAAATAGTATCCGGTGGAAGTTAAAAATATAGAGGTGATGCACATATTCTTTTTTTTTCGTCTTTCGAACATCTGATGTTGTGTCTTTTGATTAACGCAGTTTTCATCATTGATAATATATTACCACGGTGATAAGCATTTTTTAAAGTATATTCGTCCGCGGCTCTGTTAAATTAATATGTTGGAAAATAACAGATATATTATAAACAGAGTAAGTATTTACTCTCATTAGAAAATCTATGTCAAATTACAATTGCCTTTGTCATGGATTTCTCAAAACTGTAAGAGGCTAAGAGGATGTATATAAAAAAAGTAAGTTATCAAATATCCTCAAAGAACTAGATCCAATTATATTATCTACGCGTGAGTAACTCTTGAATCGGTTTCTCAACTTTCAGATTCCCAGTGTATTGAATGTGGAGAGACCTAAGAGCGTATAAACACATTAAAATGCAAATTTCCATCATTTAGTGCTGCTTTATATTTTATTTTAAACGAAAATATATATATGATAAATGTGTTTTGTAAAGCGATCTGATTTATTATGTCAACACCTCGTATGAAGAGTATAGCCATTTAGGTTTTTCACGTTCATTTCAAATTAGAAAATCTAAATTGAGCAGCTCATTAAGCAAGGCGCCAATGTATTAATGTCAGAGCTAGCATTTACACATAATGCAACAAGTTTGATAAATTACGATAGTGCAAGACACGCATTTAAATAGATGTATTTTTAGAATGAAAAATCAGTCGAATAGGTAAATACTTGAAGTTGAGCACTAAAAAATAAAATTGTTAATGTACTTGTTTTCTCATTGAAGATTAATCTATTGGCAAGCTGCCTACAAACTATCACCTGATAATTTCAGTGTCATAACGATAAACTTGATCATATGAAAATTCAATATTAAATATTGAAAAAAAAAAGATCCCTAAAGTGTAATAATTGGACACACAATTTTGTGGCATCCAAAAGTGTCTGTCACATTGAAGCAATAAAATCAAAATATTTTTGAATTAACAGATGTAATCAAATCTAATCCTTGCCATGTCCTCAATGGGTCTGTCAGTTGCTTTGCTCTAAATCGCTTTATTGTAATGTATTTGACTTCCAAGCTCCACAGCAATAAATCAATATTAAAATGTAATAGAAAAATTGTCAAAAGCTCATTACTTGTTCATACTCTCATTGAGTGCATTACTAGCAGATACTATAAAAACGTTGTACAAAGGGAGAACCATCATATGCATTTGCACATTGATATTTCAGCAATTGACATTGGTATATTACGTGAGTTTTAAATTATGTGCATAAAATAGGTAGACAAGTCCTTGATTCACAAATTGTTGGTATGGAAAGCTAATCAAGCCTCATCAAGTTTTATCAAGTGAAGATAACAATCAATGATTGTGTCAGACAGGCAGCAATCAGCACAAGTCAGTATTGTAACAGAAAACCCACGAAAAAAAAAAAAAAAAAAAAAAAGGAAGTGAAACTCCTAGCCTGCCAAGCGTAACCATAGTGCATGCACGTTCTTTAGGTGGATACATAACATCAATTATCAGAAGTTAGTCAGCAGCAGCATTATGCTACGCTTTCCTCGACCTAATCGTTGCCTATTTCTCCTTCTTGGCTCACAAGTTTTATGGTGTACTTCTGAAGAGTGAAAGAAAAAAGCCAAACTGCAGAACGTACACGAGAAAATTAAAAAGAGAGCAACGTTGTCGAGGAAGCAGACTCTGCTCATCACCAAGGATATAAAAAAAAAAGAGAAGCAGGATGACGCCAGGGCGCCTGAGATCTCAATCCATGCTCCTCAGAGTAATTTTTCCCATCCTACATCAGAACACACAGATGAGCGCAGACACGCATATAGGCAATACATTCACCGAGCACGGCGGAGCCATATTGAATAATGCACAACAAAAACACAGAGGCCCCCCGCGCGCGCGCGCCCGCCCGCGACTCCGAAAGTGAGGACACGCACGCACACGCACACATACAAACACAAGAATAAGAGCACGCTTTGAGCATATTTCTGCTGACTTTGGGTGCATTTTTCACCAGCTCCCGGATGTTCAGAACCCGGGACGCAAAAAAAAAAATAAAAGAAAAAAATATCGCAGACAGTGCTGTTGTACGGTATAACACACACTCACTCGTCAAACGAATCTTGGTAGCCGCGGTCCTCCTGCTACCTCCAGGATTCGACATTCTCGAGGCACATTTGTCGCAACGGACGGAGCACACGGGGACAGGTCGACCCTCCCCGTCCCGTCCGGATGACGCGCGTGCACAGAGTAGTAATTTAATAATGCTCGTGAAACCCTCCACCTCGCCGTCGCGGGAGAGCTTTTTGGAGCACAGTTGCACTGCACTTTCTGCACAGCACTGCACACACACACACACTTTCAACACTTTACTTTACGCACTTCCTATCGAACAGACAGCACTGCACTCAGTTGGTATGCATGGTGAGAGAGCAGAGAGAGAGCAACAGCAAGCGGCGCCGTGCCTTACAGACAGCAGCAGAAGGCAGCCCCCCCCCTTCCCTGCTTCCTGCTCTCTCTCATTTTGCAGCACGAATTACCCTCCCGACAGACAGTCCCCTCACACTCCCCCGACCCCCGACCAACGCATCAAATACAATACCTTTATACCTATACATGTCGACAGTTGCACCCTTTTGGGGTCGGGGTTGGGGGACTCAGGGGATGAGGGGATTCAGGTAAGGATATTCGAAATATAAGTATGTCGTGTACATGAATACGGAAGGCTGGTCCGCTGGTGGGTACAATACACGCGCCTCCTCTTATTTACCGTCTCTTTCGGGCCAAGTGATTTTATGGACTTTTTTTATCTCCAAGAACTTTCGTCGAGACGTGGAAGTACTTGAGTACCTATGCATATAGGTATATTACTACGGTTAGAGGAAGTTTTTCAAAAGGAGAAAGAGACGATGCGGGCGCCGGTTGGAACCTCGGCAGTCGAGGCGCTTTTATTCTTTTTTTCGCTTTTCCTCTTAGAAAATAGGTATATTTTATTATAAAATACCTCTTACCGCTGTCGTGCTCTCTCCCATAGAGTGACCACAATTATAACCTTGCCGATGATTACATGCAAGTGAGAGAGATGATGATACTGTTGGATGAGATATAAAAAAAAAATTAATTGTGTAATATTCATCAATAGTTCTGAAGTTTCTGAAATAAAATTTAGACAAAAGAGAAAAAGGGTTATTTTTCTTCATGGATAATATTTTATTATGATCCAGTGGTTTCTTATAACGAAATGTTACATTATTTTATATTGTGCATGTAGCTTGTGCCCACGAGCGCCAATTTTTTCATTTTCTTCCAATTTTATTATTACACTTGGCTTTATTCTTTATATTACTTTAGTTTTTTCACACGCATAATTAATAATAATATTATCTAAGACTTTGTATGTCATTTTATGGTAGTTAAATAATAAAAAATGAGATTTAAATGCGAGATACAGAGTTCTGTGCCTCTAACATGCATACATGTAACTTTTTATCATTATCTAACGTCATAATTATCTAACTATTCGCATTATAAGCTTACAACCACACATAACAGCATATACAGTAAAAACATAGCCAACTAATTAACTTATCATATTATTACTTTGACTATTTAAAATTTCGAGAGCAGTTGAAATCAGTCTATAAAATTAAACAATTATATTTTACTAAATTACATTTAGCTTTCAAATTATAATTCCTCAGCTTTTAAAGTTTTCTTGTATGTATAACATTTAAAATTAATTTTAATTATTTGCTGAGTGTTTGAAATCCTTTAGAAGTTATTGTATGATACATATAACATCATTTTGTCGAGCAGATCTTTGGTAAATATAAAAATTTTTTTTTTTTACAATAAATCTAAATATGGCACAGAGCGATGTGCTACTGAATTACTGAAAAAAAAAAAAAAAAAAAAAAAATGCATAATGTTTATGACTCACGATTCTTACTTTCACATGTATAAAACTTCAGCAGTTTTCATGATTCTTCACATCACTTAATCAAACTGTCCAAGTTTTACTGTACTTCTTAAGTTTAATATCTATTTCTTAGGTTTTGGACTTGTGGACTGGAAAACACTAGATGCTGCCATTAAATTTTCTATGTACTGGGAGAGCACTAAATTCTCACTTTTTAATTTTAAATTTTCTTCTTTGACTCCATCTACTCTTTGTGACAAATCTAAAAGAAAATAAATTAAGTACTACCGATATCGTGAGCACAACTTTGATAGAGAAACAAACGTGGTTTTACCATCAAGAGTATTCTGGAGCTCTAAGACTTGTGCTATTAATCTTGCTTTTTCTTGCTGTTCATCAGGGCTACAATCTGGATCTAAACCTAGAAGACATCCTAAATAGAACAAATACAGATGAACAAAATTGTCATTAACGAGGAGCTATCCTTTTAAGATCATTAAATGATGTGCAAATGACTAAAAGTGACAAATAATCATTCTCATGGTTTAGATAAAAAGACACGCAAGTAATTAAAAAACTGTCTCCATTCATAGAAAAGACAAAATAGATGAGACAAACACTATTTTCAGTGAAATAAAAGGTAGTGATCAAAATGACAGTGTCAGCATAGTAATGATGTGATGACCAGAAGAATAGCCCCTCGATGATTTGGATGACAACAAAAAACAGATAGAGAGAGAAAGACATAAAAAGAAGAAATACCCATAGAAATGGTGTGCAAATAACTTACTGTTGCAACTGTCACTGGTGAAACTGGAAAGTATAGAGTTCATGTTCTGTCCTTGTTGGAGAGTCTCAGAAGCTTTCGAATTATTGTCCTTTGTGTTATTCTCCTCGTCTGGTATTATAACTGAAAAAGAAGCAAAGCAGATCATCAACTAATTGGGTCAAATTATGGACGCGCCAAAAGAGTCACCGCTAGCTGTGGTGTTTCTTACAAGCGGCATAGCGCACAAAATGTATAACATTATTTTTACCTTGCGGATCGTCGTCCGCCAGGGGTATATTATTGATATCCTCTTCGAGCTTCGTTGTAGCCATTGTTATTTCTTGTCATTTAAATCCAGCCCCGAAAAAGTAAAGAAAAACTTTATAAAAACACTCGTTCGAGACAGACTAGGCGCATACATACACACGATCGCCTTGTATGTCAGTATAATAGTCAGTCGGTACGTCGGTAGTCGGTAGGTATATCGATTCTTTTCTATAGCTATATCTTACCTAAGTCTATCCGGATATTTCAGGATTAGATGATGTTAGGGTGTCAAGAAGTCTAGGTTTTCTACGTAGTACTTATCACGAATCACGACTTCACCTCGCACACCCTCACAATCTACCTTGACAGCTCTCCATCATCGTCCTAAACTGCTCTTTTTTTGTAATGCTCCTAATTTTCCGTTCTAATTTTGATACACTCAATAAATATCTTTTACTAGTTTTACTATCTATTCTTATGACATATAATTGTACTATAAAGTATACTCCGCTACTCCTGCATGCTTTTGTTAAATGTATTGAGCTGCAAAAAATATATCATATGATGTAAACAGTGTGTATTTTAGCGCACAAACAGAGGGGGCCTGTCTGGGGGGGAGTGCACTAATATAGCGACGATTGCGGAAAACACCCCTGGTGGCGATTGCGAAAAACACCCAGGATGATGGTATTTAACTTATCAACCGTCGGTACTGTCGAAATTTGCAACAGCTGTTTATCTACCCCCACGCATTGACGCACGATTTGTGTGCGTGCGTTTGTGTATATCGAATAGCAGAATACCAACAAAAAAGTTTCGGAGCATGATCGTATATATGTATAGAAAAACACAAAACCCGCATCCCGATCAGAAATTTAATGGGTTTGCCACCTTAGTTAATGGGGTCCCCCTTCGGCTGCCTAGTTGGTACCCCATTAGGCGCGTCACGGGGCGAACTGAGGGTCCATCGTAGGCTGCCTCAATAACCTAGCTAAAACTGTTGAAAACAATATATATTTCTGCGTTTGGGTTAAATATATGTGACCGTAATTTAATTCTTCCTTATTTGTACGGCCGATAAACTCCATAATCTGCATAGCACGCATGGTAAATCAGGCACATGCTCTTATGATAATTGTATCAAATTTAATGATGTACCTACACAAAAAATACAAAGGGTTAGGTAAACTTTCTTTCCTATTGGGGCACACTAGAGAGGACCACATCTACGCCCCGTGACGATGCCATTCTAGGACCACATGTGGTTAATTTGGCAGCCTAGAGTGGACCCCATCAGCACCCCACTAAGGTTTCTGATCGGGTAGTGCACGATCGTCTCTCGGCTGCTCGGACTCTGTCGAACGCAGTCGTTCGCTGCGCTGTGCGGTCGATGTTGTTAGTCTCCTTGCACCCACGCGCATACACACCAATCTATATTTATTATACTTTTTTTGTACAAAAAGAAGAGGACGAGGAAAATGTTGCGGCTGCTAACGCGGAGGCTGCTGATCTCGAGGAGTTGACGACGACGAAGACGACTCTCTGAAGACACACGCGCATGATTATTTATAAATTTGGCTTTTTATTTTTTATTTCTTTTTTTTTTTTTTAACATTCGGATTCGGAAGATACTCTTAATACATACATGTGCATATCAGTAGGACGTCGTCATACAATCTATAAAACAATCTTCGTACGCGAGGTTATTATCACATCGTTAAGATAAATAATATATATATATATATATATGTACCTGTGTCTGTGTTTGTGGGGTGTCTCTTGTGCTCTCTGTCTGTGGTGAACGTGAAGGAAGAAGAAATTAGAAAGAAAGAAAAGAGAAACGCGGCAGAGTCGCAGGCAAGGTCGAACTCAAGAGGAGGCGAATAAATACAATATATTACAAGTGTCCAGTAGAATATACCCCCCGAGGATGGCAGACTTTGACGCTATCTACGAGGAGGAGGACGAGATCGAGCAGGCCCTCGAGGAGCACTTGTACACAACCGTCGTTCCCGACCCCATCATCATCCGCGGTGCTGGCAATATGACCGTGTAAGCTGAAAAGCTGCTCTTTTTCCCTCTATACTTTCATATAAGCCGCTCAGAAGAGTACTTACTTATTTGTTCCTAATTTAAGGCGCACATCATGTTTTTTTTTTTTTTAACTCTTTTGTTGGACTCTCGTTGCTCTTTGTGCTCGGAGTTGCATACATTTGCGGCCGTAGGTGTAATACACTTGATTAATTAGCGAGATCTTTGTTTGTTTTTATTTTACACTCTTACTCTTTTTTGTCAGAAAAGCTGAGCAGAAAATTTACTTCGACAGAAATCGTAGGAGAAACAGAGATATATATCCTACCCATGTTATGCTTTGTTTAACATAAATGGTTTCTATACGGTAATATGTAAATACTAGCCAGTCTATCACGACCTACAAAAACTTGTGGACATGCTTATTTGTCACGATTTATACATATACGGGTGCTAGTATAGTTGCATTAACATGTTACGCACTTTCATACGTTATCTCTTTTTTTTTATTAGTATTGTTAGATGACGCGTTAGAATTATTAGCTCTGACGGGCGATTCGATTATCGGAGTCACTTGCTCACATTGTTAGGCCAATTTTTTTTTTTTTTTTTCCTCTTTTTTGTCCCTGCAAGTACTTATATACTTAATTCTCGTGGTAAAAGAAAACACACTTACTTATCGCGAATTTCTGCGCAAAAGAGAAGATCAATAATTATCATTAATTGTTAGTCCGCAAGTATACATATACACATAACTTAACGGAGTCTTTTTTTTAGCCGTCAAGTCTTATTCATACGGATGCAAGTATACGTGCTTTATGTTGGTAAGGTACGGGTTGCGATACATAATTACGTATTAGACTTGTATGCCATGCGATTCACTTCGCGTAGAACGTGTTTTCTGTATCTAGTATAATCACGCTATAATGTAACACAATCAACCGGATTTAAAAGTATCACGAACGTATATGCGTATTACAACATGCCGCGGGAAACAATTGCTTGTATGTACGTTTATTTTAATTCGAATTTCATTATGAACCGTTTCTTTATTATCTGTGTGTTTGTATGTATACAGAAGCTTTCTCGAGTCGATTGCAAAACAACAGTATGATTCATGCACGCGAATTATTCACTTGCGCGTTTGTATAAAGAAAATGCGCGACGTCTTATTTCAGGGAAAATAAAATTTAAAAATTGAGTCCTTCGGTACCGTGTTTTAAATATAAAATTCCCATACAAACGCATCCTTTTTAAAAGCATCGCCTGTTACTCGTGACACCTGCCTCTCATGGCTTTGTTTGTTCAAACTAAACGAAAATCGAATTGCAAATGCTAGGAGCGCTGCGTGTGCACGATTATATTTATTATTATACTTACTATTACTATGATAGTCTGTTGTTGTTGTTTCGAATCGATTGAAAGCAATCAGTCATTCCACGATTAAACGGACAAAAATAGAGCAAACGAAGGAAAAAAAAACAGCAGCGAACGAACAAAAGTAAATCTAGATATACGCGTATACGTAGCTAGTTGCCTGGATAAATAAATGCAGTAAACGTTCGTAAACGCGGAGAGTCTTTTCATACTTATACTCTCTCGGTTCCTTTGTTAAGTAAAAAAAAAAAAAAAAAAAAATGTTCCAGCCGAAAAAAGAAAATAAGTAGTGGTGGGCGCACAATGTTAAAAAAAGGCGTACACTTATATAAACATGCCGTACAAAGTAATTTAAAGCGCTCTGTTTACGCGACCTCCGTCGAGTCGGTACCTTTTTTTTCCTTCCTTCTTGTCTTTCACTCTGATGTTCTTTCGTTTCATGTGCAGCAACAACACATATGTGCGAGCAAAGCCGTCTTTTAATCGTTCGTTCGACGCTCTGATGTGTAGAGTGCCTCTCTTGGGAACTTTGGGATAAAAAACAGCAAAAGAGTGTGATTTGTAGCTGTTGTTTTTTACTTTCTTTTCTTTACGATTCATTCTAGTAATAAATTGTTGGTGGGAGTCTTTTTTTTTTTTTTTTTTTTTTTTTCCCAAGTCACTGATGACTGATTACTCCCTCGACGCCTCGACCAACACTGTCTGATCCGTACTTTCTTTACTACGTTTCTAATTTTCAAGTTTATATATATGTGTGTGTGCCTAAATTGAGAAGGAAATAATTTTTATACATTCGCTTGATGTCTGATAATTATTTGTAAAAAGATAATTTTTCATTGAGGTTTTCATTTTGTGGAAGAAAACTATATTTTTAAATCCACGAAGTTAATTGAGCGTGTAATCGATTACTTTCCCATTTGACATACCAGTGATCTGTAAAATCAACCGATTAAACAAAACATTGCTTCGGGGCCCGAAGGAATTTCATTTCTATACATCATGTTCTGACTCGACGAGGTCATATATTATATTGTACGGGAAATTGCTGTATCCCTTCCCTCAGTGATTTTATGATCAAAACTATACTTTTACCTATATATTATATATTACTTATATAAATGATCATAAGTACATTTACACCTTTCAACTGTTTGTCCATAGCATTAGAATAATATTGACAAGCCTCTTGACACGATAATGTGAGCGCACACACACGTCACCCACGCTACAATTGTTTCGTTAAATTGTTACATTTTTCTCTCCGTTTATCAATATTTGCGAGCACGTGCGATGGAAATCTCGTAGAATAAGCACGAAAGTGACACAATAATCGACAAAGAAACCTTGACTTGTACAATCACAGTAATGAAAATCAGCACACAAAATGAATACGAAAAACACGTGCTTTCAAGATTTTGATGTTTGATGGTTCTGTAAGGTATATATAAGTTTTTTCTTTTCTTTTTTTTAACTTATCCAGAATAGCTTGAGAAATCAATGTTTTCTCATTAATATTTCGTCGTCATATTGATATAATATTATACTCCACTATTGTTTAAAAATATGTTAGAGGTGTCCTGAGTTTTCTTCATCTCCAAGGCAATTATAACGTAACCAGTACTCGTTTAACTTGAAAAATAAAACTAAATCAAAATCATTATTGTGATGTACGAGATCAATAATTAATTAAGCATTTAATTATTATGAAACCCTTGTAAAACTTACCTGTGATGACTTATTATATTTATATGTAATTTTAAAAATTCGTACCATTTATTTTTATTGAGCTTTTCCAAATTTTTTTTGGCTTTCTCAAACTATTTCATCATTAATTTATAACATTAACGTGATGACATTTGTTTTTTCTTTTTGTTTTTTTTTTTACTCAGCAATTACTGTAGTCGTTAAAATATTACCAGCAATAACCTCATGACTTACACGAATGTTAACGAGCCAGTCTTGTTTGAAACAATAGATAAATAAAAAAATGTCTCACGCACATTATTATAGGCGTATACGTACTACACTGAACCGAAGTATTACGTAATTACAGATGCACATGTATTTCTTGCAAACGCTAAAATAAAATTTCTTGAATATATAATACAATAATAACGAATGAATGAATGAATGAAACAAGTGAAACAGCCCAATTGCAACAGCAGCATACCCGTGATCTTTGCGTGAGTATATAATATTTTATACTCAATGGTGTACACGCTGCACATTGAAACCGCGAGTACCTATCAAGTGCTTGACAAAAGAACAAAGACGAGAAAAAGGATGAGACGGAAGACGAAGAGTCCATACGTGCAATTTCCATTTGATTTAAATATAATGTTGTATGTATATATATTATAATATGTGTATCACTTATAATTGTATAAATATGTGCATACACAGGTTCGGGCTGAGCAACAGATTCGAGTCGGAGTTTCCTAACGGGCTGGTGTCGCGAGTCGCGCCCGAAGAATTCAAGGCGACGATCATGCGGATAAACAGCGTGCTCAAAAAAACCCTACCCGTCAATGTCAAGTGGCTGTTTTGCGGATGCGTGTGCTGCTGCTGCACCCTCGGCTGTTCCCTGTGGCCCGTCGTTTGTCTCAGTAGAAGGGTACATTTCGTTTTTTTAAATCTATTAAATACACATAAGTACAAGTGATTTATTTTATAAGTATAACATTGGTTTTTCCCTCAGACTCAGCACTCGTTGAACAAACTCTTGGAGTGGGAGAACAGTCGATTGTATCACAAGTTGGGTCTGCGATGGAAATTGACGAAGCAGAGGTGCGACAGCTCATCGATGATGGAATACGTAAGTTGTTTACCCATTTTTTATTTATAAAGCGATGAGGCTATCCACAAGCTTACGTAATGATCTACCCTTACAGGTGCTATTGATTGAGTTTATTCCGAAAATACCTCTTTACAAGCCGGACTAAGGAAGCGGAGGCTCGAGGACTTGTTTCTTTTTCCTCGCCCTCTTGGGTTGGTCGATCGTATGGATTGAGGAAATGATGATTGTTGAATTGAAAACGAATATTCAAGATCCTAACGTCCAGGTCCTAATAATGTAAACTATTATTAAATATTATATTGCATTGATAAATGCGTGTAGTCAGACAAGAAAGAGAGCCATTATTACTATGATGTAGCCTTCAAAAAAATTATACGGATATTTTAAACGCGTGCTCACTCGGTTAAGTTTACCTATACATTATACATACATATAAATATACATATACATATATATATATATATATGCATTTGATAATTGTATGATAGGCATATTTTTGTAAATACGAATAGGATATAGTACAATAATTATGTATAGAGGTGTAGTTAAGTGACTAAAACGTGTTGCGCGTTGAATTTTATGATTTATACGATTGGCGAAAATTAACAATTTAATTTCGATTTTCGTATCTCTTAAGTTGATCTCGTTATTTATTGTAACTGGTTTTTTTTCTCTTCTTTTCTTTACATTTAAAATAATTCAAATTAACTTTTATTGTTTTTAGAAATTAAATTTTTACTACAGAAATTTTGTTAGTGCGTCTTGATAGATCGTAAGTGGTTTTGTTGGATTAAATTTAGATATCGTTGCAAAGCCTAACTAAAAATTAGAACTAACAGTTTCACATGTAGACTTTGAGGATGCGGTCCAGTTAAAGAGAGAAAGAGAGCAAAGTGATCCTTTGAAAAATAAATTGGTGCGATATTTTGAGAATAAGAGATAAAATCTGAAACTTAATAAATTTTAAATTTATAATTAGCTATGTAAGACGAAAAAAAAAAAATAAAATAAAATAAAATTAAAACGTGTAAATATTACTTGAAACGCTGATTTGTAGCCTTGGTTTGATTGTATGTACCTAATCACGGTGATATTTAATGAGTAATTAAGATTTTACGTTAAGCACGGAGTTTTTATACGTATATTCAAGAAGCGAAATATTTAAAATAAATTGCGCATTGTTTGTTCGTGAGGTAAATTGTACTGTAAAACATCGAAAATGTATGATTGTTGTATTGAACTGATACAATTGTTGTGTACTGTCCTAAAAAATTTTGTTCTAGACATTAAAAGAATATTTCGAAATTGTGAGCCACTTGTACTACTTTTTTTTCCAGTTGATTTTAACTAAAGTTGCTGTTCTTTTATGAATACTTCTGTATATAAATATATTGTATTTCTAATTTTACGAATACTTCTAGATTTTGATATTTGTCTGGCAATGACAAGAAAATTTTCATATTGACGAAATAAGTGGTATATAAAATTTGCTTCTTATAGTTTTCTAGTGATGCCAGGCAGATACCACTTGCTTGTGGTTTTTCAAATATTTTTTTGTCAGTTAAACAAACAGTCATAATTAATAAGATTATAATGAGAATAGAAGACTAAATTATTTGAATGTACATGAATTTAAACAAGTTTTCTTTGTCCACAACAGTCGAGGTGTACGAAAATTGTTAAATTATATAATACACGCAAGTTTCAGCCTTGAAATAAAAACAATCAATCTGAAAAAACAATCAAATAATGAATATTTTCATTGCCGAGTATACCCTTGAAAATTCTATTACATTACTGTTTCTCATTAATAATGCAAATATTTAGACATCTTATATGTAGCCAAATCAATAATAATAATATGAAGAGTCGAAAATTAAAAAAAAAAAAAATTTGGTCGCGTAAAATTTTAATCTGTGCTTTGTGCAAATTTTTTTTCAGCACTGCCATTACTGTAATCATAAAGTTAGAGTAAATCATCGGATAATCGTGGTCGAAGGAACAGGAGAAATTGAAATTGCTCGAGTGTTAATTTTATTAGTATTGAGACTCGAACGAGACATTGGAAAATAAAATATCTTGAAGCCTTGCCTTGTAAAAATTATACACTGCCTCGCTAAAGGAAGCGTTAAGGCCGCTGGTTAAATCAAAAGTTTAAAGCCATGGTTAAATTATTTTTCATCTAACAACAGCGGTAGAATTTTCTTTCGTAGCATCTCCCAAGAGTTATACGCACGCGTCTTTGAGAGCAAAGCAAAAACCGGTCGAAGCATCATTCTAAATAAACACACGCGGATAGAAATTTATAAACGCGTTACGTAAAAAGTGTACTATCCGCGCGAGCACGAATGGTAACTCAATTACGACACCTCTCGGCTATAAGATTCATATGCGCAATAAGTGTATGAAAAGATATGGATTTTAAAAGATAAAACTATGTCTAATTACCATCCATTTTATCTGATTAGAGAGCAAAGTTTCGAGCTTGCATTATCGTTGAAAAATCATTGCGTTTTGCCGAATGAATATTTTGTGTGTGTGTGTGTGTATAAATATGTGTTCAATTGCAGAGAGAGCTATATGTTTTTGCCGTCGCAATGCGCAGTTTCGACATATGTGCCTTTCGTATCTGAGGATACGAGTTGGGTTTACTAATACGAGTATAAAAGAAATGTTTTGCAATTGTTTAATATTTTTTTTTTTAAAACCGCAATAACATGATCCAAAAATACTCTTGCAGGAAATTGATTTTTCAAACCGAAAAAATTAGTGTTTGTCAGCATTATTCTTTAAAACTCAATAGTTATAAAAAAACATGGACATAGTATGAGGTTTAAGATGATATAATTAAAATATTGCGGGGCTGTTGAATAAAAAATAATTGATTCATATATTATTACTAACAAGTCAAATTCAGCATCAGTTTATAAAATTAAAATTGAAAAAATAGAACATGTTAACTGAGTTATTGTGCACCCATGTCGGAAAAAGAAAAAAGGTACTGAAACTATTAGTATTTTAAGATAAAAAAAAGGAAAATTCTTGGATCGTCAGATTTAATCGTTCTACTTCGTAAGAAGCTTTATAACAAGATTCAAGCAATGTCCAAACCTGTTTTATCCATTCTCTAGAGGTTGCAACTGATTACGTTTTCCAGATTCCATAAAATAAGTTTATAAACAAATAGTTATACGTTTATGACCTGGACTATGATGTAAAGTAATTTTTGTTTCTTTATAAACAATTATTTGCAATGGATCCAAGAAAAAGGAGAATGAACAAACAAATGATGTAAATAGTTGTAAAATATTTATTACAATAAATAATCAAAATTGCACCCATAAACTTGGACGCCACGCCTTTTTTCTTAAAAAAAAAAAAAAAATATTTAAAACACCCTATATTATAAACACTAAAAATCTCATGGATGTTTCGCTATATTTACATAACAAAACTAAAAAATAATTAATAACGCTTGTAGATTGTCAACAAAAATGATATAGAAAAGAATTTTTTTTTTCAAGTAAATAAATATTTACAAATATATTCTCCCTGTTCAACTTTAAGACTAAAAAAATTGAGTTTACAAATTTTTTCATCTAACTAAAAAAAGAGTTCTCAACTGATTAAAAATAACCAAATCAACTAAAAAATTAAGCCAATTTCATAAATTTTTCACAATGTTTTCGGATAATTGATCGATTCTTACTTTCATCCAGAAAAATTTTAGGCTTTTAATGCGAATTTAATATTTACAATTGAGCAGTGTTCAGTACTTTCTTGCCAGTGAATGTAACTATTTTTTTTTTTTTGTTTTTTTTTGTCAATTCATGTAGTGCAGTACTTTAGTAATAATATATTTTTTAAACATTGACCTTAGCTATTATAAATTTTTTTTTTATACAAACATACTTTCGTGGTCTCGCTCGTTTTGCTCGCCAATTGACACTTACAAAATCGGCATGCTTTAATGACGAAGCGAAAAAAACAGTGCTTTACCTCAGTTGTTAAACTCTTAACTCAGATCATAAACATTTGGATGATAAAATTTCATAAATGGTTCGGGAGATCATTTGGTACTTTGTTGACGAAACTGGAAGGAAACTGTCCCCTTTTGCCCTTATATTCTCCATACAGCCAGTCATCCGATATCCTCGATAATACCTTGATACTCGCTCCTTCCTGAAAAACCCCACAAATATTTTCAACGGTTAAAAACAGAACCAAGCAGCAATAAATCGCGCATCAGATAAAAAAAAAAATCACCTCAAAGGACAAATCGTCACTCGTCTCGGCTTTGAAGGCGTAAAGCGCATTGACCACATTCGTCTCTAAACCCGGCAGGGGAATCTTAACGTCGACAAAGTTAATGGGAAACATCCCCTCACGGTTGTTCACTCGACCCTCCATCCAATTGTCGTTGATCAGCTTCGTTAAATAAACAATGTCACCCTCCTTCAAATCTAAATCACCAGGCTGCGACGCTGGAAAATCATACAACGCTACGCCGTAGGAATGTTCCGTCGTGTCCTTTAAACAACAGAGAGGGGAAAAAATATCAATCACAAGATCGCAACAGCCAATGACGGAAAATGTTTCTCAATCAAAACGATTAGAAAGTGGTTGAAAGCCCCTTGTCTTACCTGCAGTCCAGTTCCCAAATCATCCGTGCATTCCAAAGGCGGAGGTGGTGGTGGTGGTAACTTGGGCATCGGTGGTGATGAGCCCGTAGGTTCCGTTTCATCGTCGTCATCGTCGCTCCAAGACGGCTTTTCTTCCTCAAAAGTACCAACGGCGGGCGCGAATTTGGGTGCACCGCTGTAATTATTGCTCTGGTAGACGCTCGGCTTTGCCCCACTGACGTTCTTAGTCGTCGTCGTTTTCTTTGGCCAAATTATCGTAGGCATTTGGAAGTGCCGACCGGGAGAGTCGAAGGGGCTACCGCTCGCGTTGCTACTCCCTGTCGTCGACGTGGTGGCGTCGTTGAAGGCGAAAAAGTTTGATTCCCCGACCTCTTTGGTACAGGGGAACTGCTGACTCGACGTCGCCGTTGTAGGCCACTGTTTTTGTACGTTTGTTGGAAAAAACAAAAAAAAACAAAAAAAAAAAAAATTACACGTCGCAATGATGACTCATGGGATGAAATTTTATTCTCCAACGTGACAATTGAAAAACATAAAAAGTACCTGCTGAATGATCGGCTTGCAGCTCGGGGGCTCGAGCGAGCCGAAGGGATCCTGGCTGGAGCTGACGCGCCAAGGGTCGACGGCCTGGGACTGTTGTTTCTTCCTGCCGTGGGCGGCCAGGTTGCCGAAAAAGTCAAAGTCATCCTCGAAGGCGCTTTCGGTCTGCGAGGTGCTCCCGCTGCTCGTGGTAAAAGCCGAGGGATTGGAGTTGCCGTCGCTGCCGAAGCTGTCGACGCTGACACCGTCGCTGGACGACCGGGTGGTAAAGGTCGGGGAGCCCGGCGGACTCAGATCTATCAGGGCGAAGCTCGTCGTTGTTGTGGCACCCTCGTGGTGGCCGTTCGACTTGTACGACGGAAAGGCCAAACTGCTGCTGGTGAAATTACTAGTTCTGGTAAAGTTCGTGTGGGTCCGAGTGTTGTTGCCGATGATGCTGGAGGACGATGAGCCGATCATCGATTGCTGGTGCTTGCTGGTTTTTGTTCTGCCGAAGAGATTCGAGAGGAGCTCCGTTGGCCTCGCCTGCAGTGGATTTTTATTTCGTTGTTATACGTGCATACATGGTATTAGCGAAAGTATATACCGTACGGATGATGGGTGTTGCAGAGATGGGTACTATAAAAGGTGAATGGAACGCGCGATGTATATTGTATACCGTTTCATTAGGTTTAGGCGTGTACAGTGGCATATATATATGTATACATACAGGTATATACGCTGGAGAAAAAGGTTGTTGAAAGGTTTCGCGATGAACCGGGTCAAATGGGTGTGATGGGACAGAGGTAATGGTCGTTGTTCTCTTTCGTTGCGCTTTTCGTAAAAAAAGTGCCTTTCATACTACATGCATATATATATAGTATCAGTCGATTATACACGGCCAAACAGGATGATGCAAGAATATAAATTTAAAAAAAGAAATAATAGGTGATATAATGATGATGATGATGATGTGGCTTACCGGTTTCTTTGGTTTCTCTTGATTGTGTGCTTGATACTTGGGGGTGAATTTCGGAGGTGGCGGCCGAGGAGGTGGTTTTTTCTTTTGCGGCGCTTGCAGAGGAACACCAAAGAGATCGTTACTGCAATTTAAACGAGATAAATCCACATTTAGTACCACTGGTTTTTTTTTTTTTTTTTTAAATCAGAGAAGTGAGAGGCATAATTTGAAAATTCACTGTTTTTATTGCCTAATTTACCATCAAATCAATAAACACTCCATTGTCGATGTGAATAGTTTTTTTTTTACCGATTTAGAGTGTACTGAATTTATTGATGATAATAATTAAATTTAAAAAAAGCGTATCTTTGATTAATAATACATTTAACGTAAATCTAAACTAATAAAATATATTTTTACTTTTCAGGTGAAGTAACAAAAACAACAAAAAAAAAAAAAAAAAAAAAAAAAGGAAGTATAATAAAGAGTGGAAGAAAACGTAGAGCAACGTAAGGTGCCGATAAAGAATCAAAGCAAAGAGTTACGAAAGAGAGAGGAAGCCGAGGGACGTTCATGAGTTAAATCGAGTACAATAATTCAATATCTTTTTATTTTTTTTTTTATTTTAATCGAATACCGTAACACTTTTTATGCCCACGATGCACACGATGAATCCTAATGGAACTCCGAACGCGTCTTTCCAACCAGTAACAACTTTTAATCTGCGAGACCTCCCACACACAAGTGGTGCACACGTTATAATATTATTGTCTCATGTGCGTATACTGTAGATGCAGACACGCGTTGTTACGTATCATACACGTGTATACAATGACATATGCATATATGTTGATGTAACACAGATTTATAAATAATTGCTCTCTAATATGGTTGCTGCGGGCAAACTCTGACAATAGCTTGACGTCAACTGTGCCCGTATGTATAGCGATTAGAAAAAATGTCAGCTCCCCACCTGCTATACATTGCTACTCTGCAAATCGTTTAACGGCAATCGAAGTGTTATTGTGTACAATATTTGAATTTCGATAAAACGCGTGTATGGAGAAAGAGGGACGAAAAAGAGGAAGTACTCTCTCGGCAGCGAAGGTCATCCGGTGGAAGGAAAAAAGTTGAAAAAAATACGGGAAACCCGAGGAGTGGGGCAGGGAGGGCACATCGGCAGCGAACGCGTTTGAAACTCGAAAGGCGGAAGCGAAAGGATATATTATATATAATACCCGCCTATCGTGCGTGTGTGCGCTCGAGAATGTCCAAATAGAGGCTACAACCGTGCGATAACGCGCCCACTTTATAATTATTTTCATGTACATGTACCCACACGTACATGCCCTGGAATCGTCAATTCGGTGACTTTGGCTGTTGTTTACACGCGGGGGACTACTTGGATCGATGAATATTTCATGAAGCATACAGGTATTGATTTTACCATACTCGTACTTGAGTACACATCACCGCTGCTACAGACCAGATAGATACGTACTTCTTCTTTTTTTTTTTTTTTTTTTTTTTTTTTCAACTTTGGAAACCGTGCCGACGGATAATCAACACGGAGATCACCCAATTTGGCTCGTCATTCGTTTTTCTCCTCCAGAAATTTTTGAATGCTCGAACAAAAGTTCGGGTGAACGTGAGGTTGGCAAAAAAAACAAAACAAAAAAGAAAAAAATAATAACAACAAGCCCGCAATTGACGTCGTTGAACAGTTACATTTCAGCAGCGGGAAAACGCGCTGGTCGACATTCTTTCACGATGTTGTTCGGGCTTCTGGAAAAAATGACGCGAAAAACCGGCTTCCTCGTGTTTGACATGTCGCAAATTAAAAAAAAAATACAAACAAAAAACACTTCAACATTTGGCGAAAAAAATAAATAAAAAATTTTCCATTTCGTTGGCTTTTGGATATGGTAAAAACAGCGGATACCACGTGTACAAATCATTAGAGGTAAGCTTGGCACAGGCAATTTCGATGGATTGCGCTGTTAAACAACGGTAAAGAAAAAAAAACCACCATTTACGGCTCTCTCGCGTACAAGCTTCCATTTTGCAACTCCCAACTTTCGCGTACGAGGAGGCGTTAATTTCTGTACGTGAAAAACAATAATTAACGAAAAAAAAAAAAGGCGCGTTGAGAAATACCATACATGTATAATATACATACGATATGCGCGATTCGAGAAAATTAATATCCCCGCGCGAACTTCCATATCTCGCGCCGTTCGAAACGATCTTGATATCTGCCTGGTCCGTGCGTCACGTAACGTTTTATTCAAATCAAAACAAAGCCCCGCGAAAAATAAGGAAATACGCAGATTAATCGTTTCGACAAATCTTCGGCTCCTCCTTCCCCCCGATCGACCAAAAACTACATATGTTTCGTCGATTGCGCCATTAAATCGCGAAATAAACAGCCAAAATCAAATATTTAACCAGCTACGTTAGATTTCCAACGGTGAATACATGAATGCACAGAAAGCTGCAAGATGTTTAACACCCAGTCACGCTGATTAAGCACGACACGTTTTTTGAGCAAACAACAAGTAAAATATTTGACGCTCTCCAGCCTTGCGTAAGCTTGGAAAAAAAAGAAAAAATCGTTCAGCTCGGCAGAGTTTGGTGAAACGATGTAAAATCCCATACCGGTTTGGAAACAAAAAATCGGATTCACAGTGCATCGGTTTCAATGGGGGTTCAAAGCACGCAAAAGCGCAAGTTGTATTACCCTATAGCTCGCGCACGTACTTTACCGGGAGAATTCTCTCCAGAGCTTTTCTATTTCGGAAGGCTTTTCCGATTATTTTTAGACACGCTCATATACACAGCGCTCGCGCGCGCGATCACTAAAATCGTTTTGTTGATACCGTGCCTTAACTTATCACATTCTCCATCATTCGATAATCCTAGCCCGAGTTTTGAGTCGCCTTTTCAATGGTACGTGTGTACACATTTTTAGACGCCAGGTCTCTTAACGATTGATATTCATAAGCGTACCGGAAAAAAAAAAAAAAAATCTAGAAAAGTCAATCTTTCTACTGGCCTACAAAACGCGCACGTGGAAAATAAATTTTAAAAAAAGCAGGCCAGAGCTGATACAGAATAAAGAGGTGTGTGTGTGTGTGGGTATATAATATAATATGTACTTATTATGGCAAGTAGCAGATCGTTTAAATTCAAAAGCGCGCATCTATGAATAAATATGTACGTGTACGTGTACGTGTACCCGTTTTACTCTATACACCTCTTCTTCTTATGCTCAGATCAAACCACCATCGTACAATGCTCATAAGTATATATTTTACAATATGCTCCCGTGCACGGTTGTTACTTTTAAGAAGGCAATTGCACCACTAGCGTACGTTGTTGTAATAAACGGGACAATTGCGGTGACCACCGGTTCCAATCGAATATGCAAAGCTTCCTTCTCGTGTTCGGAGCACGTGTTGGAAGAATTTCTTCAAAACGAAGAGGACACGTTGTACCCTATATAATATGTAGGTACGGACGTCATAGAACGACGCTGAGATAAATACTTCTGTGTACACATGACATGTATACTGTGTATTCCACCGCCGGAGGATTATTTCGAGTCTATGAGAAATCAGCTTACACGATCTCTCTCTCTCTCTCTCCCTTGACAGGCTCATTCGTGACCTTGGAGATCCTCCACCTCCTGTTTCCTTCTTATCTCTCGTGAGGTATACATAAATAGTAGTTGCCGTTTCAGAATAAAAATATAAGCAAATAAGTAAGGAGTACAAGTAGGTATATACTATTAAGTACATGTGAGACACGCTCGGGGGTGAGAGCTTAATGCAATTAACCGCAGACAATGGCATTGTTTCGGTGCCCCTTGTATTATTCTCTCTTTCTCTGATGCACGCACGCAAATATGTACATGTGCAGTAGCCAAAAGTACACCGTATACTTACGTTGAAACAAAAGTTTTGCACGGTATATTATTCTAGGTGATGCACGTTACATATATATATACATATACTTCATAAAAAGGAAAGTGAAAATACACATTCTTTCTTCCTCGAACAACTGAACAACAGGTGTGTGCGCATAAATATCCTACGTACACATGTATACAAGAAATTAGGCTGGAGTTGAATTAGTATAAAGTATAATTGTAAAACGAGCGCTTGTTGTTATATATACCTGTTGCCCCAGACTCGGGAGTTGGGATTGTTGCTCCTCTGTTGTGCGGCAGTGGCTGCGTTATTATCGACCGGCGGCCTCGGAGCCGCTCGCGTCGGTATCCTCATCTCCGTGAGCAGATCCATTATTCCTTATAAGTTATAAGTACTTTTCTCTCTTGCCTTGGTCGTCGTTGATGGGTGTTAAAATGATTATCGTTGGCGTAACTATGTATATGATACTGTCGCAAAGGAAACGTTGTTGGTTCGTCGAATACAAAACTCTCGATGTGTATATAATATTTGAATATTATTATTAGTTCCGCTTCCTCGTGGTCAGTTCTGGTGTGTCTATATTATGTTTTGGTAAAAAACAAACAGGTAGAGGACGTCACTGCGTCTCCAACTTTCTTTTTTTTCTTCAATTTTTGACGGAGTTGAATGTAAATTGGAAAAAGATGTAGAAATTCGAGAAAAAGTTTCTTTCTTTCTTGGTTCACTTTGGTCTTGACAAGAAGAACGACGGCAAAATTAAAAAACCGTTTATGAATCAACCAAGATGACACATAAAAATACTGTACAGGTAAATAGGTGTTCCTTTCGGTTGAAATCTTCCTCGCTGTTTTTTGTTGTTTTTTTTTTTTTTTTGCAAAATATCTCTTGATATTTAAATGACGTCCAGGATTCGATGAAAGCAATTTACGTCATACGCACCTCTATAATTTGTCTCTCCTTGTTTGAGACACATTGACACGAGTGTATTAATATTTACTTATGTTAAACACACAAGTGAGCACATTATTTGACGCACAAAAATTACTCGTTAATATCACAGTGTGGTTCAAAAGAACATTGTACATATTTTATCCTACACTTTTTGGAGTAAAAAGTAAAATAAACAAAAAACAAACGTTGATTGCACACTGAGCTCTTATCTTGTTCGCAATAAAATGAATATACACGCTCGCAGTGAGCTTCCTATCTGTTATATACAATCACTGCACATCGTGTTAGGTATATTATTTATCTTTTCTGACCACTTAACATACATATCACTACACTTATCGCACACGCGCTCCAAAATGAAAAAAACGCCAAATAAAATAGGAAGTATATAAAAAGAGTAAGAATAAAATACTAAAAGAGACCGATATACAGTGGTGCGTGTTCTCTAGCTTCAAGGAGTCAAGTAGGCGTATGTGAGCAGTTAGACGTATCCTCTTTGGGAGGCGTATTTTTTGTTATACATATCTACATGTGCAGTTTATCAGCTATCGTGTTGAACTAGCTCAACAACTGCTGGTGCAATTGAACCCGATATTAAAATTGCGTGCAACATCGTCGTCGACGTTGTTGAAATCCGCCCACTAAAGTTCACGTATATGCACACTCACATACACACGGTACACAATAACACAATATATAATGACACCAACCGATGTTAGATGCGAGGAGACGAGTGGAATGAGATTATAACAAACTCTATAAGCAGTGAACGGGTGAACGTTTGCAACTGCTCCGAAAAACTCCGAACTGAACTGAAAACTCTGCTGCTGCTGCTGGGCTGGTTTGTTTCCCCACTCTCGGCGATTGACAGTTTCGGAGTCGGAGGAGAATGACAATGTATACATATATATATGTAGAATGTAGATGCGATAAAACGGAGCAACAAAATAACACAACACAAACAACAGCAATATTAACGTGCACAGTGTTAGCACAACTGTTTACTCATGGTTCGTTATGTAGAAATCATTGCGCACCTCCTCTCTTGTGCTACTTTTTTTTTTTTGGCAGAGTTTAAAAGACCAGTATAATGTTATTCTCAAGAGCGACGTCAACGACGTCGTTTCCCCTCGGTCGCCATGTTTCTTTCATTCAACGACTTTTATCTCTCCCCCCCCACCTACCAATCCGCCCTTTTCGTGCTGCTGATTCGTTCCCCTCGTTCTCTTTTGATAAAAATTTTTTTCTTTCTCTTTCTCTCTCTCTCCTTTTGGGAGAGTGTATCGCGTGATGTACCTATACTCTATAATACTTATATGCAGGGAGCCTTTTATCGTTTTATCTCATTGCCGTATGCCATTGCGCTGATTATTAGTAACTAAGTATTGCTTGCACTTGCGGCTGTGACACAGGATAGTAGAGTACAGAGTACAGGAGAAAAACACTCACTTATATCTCGCATTGAATTACTTAATGTTGCGAAAGATAATGAATGTCGAGTTTGTGCAAGTGCACTTATGTGCTTTATTAGGCTTTTTTCCTTTATTCTTCTTTTTATCGTTGTCTTAACATGGTGATTATTTTTGGCTAACGAGCGATTTCGTTTATTTTTATACAGTATTGTTCATTTACTTCATGATAAGTGGTGGCTCGTTGGGCAAGACGTCTTCTTTTATCTCCAATTGTTGTGAAACGGAGTCCGTTGTACTACACTTTCACTTACTTAATTCGAGAGTTTGACTAAATTACGTTCTTAAATCAATTAAATCATTTAAAAACTTCACACCTAAAAATTAACAAATATTATTTGCATTATAGATTAGTAGGAACTAATTGCTTTTGAAATGATGATTAAAGTTCCCACTTTTGAAAGTTTTTCAGATAGCCAACTTCAGGAAACAATATGTAAGTGGTTTTAAGCAGTTGGTAGCATTCGATATATCGACTATCGATTCCGCAACTGTTGATGGTTGCAAATAAGTTGGCTTGGCTTGTTTCCCCCCGGGCTGCAAGTGCTACAACAACTCTTTAACCTTAATTTGGCGGCTTCTGCTCCAAAATAATACTGTTTTATTCTTTTACTCTATTTACATTACTCTAGTAGAGTTAAAAATTATAGCAAAATGTAAGTATCATATACAACTATAGAATGATACCCGTGCTTTAATACTTTCTACAAAAAACGAGTTTGATTCTATGCATGTTTGTACTTCTTAGTGCTTTGTTACTATAATAAACTAACGTTATTTATTTATTTTCAAGGACATCCTTAACAAAGCCAAAGTCTGAAATGACTCCCGAAGAATTGGCAAAGAGAGAAGAAGAGGAGTTCAACACTGGGCCGCTCTCCGTGCTCACGCAGTCTGTCAAAAATAATACACAAGTCCTGATAAATTGCAGGAACAACAAAAAGCTACTTGGTCGCGTCAAGGCTTTTGACAGGCACTGTAATATGGTGCTGGAGAATGTCAAAGAAATGTGGACGGAGCTGCCACGAACTGGCAAAGGAAAAAAAAAGGTGAGTTTGGCAACGTCAAACCAAGTGTGATTAATCGTATTAAACATAACCACATCTACTTTGATGTTCGTGTATTAGCTTCGTTAGTTTGAAAAGCATGACGGAATTTTTATTATAGGCTAAACCAGTCAACAAAGACAGATTTATATCAAAGATGTTCCTGAGGGGTGATTCAGTTATTCTGGTAGTCAGAAATCCTCTGGCCACAGCTACATCAAAATAATCAAATCAAGATTCTTTCTACATTTATAAATAAAATTTAAAAAAAATAGGCATAAGGATTATTTTATAAATAAATTCTTTTAATTCAAAAGTGTGTTTTTATTCCAACAGGAGTTAAAATTCAATAAGAGTTTTATTGTATGTATAAAAAAAATCAATGTTCCAGTACATTTGTGTTGGATTGGTTTTAATCTTTTTCCGCAATGGTAGTTAAATGTCTATCAATTTCTGGTTCTGTTAGAATTCTGCAACAAAAAAAGAAAAAGGTATGTATTGAAGAGATGAATACCGCATAATGGAAAGCAAAAAAAGCTTTACTCACCTAAATTTAGGGTTGTCTTTGGAGACAACTCCAATTTCCAATTCAGATGGTTTAAAATCAACAGACAAAACTGTAGACAGACAAGTGATAGCTAGCTGCACAGTTTCATCAAATTCGAAATTTTGCTTCTTTTTTAGTTTCTTTTCCAAGTAAGAGTTGGCTTCGGTCTGCTTGGAACCAGCTGACACAGCCCTATAGCCACAAAAGTAGCCAGCTGGATCAGCTTTGTAGATGCAGGGTCCATGCTCGCTATCATAAGCAATGAGAATCATTGAACAACCAAGTGGTCTCATTTCTGCATTTTGCGTGTACACTTGGCTGATATCCGCGACTCTTCTGCATAGAACATCAATTGGTATTTCATACCCATACTTGTACTTGTAATGGGCAGCTTCATAGCGCGCCCTTTGTACTTGAGACTTGCTGTCAGCTATAATACACGAAATGCTTATAAATCCCAAAAGACCTTTGGAAAATTGATGTATGAAATAAATTGTGCATTATCAGTGAGAGATTTACCAATCATTCCTGTCATCACGCATCCTATGTGATCCGTGATTTGAAAAACATGGGTCATAGTGTTGGGGTCCAACAACTTATCCTGTAAACCCAAAAATTAGTACTATGGAATTAATATGTCATGGTAGAAACAAAAACAAAAAAGTTGAGAGACACTCTCTATCTACACAAGAGAGAGGTTACGTTGACTCGAAACCTGAACAAATCACTCACGGGTACTTTCTTCTGTGTTGCAAAAACAGCGCCGTCAACGCCCTTGACCGCAACAGAGGTGAGGCCACCCTGGTTGATGGCCTTGAAGGCATACTCTTAAATTAAGAAGAATATTAATTGTTTATTTGCTACCTATACGGTGTGAGGTATTGAAAAAGTGCAGATCATGCCTTGGCAGTGCAGAGGAATAGCTCCGTTTTGGACATTTAATTTCAACGGATAAAAGAGATAATGGAATATCTACAGGTAAAATTGAGCGGGAGGATACCAAATTATGATTCAAAGAGTTTATTACTTGCCTACTTGATAGAGACGGCCTTCAGGAGAGAAAATTGTAATGTGCCTGTCAAAGCCAGCACTACTACCTCGCGTCATGTTTGCGACTGATCTCAGTCGAAAATCGAAAAGAAGCAGAACCTGAGTTCCTGAGTGATACCTAGCTTACCTTTACCTGGCCAAAATGCTGGCAGGGCAGACTGCAGAGGCACCGAGGCAGAGCTTTGCTTCCGCTAGATGCCGCTAACTAACGATTTATCAAATTTTCCTCAATATTTCCACTCTCAATACTCAATTGCGTTAATTTTTAAAATGTAGCATGTTCAATTATAACAGCTTTTGCTAATCAATTATACTTACACGCCGTTTCGTTCATTATGAAAATAATTGTAACGGTTCATCAACTAAAATTATATTAACTCGCAATCAAGATTTCGTTTATATGAAAAAATTCGATATATTTACATTACATTAACAACAATTTCTTTACATGTAGCCTACGGATAGCAGTTATATTAAAAATATGTTGCATACTTTAGTAGTAAAATTTGGTATTTACAGATTTTAATATTTTACAGTATTAGGATGTATCTACAGGCATCTGAGCAGGTGCATCTTCAATTTTTTTACTGTAGATTTGCATTTCTGCAACGTACTTCATCTTGGATTTTTCATACATTTCATAGTACACCTGCAAAAATAAACTCATCAATATCATAATAGAAAACACAAAGAATAAATTATTGGTTGTTAAAATACCTTCTTGTCGTCGCTGCTAAGAGATCTCCAAGTAGTTGCCAGTTGTCTGGTTAGTTCCTGCTTACTAGGCTCTGGTTCTCCAGCCAGTCTCTCCATCACGCGAGGCCTCTGTTCCTGGCAGAACTGGAAAAACGGATTGGCTGGTCTTTTGGGAGCACTAGGATCAGCCTTGGCACCTTTCTTTTTCGATCCTTTCTTTGTTTTCTCCTCTTTGGCATTATTCACAGCAGGCTGAGGACTACTTTGAAAGACACTGTTTTCTTCCTGAACACCCAGAGGAACTTCTTTCCAATCGTCTCCATGTTTATCTAGACGATTGACCAAATATCTGCAACAACGAAAAAAGCCAGTTGTACAATCCATGCTAAAGTATCACAAATTCTTAACCTCGCGACAACTTACTTTTTCTCTTTTTTGGTTCGCTTCAACAATTTTCTGGCCAATTGAATCCGGTGAACAAGCCGTTCATTCTCCTAAAATTCATCAGTTAATTATTGGAGTACCCAAAAAACGTGAAATATTAATTGTTTACACAAACCTGCTGCAAAATCTCACATCGCAAAGCCAGTAGCTGAGACTTATGCTTGTAAATATCGACTTCCTCAGTTTCAAGCTCATCATAATCAGAATCGTCCGACATCTTACAAAGATTTAATTAAATACTGGAAAACATTGCTTTTTATTTCTCTTAATTTTATTTTCTCTTACTTTAATTTTACCACCGAGCAAATTTAGCTTCCATGGAACTTGCAAGTCTAAGATGACAACCACTATACTAAGCGGCTGCTATTCCAGAGATTGTTTTGCATTTCCGCCATATTTTCACATTTAAATCTCGCGCGCAAGACATGTGTTGTGAGATACTCTCATGAAAAGTACTCTATTAAAGTAAGAAAAAGAGAGCGCGCGCGCATCTCAACAATGGGGATTTTTTCATGTTTACAATTGAAACTTGAAACAAAAAACGACGAGAGACGAGAGGCATGGGCAAAAGGCAAGACAAAGAAAAGAAAGGTCAAAGAAAAAAATAAACATCCGTACTTAATATGATTTCACACTTGAATTGCTGACACTTTCTTGGTAATGCTGGGGGTGTGTATATAGTTCACTTTAACTTGATACGCATGACATTGTAGGTTTTAATACTGGAGAAGATTCCTTGGCTTTTTTTTTTTTTTTATTCCGACTCACTTTTGTCGGTAGTCGTTGTGTCGTGCGGTGTTCAGTTATGTCTCAGAAATATTAGAGAGTACAACAATTCAAGGTGGTGTCGTTAAATATAAGTAAGCTTTTAATTACTCTACTGCACTATAATTTTTGCCGGTCTACCGCCGAATATCTTTTTTTCTTTTATTTATAAGAATAAGTAGTTCAAGTTCCAATATGTTGTTGCAATAAGTCCTTACTTACAGTAAAGATCGTTACAACCACATAATTACATACTAACTTTAGAATTTTTTGTTCTTGTTGTGTAATAATAACGTTTGAAATTTTTTCGCTTACTTTTTCAAGAAAAAGCATGGAATCGGATGAGGAATCGGTCCCTACAGTGGTGGAGTTGGATGCCAGTGACGATGAGTTCATTGAAGTTATAGAATCGAAAAATTTATGTTCAAAGATGGAGTGTCAAGAGATCGTGGAAATATCTACAAATTCAGATCTGTACCAAGAAGATGTACACGCCAATCGTACCGAGGAAACTGGACGCGCTACGCCGTCAGAACGGGAAAGCGAGAGCAATGCCGCTCAGTTAAAGGCCATGTTCCCAAACATCGACGAGAATTACATCCGGCAGATCTGCGAAAATCCACCTGTCAGCGGTACGGGTGAGGATACTTTTGTCCTTCTCATCAATCACCTGCTTACCCATCATGAAAAAGTCGACGAGTCCTTGATCGAAGAAGATGTCGAGGTGATCGATGAGACGTGGATTCGTGACCATGAGCTCTCCAACGATCTCGAGATTGAAGAACTGACTGCAGTCCAAGAAAAACTTAACGAGGAAGCGCGTAATGAGCAACTTTTCAAAGAGTTGCTCGATAAGGAACAGCAGGAAAAACTCAATAGTGAGACTCTGAACGAGCTGCTGCTCAACAACTTGCTGGAGCAGGAGAAGCTGAATGTAGAAAATAAACTCACGATTTTGGAAAGTATTTTGCCTGATGCGAATCCAGAAGAACTAAAGAGAATTGTAGAGTTGAATGGTGAGAATCCTGATTTCCTCGAACAGATGGTCGAGTCGAAACTCGTGGACAAGAACTATGAGAAACGCTCAGAGTACTTTGCCAAACTCAGGAGCAGAACGATGATAGAGCAGTACACCAGCAAGTTTGATGTCGAGGCATTTGTGAGGCAGTTTCCAGAGCCAGTTGAGCACTTTGAGAATAAAAACAGACAATGTTCCCTCAATAAGCAAGCTTTAAAGTTTCTACAAGACTCTTTTGTTTCGTTCGATGTCAGTACATAATATTATATTTCATAAGATTTTGTTTATAATTTGTTTATTGATACTTATCGAAAAGTTTTATTTTTTGTTTTGTTTTAGGAAGAATTTTTGACGGAACGGTATACTCACTTCAATTATAATTTGAGTTTGACTGTTGATTATTTAAAAACCTATGTTCAACCACGTGAAAATCAAGACCATGGAATAGAAGACATTCCACTGCTGCAAGAAATATGTTACATCGTCAATAAAGTAAAAATTCAAGAGCATGTAAAAGAGCTAGAGCTGAGAGAAGAACAGGAACTGAGGGAATTGAGGGTAAAATTTTTTTTTCATTTTTATATGCGCTTTGTCAACTTGTTTCGTGACAATGACTTGTTTTTTAGGAAAATAAACTTTTGTTGGAATGCCAATGCTGCTATGATGAGTTGAAACCCTATGAGAGCATAGAGTGTGATAATGGGCACATGTTTTGTAAAAGGTGTATAATAAAAGGTACCGACACCGTTATTTCTAGTGGTGAGGCAACTGTTTTGTGCTTCATGGGATGTAACAAAGAAATTGGTTTGGATATTTTACGGAAAGTTCTACCAGAAAGTACGTTTGAAACATTCTTGAAACGGCGACAAGATGTGGAAGTTAAGGCTGCTGATCTCAAAGATTTAGCGAGCTGTCCTTTTTGTCCATATGTTATGGAATTAGGACCTGAAATACAGATATTTATATGCCAAAACACGGAATGCAAGAAAATAACATGCCGGTAAAAATATTTATTATGCTAACTTTGCTCATATTTCTTAATTATATTTTTAACAAATTGTTTTTAGTAAATGTAAAAAAGTAAATCATCTTCCCATAAAATGTGAAGATGTTCTTGATGAGCATAAAGGTCGTTTGTTTATTGAAGAACAAATGAGCAAGGGTCTCATACACTGTTGCCACAAGTGCCAGCGACCTTTTGTAAAACAAAGAGGCTGTAATTTTATGACATGTCCATTTTGCTTGGTATCTTGGTGTCATATATGTAAACAGCCTACAAATAACCATACTCATGCTGACAGGTATGTATTGCTGAATATAAAATCAATGATTTTAATTTACTTATTGATTAAATTTTTTTTTACAGATGTCCAGGTGGTGCAGGTGACCAGGCATACGATATTCAACAAGTAAATCTTAAACGCAATTTAGCTATTCAAAAATTACGTCAAGAAAATCCAGATTTAATTCTGGAAAACATACCACCTGTATAATTCAAGTATTGTGACTAAGAATTAATGATTAAAAAATTGTTGTTTTGTCTATTATGTAAACATGTACCTTAAAAAAAAATATGATACTATTCACGCGACTCAATAAATCATCTTTAAAATATTAAAAACAACAAAATTAGTCTTTGACACTTTATTACAAGGAAATTAAATAATTTAACTTAATACTTAAAGTAATTACAATAACTTCATACAAAGAATATAAGAATGACTTTAAAACAAAGTGTTTTAGTAGAATGCAATAATTGTATTAAAGTACAAGAAAAAAAATTCAAGTTTAAACTCCTTTGTACTGCACTTTACTTTTAATACAATGAATAGATGTTAAAAAGGATCTGAACTCCATTTGTTGTTGATTCGCAATTGTAGTATTCTCTGTTACTGTATGCCACCCATTCCATGCGGGAGCTCCACGTTTTGGTTTTGCACGGATCGCGTCAGTTACCTTATTTTTCTCCAGTAGAGGTAATACCGTTGTAACACCTGAAAACGTGGTTGTTAATAAGATTGAAATAAATCTTCAACCGTTCATGATTAAAACTTACCTAAGATCTGTCGTAGAACAGCACTTATTTCGTCACTAATGTCTTGAGGATTTTTGTTACCAGAAATTGGTTTTTTTTGCGAGTTATCAAACTTTTTATCTTCATAAACAATTTGAAATTCCCAAGTTTCGAGATATTCTCTGGTATTCTTTTTTGATTAAATCCAATAGTACACTATTCACATGTTTCTTCATCAGAAATTTTTTGATGTCTCCCAGAGTTCTAGCAAGATATTCAACATGTTCTTGCTTGTTCATCTTGAACAGATTCAATCCATAATATTTAGATTGTTTAAAATCATCTGGAGGACATATACTCCTCTTTGATACAAAATGTTACTTGCAGCATACTCTGCAAATAAAAAAAAACCCTGTATTTTAGTAACCACATAAAACGTCGGTGAATATAATATATATACACCCACTTACCGAGATATTGTCGAACCCATGCCGGCCGAACCTTGAAGAGTAATACATTTGTTTTCTTGTTTAATACACGCCATTTTTCTTAATTCAATGGGCTTTGTTCAATAAAATGATCCAAGTGCTTCGTTTAATCTTTGTTCGCCCGAGTGAGCAAGGTTGACGAGGCTGTGTGAAACGTTGGCAAATTTACAGCTTGCAAAGTAGGTGTGCACTTTCACGGAATTTTACTCTAGATAACTCGAGTTCTCTATAAGGCTGCGTATACTTATACACATATGGAGTCTTGAACTTCCACCTTCCACGTGCCCTTGTAAGCTTGAGAAAGCAGAGAGAGTAATACTTATGTTCTAGGCGTTCTTGCTTCTCACTCTTTTACTCACACGGGCTTATGGCTGGTCCTTGAAGTTTAAGACTCCATGTATACGCTGCGTGTTTTTTATGACGCATACAATTTTTACGCTATTTGGGAACGTTTTTTAAAACAGATATAAAAATTCCTAATTACCTTACACCTTTGGGAAAAAATCTATTCGGGGGCTTGATTTACGCTGCAGTTATAAATATTTGATGTATGAAACAGCATAAACGCGGTACCTACCGCAACAATGTGCAGTGATAAGGTACGTTAATGCATGATGGGCATAGTATGACCAAAAAAAAACGCAGCAGTTACTAAGTTTACACTTCTTCTAGATAACGCATTCATTTCTGGAAAAGTTGAACGGTTGAACCATAGAAATAAGATTCAATTATACTCAACTTTATGTAGAAAAATGTACCTTAAGCTGAAAAACATTGGTAAAGTGTACATAGTTTAATTATTTAATGACAGCCGTTTTTCTGTCACGTAACCGGTACGTTAGGAAACGTTGTGGGTATTAAAAAATACATTTTTACTTAAACTTAAAACAATATTTTTTTCCAATCTGTACCTTACCAGTCATCCACGGTGTCAGTCCTAATAAGTGAAACCACTGTAGTAAAAGTATTTCGAAGATACTACAACAGATTTTTTATAAAATATATGTATCAGCCAAGTACAGTAAAAGATTAGTTAGTTTTTTATTGTTTATTTGACATAGGTTAATTAGCAAGTAACATTAAATATTAAAGAAAATAAGTACTTAGACTTTCTTGAAGAAAAAAAATGACATAAGTACAAAATTTGTATTATAATTGACAAAGTAACGATTTTTTTTATAGATTAAAAAACTGCTTAGGCAAAAGACAAAACCTGGTATGAAAAGTAAAATAAAAAATTCAAAGCGCAAAAAATGTTTCCTAGTATTGTTTAAGGAAAATTAATTTTTTTAAGCTCCCTTGTAGTACACGGTACTTTGGATACTATGGATCGACGTTGAAAAGGATCTAAATTGCATTGTTTGCTGATTTGCAATGGTAGTGTTTTCTGTCACAGTTCTCCAACCATTCCACTGAGGAACTCCTGGCCTTTGAGAAGCGTGGATTTCATACGTTATTTTATCTTCCTTCAACAAAGGTAATACGGTTGTCGTTCCTGTAAATATTATTAAACCAAATAACTTTTGTTTACTGATGGATTAAAATTACAACTTACCCAAGATCTGTCTTACTACTGCACTTATTTCGTTTTGAATGGATTGCGGATCTTTGCTGCCATAAGAGTTAGCTGCAGCAGTACTACACTTTTCTTCATAATCAATCATAAATTTCCAATTTTCGAGATATTCTCTTGTATCTTTGTTTATCAAAACCAGCGTAACGCTAGCCACCTCCTTTTCAGCAAGAAAATTCTCAATTTGGCCAAGTACATGAGCAAAGTACTCAGCATGTTTACGATGAGTGGCTTTAAACAAGTTCAGACCGTAATATTTTGTTTGTTCAAAATGTTCGGGAGGACATGCTCCTCTTTGATAGAGGACGTTACTCATGCCATACTCTGTTGTCAGTAAACAAAAAAAAAAAAAATGTAAGGCGAGAGCAATCTAGTTTTAATATAAAATATGTTTAATGTACATACCGAGATATTGACGTACCATAGCGGCTGACCCTTTTAAGGTGATACATTTGTTTTGCTGCGCAACTTGCGGTAAAGGCATTTTTCTCAAGTTGTACAAGTAAATTCACGTTGCGGCTGTAAGATTTTGTGGAGAAATTGTACCCCTATGCTTGAAGTGAACTGAGAAGTGAAAAGTTTTTAACTTAACTACTTATAGGTACATCTGGTTCTCAATTACTCTTTATATTTTTTTATAAAGTGTGCTAATGTGAATGTCCTTATTTTACATGGACGATCGTGACACTACACAAGTACACAGTCACTCTATACTTACTCTCTTGTCGACTTTTGGCCGTATGCCGTATGGTCAGGTTACTAATTTTACCGGTGTTGGGTTGCCGCTTGCCGCTATATAAATTCCGACCAGATTCCGACATTCACTCATTCACTGAGCCGTGTGAGACTGTGTGGGAGTACCAAAAAAAAAAAGCGCATCGTTCGCTCGGTTTATCGAGAGTAGAAGAACCCTGATTGGCCTACTGTTGCGCGGGGGCGGTTGAAACGCGTCTTCTATCGAAAGGTAACGAAAAAAAAACTAATAATAAATAATAAAGTCCCGATTTGGGACTACAACAATATTCATCTTTTTAATAGTTATTTTATCATACCTATGTTTTGAAATTTTTTTCTTTGTAAAAATTGAACTGCAAAATATATGACTATCTTTTCACTAAATAACGATGATAAACAATTTTTATAAAAAATTAAATATAGTCTCACGTGGAAAAGAACGAATTTTTACCAGTTACCTACAAATTGTATGTTAATTGATAACAGTTAATAAATATTAAATTATAAGCTATAACGATGAAAGTAAAAAAAAGATAATTACTAATAACAGTTTTTAAATTTTACTTTCGGTCTCAAATCTGGATCTGTTATTTCTTATTTATTTTTATCACTTATCATTATTTATTTGCTACTTTTAATTTATTGTTTCTGTGTGCAACGTCATAAGTTTGATTATTTTAATAAGTAACCTTTTTTTAAAGAAATTTTGATATTTAATTCTATAACTTTTCAAAGAAACTATAGAAATAGATTCACATTGATCGATATACGTAGATGTAAGAAAACTACGAAACGTCTTATTGACGTATGTTGGAATGTGCTTATACGAGATATATGTTAAAATACCAAAAAATTAATCAAGACTCGTAGAAAGTATATTCTTTATGTTCCATAAAAAATTAATCGTTATTTATTTTTGACTTTCAAACTTCATGTACATTTTTTTCAAAAACTTAAAACAACAAAAAGGCGTTTTTCCAAAGCACTGTTCGGTTTTAACGCCTACCTGTTAAAAATAAATAGAAAACACAAGTTTTTGTTACTAAAGAACTTTTAAAAGTAAATTTTATTGACCTATTTATGTTTTGTAATAAATTGAAATATCTTACTTGTAAAAATTACTCATTTATCCTACAAAAAGTTATAGTATTTACAATAAATACATATTAATGAATATGCGCAACACTTATGTGTGTTGTTTTATAAAAATTACTACTTGAATTTATTTTTATAAATTTAACAATTTAATTACATATTATCAATCATCAATTAATTATACTATTTATGTACAGTTTAGCGGCATCACTCCGCTAAATGGTGTATAACAGTTAAAAGTAAAAAACAAAATCACATGCTGTCGTCCTCTAATGCTTTCAAAAGTTTCTCTTCAAAGTCCTTGTTACGCGATTTTTGCTCTTCTAACTCCCTTTCAAACTTTTGGGCTGCAGTTTCTATTTCAGTGACGTGGCTAAGAGTCTCGTTGCAAATATTTTCTATCGGATTTTCTTCGTCTTGTTGCTTGCATGTTTCATTCAATTCATCAATATCACAATCAAAATCATCTAATTCCATTTGTGACTTTGGAAAGGCTATATTCTAAAATAATACAAACAAAAATAACAATGCGTTTTTGGAAAAAAATTTTTTTTCAACGAAAGTTGATACTTGCAACAATATTTAACGTACCTGACTGCTTTCAACTTCAGATAAATTATACACTTCTGCCTCTTCCTCCTCCTCCTCACTTTCTTCTTTTTTATGTTGATTAACGTACTTCGAAAGTGTACTAGATTTATACCACCAAGGTAGAGTTTGGAAGTGCTTGATGTGATTTTTGTTGTAGACGACACGTGTGTTACCACCAATATCATTAATTTTTTTGTTCATTATGTGTAATATAACATCAATAAAACTAGGGTAACTGTCTTCGTCATTTTCATCAGTTAATAAAAACATATCACTCATTATGTTATTAGTGACAGGTATGCTACTTTCATACGAAATAATCTGACGGCAGTAGTCGATGATCGCATCATAAGCTTCGATTGTGTCTGTGATTGGCCAGTCTTCACTAAAATTAAAATTATGCTGCCATAAGAGTTAGCTGCAGCAGTACTACACTTTTCTTCATAATCAATCATAAATTTCCAATTTTCGAGATATTCTCTTGTATCTTTGTTTATCAAAACCAGCGTAACGCTAGCCACCTCCTTTTCAGCAAGAAAATTCTCAATTTGGCCNTGATAAAAAAAAAAAAAAAATGAAAACAGTTAAAGCAACTCACTTCCAAGGAGGAAAGATGAAATTATTCATAATTCGCTCAAGTTCAGCTCTGTACTCCGGATGTTTCCAGACGCTGTCATAGTACTCATATGTACAAGGATATGCTCGTATTTTATTCAAAAAGATCTTTAGTTCTGGTGCAAATTCAGAGTAAGTCATTGATTCTGGATCCAGAATTAAATCGGTCATGTAAGTAATCGCTTCGTTATGCAGATTGATAATGAAATTCGGATCTTTCAGTGCATCTGATAACCATGGCGTTAGCGATAGATAACCCTTTATTCTATAAAAAAAATTTTTGGTTGTTGATTCCATATAATTTCTCATCCGTAGTAAATGTTGATTGAAATACAACCTACCGCAGCCATAACTCTTCTGACAAACAGTCATCAAAGATCTTTTTGAGATAATCCATTTCGAGTGGTACAGCCGGCGACCTGTTGATAGCTAGCCAAAGTGTGGCACTTTGGAATATCCTTAGTACAATGTTCTCATCGATACTATTTTCATACAATATTGAGTATTCCGACACGTGTCCTGACTCTAACAAATCTTCCAACATGGGCATCTGAAAATATCATTCATTAATTTTGGAAAACACACTTAGCACAAAAAAAAAGAAAAATTTACTGAACTTTGAAATTTTTAGCACTTATTTTTTCATCACCAAAGACAATAATAACAACTGGGATAGGCATGAGCTTAACCCGCGATAACACCGCCTTGCTGAGACGACGTTGGACCGAACGTACGTCCTCGTCCGCACCAACAATGAACAAAAGTGCGTCCATACCTATAATACAATTCTCAGAAATTAAACCTTCGGAGTAGCGAATGCAGATGTCTAAACTTTCCAACGAGTTGGGCTTGTGATGAATAATTATCGGTTCTAAGGTAGTGTCTGCTGGACTTAAATATCTGTGGAATGGATAATAAGAGGAAAGTATCAATACACTGTTGGTCTGATCCCAACAGAAGTTATAGAAATAAAATTAAGTATCACTTGTTCACGAGTTTCTTGTGCCGCCAGAGTGTAAGCCTATTCTCCAAAAAGGGCCATGAAATGACCATTTTCCAAAAATTATGCTGACGAAGTTCGGTATCCAGTGAATTGGCGTTTTCCTTCAGTCCTACGTAAATGACGTACTGAATGGGCGCGTATTTGTGTTCATTTTTCTTGTCCTCCTCAATTGACCAACTTTTCCTCTTTTTGTTTTCCATGGCATATTTTATAGCGATTTTTTGCTCAGGTCTGTAAAGCTTTTTGGCGCACTCTTGAAGACTGTCAGGCTGCATCCAGACGGGTGTATTGTCCAGCGCTTCTCGACGCTGGACTCGACGACGAGCGGCCCACTGTTTCCAGATCTGATAATACTTCATGACAAGTCGCTCACGCAGACGACTCTCCACCTCTATGAGGGCGTCCTGAATAAAAAGTTGGTCCCGGAGTACAGTCTCGCACATTTCGCTCAGTACCTCCTCATACAGCTCATTACTGAGGCTTTCGCGCAGTTCCGCTCTGGCGACTTCCGAACAGGTTTCGGCTACAACTTCTTTTAGCAGCTGATCGTAGCTTTCAAGGGCTTGTTCGTTTATACGCTCCAGGAAACGTAGTCGTTTCTGTTCTGCATCCATTTTGTACTTGAGCTCGAGCTGCTTGCGGAGTAGCTCTTCTTTTTCCGTGAGAGCTTTCTTTTCGGCGGCTCTTCTTGAATCTTCGAGACGGCGCTTCGTAGCTACACGCTCGCTGGTTGCGCTGTCGCTTTTAGCAGTAGTAGTCTCTGTTACTGATTGAGCTGTGCTTGCAGGTGAGGAGATCCTGTTGGGTATATTTTTAATTTTTAATCAATTAATTTTAAACGCTAGCCTTTTCGAAAAATGAAATAAACGCATACCTAGCCGTTGCAGCAGCATCACTGGGCTTAAAGTTCACATATGGTATTGACCCTACTGTGGGTGGTTTGAACAGATTTGCCTGATTACTGCCTGAAAATATACTCTTATTTACAGTCATAGCGAAGGAAGAATCAATTGGTAATACAGATGGCTTTGTTGGAATAGCTGAGAAAGCCATGGATGCTGGCTTTGCAAAAATCGATGGGGCTGAGCTTGGTACCGGAGAAAACAAATTTGTTGTAGCAGTCGTTTTTGACGTTGAGCCGACAGCAGTACTTACAGGAGAGAAAACGTTATTTGTTGTCACAGCGGCGATGCCCTCGGCTTTCGACTTGACCGCGGACTCCTTGCTTGTTCTGCAAAAAAGATAAAATGAATCGGATGAAATAACACAAAAACACTAATGACTATTCGAGCTATTCTTACTTGATAGGAGCGTCAGGTTGTCTCCTGTTTTCGAAATTATTCAGTACCTTGCCGGCCGCCTTGGTTTGGCTAAAAAACTCCATATCGTCGTCTTGGTCTTGAAACTCATAAGGATCACGCGCGAGATTCTGATCTTGAGCACTAATGGATGAACGCAGCAGGTACCCCTGATCGTCAAAGCTACTGTGTGTCTTATGATTTTCGTAACTCTTTTCTAGCAAAACTCCACCAGCTATGCATTGACCAACAGACTGTCTTGACTGCAATCTTTTCGACAGTATGAGATCCTGGGCTCGGCCCTGTTCCATATTATTGCGAGGCATGTGGAAAGATTCTTTGTTTAGCTTGATGAATAAGCTGTCACGATCACATTTCAGGCCGACTTGGTTGCAAAAGTCGAACGTCTCGTCTTCGTCTTCAAATCCAAGAATGTCAATGAGCTCGTACAGAGGGTACTCTGTTGAGCCCGAGGTCCGGCAGTAAGCTTTTACCATTACTTTCAAAGCTTGTATACGTACCTGTAATCATTATTTTGATTGTGATCAAGATCAATTATTTCAATACAAATGTGTAGCCAACAATATACTACTAAGATATTATACGACTGTATTACGCAAGTGTAAATTATTGCTTATATTTGGGATTACTCCCGCGTTTGGATAAATAAAATCACTAACGATAATAATACTGATCAAAATAAGTCCACAAGTGACTCTATCTTTTTCTTGCACATACACATTACTAAAAATTTGAATGAAACTTACCTGATTGAAGTATCGCAACAAAATACACCCATTCAAGTAAGTGGTCTTCCTTACGAGCTTGAAAAATCTAACGTAGTTATTCATGGCGATGGCTGAATGAATTTCTAAGGCAAACTTGACCTCGGCTGAATGCTGTATGGATGAAGGAAGGGTGCTCAGCTCTGATATAAAAGAGCCGTTGTTCAGATTGAGCAAAATAACGTAAGCTCTGAACTCGGGTTCGTTTTTGCACTCTACGCCACTTTCTCGAAGATCGTAGTACATATACTTGAGCGTTTGCAGGCACTTGGTCAAATTCTCACTGTTGATTTTGGGATCGAAAACGGAAGCCTCTTCAGCGCAAAGTCTCTCAGACGACAGGATATGGAACCTGGCGCACTGCTCGACCAACTCAACGGTTTCTGGGCAACAGAGCTCTTGTTGGGTAATGTCCTTGCGCACGCTACGCATTCGGTCCCACAAAAAGTGGTACCATTCCGTGAGATTGGTGTCTTCTTTTTCACACAAATCAGCGATCTCGTAGAGGAGGTAGCTCATTGTCATCTTGAGAGCCTTAACAGGTCGAAGATCGTGAGCCATTGGTTCCTCTTGATCGGCTGAGGAACGAGAGTACTGTTTCACGGCAAACTGATGGTTAATTTTGTAGTCACTCGATTCAAGCTGTTCATAGGATGATAGCTGGCGTTGAAACTCACGCATGTAGCGCTCTTTCTCTGGGCACATGTCAAGACAGGTTCCTCTGGTGATCTCGGCTGTAGCTAAGCTCTGCTGTTTGCCACGTTTCAGTCGCATTAATCTGTCCCTAGAATCGAGTATCTGCAAAAGACGTAATTATTTGTACTGAGTAAGAACGATTAATGATCATCTGGATGATAACAAACGATACAAACCTTGAATTTTTCCTCTGAATTAGAGCCAGCCTGACGAATTTGACTTTGCATTTCCTCAATAGCTGCACTTGATATTTTTATAATGTTCTGATGTACTACAGGCACCTCTATTTTAGAAGTAACCGTCTTATCAACTTTTGGGACTGGCATTTCTAATTTTAAGGCTGGTTTATCTATTTTTAAGGACATTAAAGCTGGCTTGTCTTCACTAGTGCCGAACGTTGGTGTGGCTGTCTTCAAAATAGGCTTTGCCACTAAAGGTAATGGTTTTTTTTGAACTTCCTTTTTGGCAACAACCTTAGTAGCTTTCTTTACTTTAGCTTTGGCAGCAGACAGAGCCCACATATTCGTGGTGTCAGGCAGATTATATTCCAGACCTTTCATGGCTTCTAGCTCCTCTTTCACTTCGTCATCTATGTTCAAAATGCTAGCAATTTTACCTTTTATCGATTCTTTCTTTTTTGGTTTATTCAGCAATTCAGGAGTAGTCCATTCGATTTTAAACTCTTGATTCAAAAAGTTTCCAGCCTTGTTATAAGCTCTTTTTGCAATCTCCTTGGAGGGATAGTACACAATGACAATTTTCCTCTTTGGCTTGACTGTAATCTTGAGAATCTCCCCATACTGCTCGAAATATTCCTTTGCAACAGATTTGACAAGAAGAGATTCTGGAACATCAACGCAAGTGATGGAGTTACCAAGTTCCAACCTTACTTCTTTAGTGACTAATTTTTTCTTTGAATTTTTTTCCAACTGAGTGAAAGGTGAAGCTTTTTTTATATTCTGTGTATCAGTAAACGGTGAAGATTGAAACGAAGACCTACGAAAGCTCTGTTTGCCATCTGGACTCACGGGTGATGTTGTTTCTCTGTTCCGATTGATAGTGTAAGTTTGAACAGGAAAAGAAGATTTGTGAGCTTTATTGCCCCTTGAACTCAAAGAGGAATTGGGTCTTCTGTTATCATAGCCATGCCCTGTCCTTTCAATTGCTGCTGGTTTGGCAAAAGTAAATGCAGATGCCTCCTGCTGGTGATTCACTCTTCCACCAAATATTTTTTCAGAATGTGAAGCTGGATTAAATATTCTTTCTGGACTAGGGACTATGTTGGGACTAGAAAATACAAAATTGCCTAACTCTGTATCCATCTCAGAATCAGGATCGATCTGCATGTCACCCATCTTGATGTTTCTCTTAGCTCTGCAACATAATTATTATGATAAAAACTCATTTGTTAATCAGAAAGGTTTTTTGTTCTTCTAAGATACATTGAATCCAATGATGTATCAAGATCTACTTTTCACATTGGTGGAAACATAAAATATTGATGATAAAACGAACTGAAGTTCAATCATAATTATACTGGTATCATTTTTTATAATCTTCAAATATACTGGTCAATAGACATGATATAGTAAAATATAATTACAAAAGAAAACTATGTATTAGCGTCTAATTTTCCTTGTCAGTGATGTCAGTAACATCACCTTTCAACTTATTTAAAAAACATGTTACTTTACTAATAATAACTACTAAAAAAGGAACGTTGGTTCTATAACCCGACAAAAATGGCTTTATAATGAATTCAGAGGATTGAAAAATTAAAAAAAGAAAAAAACACTTTTTGTCAAAAAAATAAAGTTACCAAAGGAATCGTCTATAAAGCCTTATTTACGTGATAAGAAAAACAATTGCTAAATCTTTATAAGTACTTACTTTTTTTGTTAATTATTATTGTAGATTAACAAAATCATTACTTTTGAGCCGTATATTTCGAAAGTTAACATAACCTGTGTGTATTTTACACAACAAGCCAAGCCAAACAAAAACCAATTTGTTCACGTTCAGCGCCATCTCGCGTGGCTGATTTGGAGTTAAAAAGTACCCTTAGGGTGCGTTCAGACGCAACGCCAATACTTTCTGCAATCTATTTGAATGCAGATTGGCTATTGACGCCCCATGTAAACAGGCCGGCTGCAATAGCAATATACCTTTTCCCCCCTATATCTATAGATATACGTGAAGTGTATACGTGTAGTAATTACAATAATCACAATACTAAGTAGTGCCATTTGGTCGATTTCATTAAACCATATAAGTAGAATATTTATGGTTTTGGAGGTCGATTTTAAGGTAAAAGACAAATTATAAACTTGCCGCAAATAGCATAAAAAATGTAAACTATTTATTGTCTACTTACAACATTAGTTGCGGCTGGTTTATAATTAATAAAGTGACTTTACTGTGAATAGCAATAATTATTTAGATCAGCGCCATCTAGCGGTCTTTATTTTTTGGCCAAAAGTGGCCTCTAAAATTCTCGATCAGAGCAATCAGGATTAGAGCCATTTAGTCAATTATAAACAAGCCGCAACTCATGATGAAGCTATAAAATAAAAAAATAACGATACATGTGTTTTTGGCGGCAAGTTAACAATCTATCTTATGCTCGAAAATTAATCTACAAAAGTATAAATACATAGGAGGTCGATTTTTGGTAGAAAATAAATTGTTAAATTGCCGCCAAAAACACACATATAGTTATTTTTCTATTTTATAGCTTCATCATGAGTTGCGGCTTGTTTATAATTGACTAAATGGCTCTAATCCTGACTGCTCTGATTGAGAATTTTAGAGGCCACTTTTGGCCAAAAAATAAAGACTGCTAGATGGCGCTGATCTAAATAATTATTGCTATTTACAGTAAAGTCACTTCAACAGTTATAAACCAGCCGTAAATAATCTTAGAAATAGATGATAAATAGTTGACATTTTTTATGCTACTTGCGGCAAGTTTACTATTTATCTTTTACCTGAAAATCGACCTCCAAAACCATAAATATTCTACTTATCTTAAAAGGCTTATAATCGACAATACTCTAGACCTTTTACGAATACATGTGTACCTATAATAAACAAATGCACCCTCGAGATATTTTTTTCTCCTTAGGGTGCGTTGATGCGTTCAGACGCATTCTTCAATCCGTTTGAAAGCACGAGTGCGAGAGAGAAGGCGAATGATCCTTCATCTCTCTCGCACCCGTGTGTATTCAAATGGATTGCAGATTGCTATTGATGTTACGTCTAAACGCAGTGTAGACTACTCATCTCTGCACGTGTATTTCGTACCCAGCCGAGCTACCTGTACATGGCATGTAACCCAAAACAATGTATGAAAAGTAAATTTAATAAGCTTTTTGAATGAAATTATTAGGTACTTATTTATGCTTCTAACCATACATAAACTCTAATATTTAGTGACAATTAAATGGTGAGTATTCGGTGTTACTTGAAATATTATAATGGGTGTGTTTTAAAGGCAGGATGTTATTTTTTCAGAAGATAAACACTGATAAAATTAAGTTTAACAAGTGTAACTATTGTATGTTTCCAATAAACTGTGTGTGTTGAGAGTCATGAAGAATTTAGTGGTAGAGACTCAAAAAGTGAATGTTTACAAAAAAAATTACTTTCAATATGGAAACATTGAAGAGCTCCAAGTCACGTACTACAGTTGTTACAATCCTGACAACGACAGGTACTACTTCATTGATGATTATCAAAACATTTTGGTTGTCATTGATGCAACGAGCGACATAAAGTATATCCAGCAGAGAATAACCTTTGAAAATGAATATGCTAGAACTGTTGGCATTGATTACTGTGGTGTAAGTGAGGAAATATATGTTGCCACTGATGTAGGAATTGTCAGTTGTATTACTCATATTGAGGATGGTAAAATTAAGTCTGAGGAAATTGCAGAGTTCCCTACTGGTTTACAATGTGTGAAAGTTAGTCCTGATTATGATATGGTTGTACTTGTCACCAAAGATGACACAGTTGTTACACTTACTCAAAATTTTGACATACTCACTGAGGTACTTGTAATGATTTTACAAACATTTTTATTATATTGTTTTGTTTTTCTGTTACAATTAACACAATTTAATTTTGCCAGGTAAGCTTGAGATCTGAAGAATTTGGACAACAGCAATTCATTACAGTAGGCTGGGGTAAGAAGGAGACCCAGTTTCACGGATCCGAGGGTAAAGCTGCAGCAAAAGCCAAATCAACAGTTAGTGGTAAAACCAAGTTGGATGATGGTAAAGCAAGGGTAACATGGAAAGGAGACGGTTCTATGTTTGCTGTTAGCTATATTGATCAGGAAAGCAATGCTCGTAGACTGAAGATTTTCAATAGAGAAGGAGTATTGCAGTTTACCAGTGAGTTGATTGATTGTTTGGAGGGTATTCTGTCATGGAAACCATCTGGAAATCTAATAGCATCGACTCGTAGATTGCCAAATAAACATACAGTTGCTTTCTTTGAAAAAAATGGACTATTGCACAGAGAATTCACTCTTCCTTTTGACAAAAAAAATATTCAGGTATAAGCCTAAAATTTCTAAAACTTACTGAATCCAAGTAAAAAATATTCTTTTTAAATGTTTAATTTTAGATTATTGACTTGATATGGTCAAGAGACTCTGACATCCTTGGAGTCTGGTGCAAAGATCTTGGCAGCGGCGTAATGATGATTCAACTTTGGGCAGAGAAAAATTATCACTGGTACCTAAAACAGACAATAACCTACCCTAAAACCATCAAAGTTCATCACGTAATTTGGGGTCGACAGACCCAAAAGGATCTAATGATACTGACCTCCAAAAGCAGTACAACCTACACTTTCTACTGGTCCACATCACACAGTCGCGGGAAAAGTCTGACGGATAAGGCAGTGGTTGGCGTGATAGACGGCAATGCGGTCCTTGTAACTTGTTTTCGAGATTGTGTAGTTCCTCCTCCAATGGCTCAACAAACATTGGAGTTCAAGGAACCTGTAAACGCCATTTCTTTTGCTCCAAATAACGAGGAAAGATTTAAAACCGACACAAATGATTTCATGGTCGTTTTGAATAAAAACAAACTCATCCATTGCCAATACCTAAACGTACGATGAAACTGTTACTTTTGTTTACAAGAGCTCTATAAATGAACCCGTGGTTTGATTATATAAACGATGTTTTAGGAATCATGGGAAAATCAATACATTCAAAAGAAAGCCTACAATATCAATTTTCAATTGGAGGACACCAACTGTTATTCTTTCCATTTACTTCAGCATTTACTCTGGTACAAGCCAAATATCCTTTTATGCTCTATATCACTGGGCATGAAGAGTTACTTGTGTGAAATATGCTTGATGGACATAGAAGGTCTTGACACTATACTTTTGGATGCCAAGTAAATATTTAAAATAATTCTGTATCTCTTGTGAGTCTTGTAACAAAATTAATAATTTGTTTTCCTATTATTGATAGAACGGTACAGGAAATGCCAGGTCATATCCAGCACATGGTACTCAATTCAAATGCAACAACAGCCTACATTGTAGTTTCAGGCCAACTCTACACCTATGATGACATTTGCGGTGTTCAAAAATCCAATCTACAATTGACCTCCGAGACCACGGACAAACAGATGCTGAAGATAGAATTTATGAAATTTGCTGACGAAGAAGTGTTAGTAGCATTGACACGAAAGCATATACTATTTGTAAATGGCAAGCAAGTTGCCAACAATGTTACCTCGTTTTTCGTGCATTCCCAGTTTTTATTGATCACGACGCTCCAGCATGCGCTCGTGTCTTTCAAGTTGGATGATCGTGGCCTAAAGCAGCTGAATAACGGAGCATTGCTGAACGTTCAACCTTGGGAAAACAAAAATGTTCAGAAAAATCAAGGTAATTCACCTTCACGTCGTTAACGTATCACGAGAAAATAATCTTACTTTTGTCCTTTTATGCTAGAAATAAACGTGAGACGAGTCGAAAGAGGCTCTCTGCTAGTCACATCCGTGTCCGGGAATTCGCGCACTCTTTTGCAGATGCCAAGAGGCAATTTAGAAACCATCGAACCTCGAGCTCTATCTCTTGCTATAATTATCTCACATCTCAACAGCCTCAATTTCTATCAAGCTTTCGATCTCATGCGCCGCCAGCGAATTGATCTCAATCTCATTTACGACTTCTGTCCCGAGTCTTTTGACAAAAATATTGAGAAGTTTGTTGACGACTTGGACAATTCCAGCTGGTTGAGTCTGTTTCTGACAGAACTGAGGGACGAGGATGTCACACGAACCATGTTTTTAGGCAGTTTTCCAGACAGAGATGTCAAAGACGTTGTGGGTAAGACGGAGAAAGTTTGCAATAGCCTCAGGACAGTCTTGGAGAAAAAATCGAACAAGTTCATACAGCCAATCTTGATAAGTCTGGTGAAGGGTCAAAAAAAAATCGGCATAGAAGCAGCACTGGCCAAAATCAAAGAACTAACGGTCTTAATGGAGACGGACGAGAACGATAAGAGTGCCGACGAAGCATTCAAGTATTTACTTTATATGGTGGACGTGAACGTGCTGTACGATATGGCGCTGGGCATGTATGACTTTGACCTTGTTATGTTTATTGCTGAAAGATCTCAGAAGGATCCGAAGGAATACCTGCCATTCTTGAATAATCTACTGGAACTCGACGAGCACAGCATGAAATATGAGATCAACAATTACCTAAAGCGCTACGGCTCAGCGCTAGAGCACATAGTTCAGATACCAGAAAGATTCGATGAGTGCATGAAGTTTATAGAAACTCACAGTTTGCATGCAAAAGGTCTAAAATTCTTTGACATCAAGAGCAACGAGTATAAAAAGCTGGCCCTGAGTTATGGTGAGCTCTTAGTAAACATGTCAAAGTATAAAGAAGCCGGTATTATGTTTGTCAAAGCGGCCAATTATGAGGAAGCGTTGAACGCTTTCAAACAGGCGGGTAGCTGGCAAGACGTTATTTTTTCTGCCATGAAATTAAATTTAAGGTAATATGATGAAAAATATTGTGATAACATTTTATAAATGTTCGTTTAATCCAACCATTAATTTAAACATTTATTGCAGCGGTGGACAGTTGACGGAACTATACTCGGAGCTGGTGACTCAGCTACAGGAAGAAAAAAGGTACAGGGAGGCTGCACTAATATTGTCAAAATATCTTGACAGATCGGAAGATTCAGTGGCTACATTGTGCGAAGGGAGGTATTGGCATCAAGCATGGACGGATGCTTACAGCATGAAACGCGAAGATTTGATAGGTAAATATTCAACCGGCGTATATTATTGTGTTTCAAAAATTATGCCGATACATGCACGTTAAAACTTGGTTTTCAGAAACGCACGTTAAACCTGGGATCTTAGATCATGGCGAATTCCTTTTGTCACAGCTAAAGGAGCACCATGAGCAGTATAAAAAGTACAAAAATCGCCTGGCAGTCGTACGGGAGGCCGCTCTGAACAGACAGCAGCAGCAGCTCGAACTCGGTATAGAAGAAGAGTCAGGTCGCGGTGAATATAGCGATCTGGTGAGCGAAGCGACGAGCGTTGCTGGATCGATCGTTAGTGGAAGCAGTCGTATTTCATCACGTTCTGGTCGCAGTTATCGTTCGAGTAAGAATAGAAGAAAACACGAAAGGAAGCTACAGAGTGTCAAGGAAGGTAGCGTTTACGAGGACCTGGCGCTTATAAGGGCATTGCACAGTCTTGTCATTCAGGCTTATGATACGAAAAGTAAGTAGCACGTGGTAGCTTAACGATACCATGGGATGTAGTGTTAATGGACTTTTTTTTCGTTTCAGATAAAATTAAGTCGATCTCAGAAATGCTGTTGTTCATTAATAGTGATCATTTGGCAGAAGAATTGTATAAGGCAATGAAAAATTTTCTTAAAGATATTCGCGAAAGCAAGCGTGAAATTTGGCCTCCAGTAACGGAGAAGAAAGACCCTGACAGCGAGCTAAACATACAAATGAATTCGCATTCTTATACAGATATGACGTCCACCACAAATTTAATTGGTACGGATTTTTTTTCTTTCTTTTTTCATTCAAATTTTTTTGATTTATGCTTTAAATATAATGAAACTTGTATTTTTTCAGAACCGCACTTGTTACTAGCACCTGAAGACAAACCGTGTGATTGGGAACTAGATATATTCTCGTTTTCTTAATGTGATATATGAAAATGTAAGCGCAACAACTAGTTAACGTCTGTTTTAGGACTTTCACCTAATTTTTGATGAAATATTCCAAATTTCATCATGTTTTACTTCAATGTTTTAGCATACAGAATTTTATACAAATTTGTAAATGAGTTTTTTTAAGATCAGGTTTAAGCTCCTATTTTTTTTAAAGACAAAGTCATGCTGAACAATTTTAGATTTCAAGGAAATAAAAAAAACAAAAATAGTATGATTGGCGATTTTATTTACAATCAAACTTACATTAGAAAATTTCTCACACACATCAAGTGTTCGGTCACTGCACTCACTGCTTTAAAAACTGTAAAACTATACAAGAGATTTCAATGAAGTGAGAATCGATTCTATCATAAATCACAATTTATTATTGCAAACATATATTATGAAAGTTTCAGTAGAAACTGGCATTCAATTCATATTTTTTACGTATGCTTAGAATCAAACGTGCATTTAAAAAACATCTTTTTTTAGATATCAGTTTAACTGTAATAAGGATTTTTCGAATTTTTTTTCAAATATTCTAATTTAGATAAGGCGATGTCGATTGCGCGTTGGAAAAACTTATCTGAATATATCGAAATTTTAATACTTTAACAGTTCGTTTAAAAATGAGCAATATTAATTAAAAAATATTATGGACAATATATTAAATTCAACGATCTAAAAATATTTTATCAAACTGAAAAATACACAAAAATGATAAGAGTTGTCATTTTTTCGTTGGAACAGTAGTTAAAACCAACTGCTTTATAATGCACACTGAAATTGACACCATATAGCAGCCATAAGTGTTTTAATAATTTAAACTTAAATTTTTTTAAATATATAATTGTTTATCAAAATATTTAATTATACTGTACTTAAAAAAACAGGGTATAATTGAAAAGTACTAAAAAAAAGGTATTAAAAATTACGTTATAAAATACACCTGTGGCTCTAGCTCATGAATAATTTTGATTTGTTAATACTTTTTCACTGATCAACTTTACAAGTTTTTAAAGTCAGACTTTCTCCTGACAATGGCACAGATGTATAACTGTAACCTACTCATTCTGACAATTTCTTGTTTGTTTATACTGCCTAAACGGCACCAACAATAAGTCATTCATTTCTATTATCAAATTTTCATGCATCGCAACTAAATGTAGGGTTGAATTGTACTATGTTACAAAGAGATAATGATATAGGACTGCATGTAATTGACCTAGGTAGATAGCTTGATTAATGTTGGAGACTTTAGTTCGGGTCGGACGCTGACGGCCAAGTGTTTTGGTTGGGAATATTTTCTCCTCACAGCCTGGAATTTGCTTTTTTCAGAGTTGATTATCAGCGTAGCGATTTCCGACACTACAGGCAATACATCATTCAACTTGTATGTGCTGTAGTGCACCAAAGTCTTAGTCCATATGACTTCGTTTTCTTGAGAAGAATCATTTCCTAGCATCCTGTATCAGAAAAAATTTGTTTTTTTGAAAACTCTATCTTAGTGAAGCAAACACATAACTCAAGTAAGACCTACTGTTAAACTTACAAGATAGACAGATACAATGCAGCAGCTGCAATCAAACTAGGAGGGTAGTGACAGACTTCATAATGTACTAAACACTGCTCCAAAAAGTATTTAGCCAGTGTATGGTGAACTGGTAAAGCCTACACACATTTAATTGTACATTAAATTTCTATCTGTTGAAATTTATCATTGAAAAGTTTGAAAAATAAAATTTTACTTTTCCAGCTTTGCTGTATCTTCTGAGGAAGTGTAAAGGTAAAGGTCTTCCAAATGAGAAATCAAGGCTTTTTATAATGATCAATTCCATTTGCAAGATTTCACCTTTTGTGTAAGTATTGTCAGCAATGTACACAAAATCGCTTATGTCTGGAGAGTACATTTCTTCATACTTGCTAGCTATGAACATAGCTGTTATACCAACCAATTGTAGCCTTTTGCGAGTGATCATCTTGAAAACCTTAAAAAATACGAAGAAAAGTCATTTAAACACTGTAGCTTGTAATTTTTTGATTAGTTACTAATTTAAAAAATTCATCAAGATTACCTGTAAAAATCGATCAATAATAGCAACCGTTAGATACAGAGTCTCTTGCATTAAGTGAAACTGTTCATGGACCTCGATTAACCAATCAATGAGCACGCACCTCATCCTTGGAGTGACTTCCTGACCCTGTAGAAAATTCTTTTTTATTGGAAACTGCTCCTCTAACATCCGGTAGTGTTTGTATATATCATTACTGTAGATGGAAACGAGAATAGGATTGTTTTTATCCTCTTCGTCAATATCCTCAACCAAAACTGGATCAGAAATATCAGTGTCCTTCTTTGATGGACTAACAATAACTTCCGTTTTGTTGTCATTGGTATCGATTTCCGCTTTTGTTGGTCCGGTTGCAGGCTGATGTACATTATTGATGTGCGCTCCAGTCTTGACAGTTGGTTTCACTGCTGGCACTTGGACTTGCTTGGGAGGCACTGATTTTTCAGCCTTTTCAGTTTTCTCTACCTTAACGGAAATCTGTCGTGTTACCAATGGTTTTTTCAGCAAAGTTTTGCCGTCCTTTAGATTACACTTTCCTGTCAGTTCATTTATTCTTTGGATAACAACTTTATTGCCAATTTCTCCCAGAGCAGCTCTTCTTATCTGTCCAGGTACCGTTGTCACAGATTTCACATTTTTCGTATTTTCCTGGTTGCTGGGAACCTAAAAGTTTTTGATCAAGATGATTTCGTTTTTTCTTATACAATATAATACAAATAATTATTTTTGATGAGCCAATAATTGATTTAATCAAATATGATATATCAAACGCGCGCAAATAAAAAGCGCACTACAGATGTAGATGTTCTTAAATGAATGTTAGAGGACTATTACACTTGAACATCTCATTGAAAAAAGCATACTGGTCGGTAATGTACATAAGTACTAGCAACGATTTGGTAAATCCTACTTTTTATTAATTTTCATGATCCAAATTAGATTTTCAATATAATGCTGCACGCGCAAGTTTTCCTATACCTAGTCTGATTTCAATCATTGGAAATTCTAACTTTTACAGCTACTCGCCCTACCAATTGTATATTAGTCTCATCACCTGATGGATTTCAGTTTTCCATTAACTACTAGATAAATTTTAAATTTTTATCACTCTTAGTTTAAGCAATTTACCTAAGTACACTTATAGAGATCGAGTGGTCATCTAGACACAGAAGAGGTGTGGGCTTAGACTGACTCGATCGCGCTTATACTTATATGAATCGTGCGGGAATTTCGCCGCTTGACGGGAGCGAACTATTAGGGGCTTGGCCAGTAGAGCCTGAAGCGCGAGAGATGTGAGACGCCACACACTTATGGTTTCGTAGTTTTGATGGGAGTACTAATGATCCAATACATACTTGCCATTTTAGCTTTTAGCTTATAAAGCAAGATTCCCGAACAAAATGTATCTTTCCCACTAGAATCCTTAAAAAGGGCGCAGCGTTTTGAAAAACTTTAAAATAAAGAAAACAATTTATTACGATTCACGACAAGTAAGGCTTTGGGAGATTTTTAGTTTCTTTAACTTATTCAATTTTCTGGTGCGCTATAAAATAAAGCGAAATTATTTCAAGAGACTGTTTGAAGGTATGCGTTCAGAAAATATAAAAACAGTGTGTCTAAAGGTACGACCTTCCGACTATGGACGTGTAAACAATCAGCTAATGAAAATAGTAAAATACACAAAGCAACCGCGAATTTCGCCCTTCGCGGGGCGAGGACACACAAAACATTTAAAAGACAGTAAAATAGGTAAATGCTCACCCCAAAAAACTTGGACATTTTTACCAAGTAGAGTTGCAAAGATGGATCTTAAGGTGCAGACGTGCAACGCCGAAAGTCCAACCGACTTTTAAAGAATGCGAGAAACAAAAAAAAATAAGATAACGCGCGCGCGTTCTCTCTCTCTCTCTCTCTCTCTCTCTCTCTGTATATTACATTGAGGAAAGAGAGAAAGAGACGGACTGGAATATATAGGTATGCGGCAGCAGTTAACGGACACAACTGTAATCTCGTGAAAAATTTGAAAGTTGCCAGGATATGCACACTCGCGCACCTCTAAGGAGTTGATAACTCACACGACGTATATACAGGTATATCTAACGGCAGGTCTGTGCTCGGTGGTTGATAACCGTGATTAGTGATATGAAAAACTAACGTGCGCTATTGGACGCTAGCGGCTAGACCTTTTAAAAACTCTTTCTCTCCTTGTTTATACACCTATATGTGCCCACACACACACACACACACACACACACACACACACACACACACACACACACGTAACAAAAGCAATGAGAGTGGGGAGGGGGAATTTAAACTTCCAACGGTCGCCCGCCAACTCCCTCCGTCTCTTTTCAAACGATCATTACAATTATACCGACTTGCTTCATTGAAACTCACCTGATTAAGGGCTCGAGTCCTCGACGCCATGTCGCTCCCTCGGAAAATAATGTCACTTTTTCACCCTGGACTCCTAATGGGGAGCAACAAACTCCTGCGCGTAGATGGTACACAAAAAATATATATGCTTTTGGTAACGCCGCGTGCAGTTGGTCGACTCGTCGTTGTACACGTTCAGACTATTCTGATACGAAGACGAGGTTCAAACTTGAAAGCGATGTGAAGAGGGGAAAAAAAAGAATACAGGCGCGGAAGGTGATTGGAGAGTTCTCCGTCCTGCGTGCCGTAGGTAATATCTCCCTCGAAGATGGTCGTGTGTGTGCCGATGCTGCGCGCGCTTCCTCTGTACTGGTACGGTTTGAAGCTGGGAACTGTGAGACTTCCAGCCTGAGAGCAACGGACACTTTTCCCCTCTTGCCGGGCCAGTATAAACTGCTGAGAGCTGAGAGGGGATGTCGCGTTGGCAATTAAAATGGTGTGGCTGAGGTGCGTCCCTTTAATCGACGTCGTCAGACTTCAATGTGCTCCATTTACCAACTGCAGTTTCAACGAAGCGTCCCAAGTCCCAAGCGATCTCTTTTTGTTGTTTTAAATTTTTTCCGCACGAGTGCTCTTTCTCTGTGCGACTGGCACCGGAAGTTTGCCGCGAGAGTGACCGACGAATACCGAAAAGTTACGGTTATGACTTTTGAATTTTTCCGTGTGAGATTGGGGACTTAAGGGGTTGGCGGTGCGGGGCATTAACGTAATTTTTGTTATTGGGGGTTGAGGGACGAGGAAGAACTATAAAAAGAACTATTAACTACTAACCTTTACCTATCCTATACAAGTAGAAGGAAAAATGGAAGAAAAAAGAGTACAGTCGTGCAACACCGCGTTAAAAAATCATGTGAAAATTCTCGGTCATCTCGGTATCGTGATCGCGATGGTAACCACGTAACCAGATAAATATAATTAGACTCGCTAGATGGCGCTAATTCTACTTTCTCATTCGCCAATTTCGCCATCTATTAAGTCGTCGTTACTCACATATACTCACGGCACACTCACACGGCTCACACGGTGATGACATTTAATGTAATCATATTGTAAACAATAATGATCTGTCTGCTGAGTTATTCTTGAAGAGATTTCGCTACAAAATGTCAATAAATATTGATATCAGACTTAAAAAGGCCTGTAAAATTTTTCGCGAGGGGGTAAGTAACTTTTTACGGCTATTGGGTTTTTAAAGTGATTTTAATACACTAGAACAACTTAGTGAATACGAATTGTCCATAATCAATAGTTTTATTTCAATTTGTTTTACGTTTACAGGAAAATATTAGTGGCTTGATTCTGCTACAAACAAATTCGGATGTAAAGCATGATGGTATATTTCTGACAATGGAAGGTGCAGTCAACCTACAACTAAGCTCAAAAACTGTTGGTATTTTTGAAGCATTTTATAACTCAGTCAAGGTTTGTAACTAGAATTTTTTATTGGTATTAAAATTTTTCCCATTAAATAATTATGTATGTGTTGTAGCCAATACAATTGGTTCAATACACTGTAGAAGTTGTACCAGCAGGAAAAATTCCTAGTGGGAAAACAGAGATACCCTTTGAACTACCTCTTAAGCCTCGTGGCAACAAATCTTTGTACGAAACTTATCATGGGGTTTTTGTGAATATACAATACATGTTACGCTGCGACATTAAAAGGAGTTTCTTAGCAAAGGGTGTTAGCAAGTCACTTGAATTTATTGTGGAAGACAGAAGGCCTGTAAAAAAGACTGACAGAGAACAGAGTAAGGCTGTTTCTTTTAGGATTAAGCCAGAGTCACTACAAAACACCAGGGATAAAAGCAACGTGCCAAGGTTTTGCATTTCTGGCAAGATAGATTCACTCAGCTGTCGATTATCAGATCCATTGATTGGCGAGGTTGTTATTGAAAGCTGTGAGACCGTTATCAAATCTGTTGAACTGCAATTGGTAAGAGTAGAAACTTGTGGATGTGCAGAGGGATATTCTAGAGATGGTAATTTAAATTCTCTTCCATTTTGAAAAATGTCTTTGAAAAAATGTTTGTGCAAGAGTATTTTATTACTAATCAGTGTGTATTTTATTATAGCTACGGAAATTCAGAACATTCAAGTTGGTGAGGGAAACGTGTGCACAGGACTAGCTATTCCAATTTATATGGTTTTTCCACGATTATTTACCTGTCCTACATTAAGCACCAGTAACTTCAAAGTCGGTGAGTTTTACAACAAAACTAATTGTAATTATTCAGAAAATATGGTAGCCATGTTTGTTTGAGCTGAACAATCTTTTTCAGAATTTGAAGTTAATCTAATTGTTGTGTTTGAAGATGACTATCTTGTGACGGAAAACTTTCCTATTATCCTAACAAGGCATTAAACGTTGTTAACTGTACAGTTTTTTATTACTTGCATCTTATATTTTATTGTAAATATCATATTGTTTCTAGATAAATTAACTTGACCATTTTTAAAATGTACATTTTTATTATATATCTCCTAAGAAAAAAAAATCACAAATCTTAATTCATGTATATATAGTGTTTTTATAAGAGACAAGAAAGTCATTGATTTGTATGACAAATACTTGGATCACTTGAATTTTTTTTTTCATGACTGGCATATAATGGGCTTTAAAATTTTTCACTATATCAATCTAATTCAAACCTACGCATGAGTAACCTGATGTATCTTTCGACATTTCTGTTGTGGGACAGTCCAACGGAAGCAAGTAGCACTACATAACTCAGCATTAACGTCAGTAATTTGTGCTGCCGTATCCAACCAACTATTCCATTATTACGCGGTGGTCTGAAATGTCAAAGAAAACAGGACTTTTAAGAACTGAGACATGGCTTTTTTTTTTAATTGAACGTTCATATTTTGTTCAAATTACCTGAGACGGCCAAACTCTTGACTGTATACTAATAAATATCGAATTCTTACTAAGTCGTTGTTAAGGACTACACAGTATTTCTTTGGTATTTTTCCACCCTCGGATTCTGGTGCTATGTTTCTTGTAATATCATCTAGAGTAACAAAGAGTATTTTTAGGAAAACAAGTTTATAAATTAGTCTTGAGCGATTTTGCCAACTTTCTGAAAAGTTTACCTGTGTCACCTATTTTAACATCTGGATGATTAATGATTTCGCACAAGGCTACACAGCTCATGTCACTGCCAAGTAGGCTTGCACCCCAACCATATCCTACAGGACTGTAGTTTATACTGACTCCTAATTCACTGGAAAGGTAAATGCCTTTCCCAAACAACGACTCTTGCTACAAAATAAAAATTTTACAGTTACACTCAATATTTCTTATTTTGTAATATTTTATAAACAAATTTCTACTTTGCATAAATGCTGCTGTAGCCCGTAGTGAATCACGGAATGGAAATTTTCAAGCTTGCTACCATGATAAGCATAAAACGTGGAATGTCCCTTGGAAAGCTCCTTCCACCTTTCCTCAGAAGACGACTGTTTGGCACTTGCTACTTGGAATATTAAATTTGGTACGGCTACCGCCATTTGTGAATCCACCCTCTTCAACACGGATTCGTGCTGTAATGAAAAGCACAACATCAAGCATCGACAACTCGCGATAAAAGTAGCGCATAAACTGACCAACATATAAAACGTAAACTTACGCATTCTTTGCTGACACTCTTGATTTGTATCTGCCTCATCCTAACCAGGACCCAAAACAAGAGTTCTATCACAGATGTCCGCTTTTTGTAAATGTTTGGCTCCCTGAGCTCTTGTACAACGATAGCCAGAGGTGGCACCAGTTCCACGGTTCTTCTCTACAAACAAATATTCAAAAGACAATTCAAGCTTACATACTTTGATTGAATAAAAAAAAAGGGGGGGGAACCCCCCATGAACCTACCAGCGATTCAATGTCTTTAGTCTCATTTTTGATGTACATGGGAGGAAAGGGTTTGAGACAGGTGTCGAAGCGATAAGTGTGGCAAGCGGCCACGAAGAGCGACCACTTGAGATCCGCGGCTTTGAGATCCTTCTCGAGCACATACTTCAGAGCGAGGATCTTCTTCTCCGAGTCCTCCTGCTCGATGACAGCGTCAACCGCGGCCGACGACAACAACTCAACCTCGGGCTGTTGCTGAGTAGCCGTTGTCTTGGTCGTCGTCGTCGTCGTCGTCGGCGTCGTCGATGTTGTCGTCGACGACGTGTTCTCCCCGACGCTCTCCTTGAAATCGAGGCACTCGTCCAGGTCGGGCGGCGAGTCGTTTAAACACTCCATGACGTGGATGATTGTACACTAGAAGCGCGTGTGTACGCCCAAAGACTGATAAGCAAACGGAGAGACCAAAAACCTATCAATTTCCGTGTTGACGCATCGATCGTCGAAATGAGGATGATACACGCACGACCGAATGAATTTTCCCAACTGCAGGCGTTCGTAAAGCTCGATACTACTGATGTTGAGTGCGTGTTGTAAAAAAAATAGAAAAAAAAAGTTGTACTTAACGGAAAAAAAAAATTGGGCGTTTGACAGGGAGCCCCAGCTGATAATGATGAGATTCGGCGATGAAGGGGGGACGATTCGCGACGTGTGTGATGTCTTTTGTTTGTTGTGATTTGTGATGAGGTGATTGGGGCACGCGTACTTACGCCAGACGACGAGTACGACGACGACACAACACACGCAGGCGCACTCGCTCGATATCGAAGAGAGAGGCAAACTTGACGGAAAATTTAAAACGAAACTGCATGGTTCGGGTTGTTTGGAAAAATCGTAGTCTTTTCGTCACTGTACGGAAGGAAAATGTCACAAAAGTGAGTATTAAAATATGGTGTATATCTGTGGTGTGCAAAGTCAAAATGAAAGTACAAGATTTTTTCTCGTGTTGGCAGCACTGGTCGTGAAAAATTTTAAATTTCAAGCGCTGTTTGAAAAAAGGCGCCAAAATAAGTTAACGTAGATAATCACGAATAATGTTTCAACAAGAAAATATTGTGCGAAATATGTCGTCGGACCAGCGTCAAAAACAGTTGCTTGATTATCATGTGCTTCATGATATGTATCCGATTATCCATAAAAACGAAACTCGCAAGCTCGAAAATTCTAGAAACAGGGACGGCAAATGATGGCGCAAAGGGAGTTTTCAACACTTTTGAAATTCAAACGAGTTTTTCGTTTAGGTCTTTCGTCGCAGGGAGCACGCGCTATAAAATCTCAACCAAGTCCAACCCACGGATGTGGTGGAAACTACGAAAATCAAAGCGCAAGAGCTTGCAAGCACAAAATTGGCACGCTTGGGAATAAAGGCGCATCGATCGATAGGGGGGGGGGAAGCTTCCGAGCTTTTTGTTTCGCCATCGTCTGCAGGTGTGAGGAAGCAGTAAGAAAAAAGGCCCCGCACGTGCTTCCCCGCTTATATATACACACTTATTTACGCTGTGTGGCTTATTTTTTCCCCCGTAATTAAGATTGCGTGCACGTATAGTGGCATTGCGCAGCTTGCGATTGGCGGCACTGGCGTTCAATGTCATGCCTCAAGGTAAACCATCAAATGTAATGACGTCAGAGCCAGACCAGCAAAGCTCGGCGGCGCGGCACGTCACGTTCTCTCCCAGAGCTGTACAACACACAAGTGGGAGTGGAGAGACAGAGAGAAAGAGAGAGCGAATAAACTTAGGTACAACCTACCTACCTGTCCTATATGAAAAATACACAAGTGCTCGTGAGAAAGCCACAATATTGTGTTGTGTGTAGGGGTATACACTTTTACACGAGGAAAATAGTAGGTGATGATGGCAAAGAAAAGGTAGAGGCACATTTCAGTGTAGGGATTATTAGATCTAGCTTTCCCGAAAAAGTAAATGTTGGTGCTAAGTGTCACACCTCCACGGACACCCTCGTCTTCTCTCTCTCTCTCTCTCTCTCTCGTGTTCCTTTTACTTTTGATTATCTCGCGTTTCTTCGTGCATAACATACATCATACACATGTGTATAGGCAGTCGCGTTAATGCTCTGCCCCCGTATATATTATATATACATGTATAATATACTTTTGCTTTCGCGCTAGTTGTAGCGCAGTTCCTCATTCCGAAGTAACGTACATACTTGTGTACCGCGGAGCTTTTTCCTCGTAGAAAAATAAACAACAATATCCTCGTACATGCGTAAGCATATCGTATCGATCGACAAACGGCAGAGTTGCTTTGCCAACTTGATGATGGTTGCAGCGGTTAAAAGCATTTTTTAACGAAAGAAAGGAGTATAATTATTATAATGGTAACTTTTGCGCTCATCGTTGCGGAGACCGGCTTCCCGTCTCCTTTTTTCAAATTTTCAAACTTTGGCGCAAGTATGCAGTTACCGCTGGTACTTTTAGTAATTTTTTTGGCAGCGAAAAGAAACATAACTACTTACATACGTGAGATGCCAAAAAAAGAGTTAGCAACCTTACACACGTACCTATCCAAGAATTTGTGAGGAGAGAACAAAAAAAAGTCGTTAAAAAAGTAGAGGCGCCAAGCGCAATTGCAAAAAAGAGGGAGAAGAAAAAGTAAAACGATCATGCAGCAGAGAGATGATGATGTACGATGATGATACGAGCACACAGCAGAGCGTAAGTATAGGTGATTTTTCAGTAGTAACAGTCGGACGGTCTGACCGACCGGACATTATAACAACTTTTTCTCTGCTCCTGGGCGGTATATACTACATACAATATATATATTATATATGCCCACATTATTATTAAAATTTACATCACATGTATAGGTATTATATACACTGCATGGCTGACTTGACTGGCTGGTTGCGGTTCTCACTCTCTCTCTCTCTCTCCCTCTCGCTTTTGCCGCCGCTGATGCTTGGCTTTTGAGGTAAATAAGTATGTGTGCTGCGCTGCTCTGCAGTAGTAGTACAAGCCAAGCGGAGAGTGAAAGAGCAGACGGATGACGACAGCAGTGTCAGCTCTCGCGGCTATTACTACTAGTTGTGTGTTTTGTTACATGTATATATAGGGCTCATTGCGTGCATTGGATAACTTGCCACTTGCAAACAACACAATATAAAGTACTCACGTGGGTTCAAGTGCGCGTACGATTGACACTGTAAAAGTGTAGTGTGCACGATACACGAGTGCAAAGAAGAATTTCGTACATACATGTATATGTATATATATTACGATATATCATATCATTATCATCATTCGGTGCGCGCCGCGGTGTATGTGTGTATATTTATATATGGTGGTGGTCGTGACTCGTGGCGGTGTCAGCGGCTGACATGATACCAACTTACAACTTATAAGTACATCATCACTACCTCTCTACACTGGGTCTACCGCTACATGTGTGATACATCCTCTATATACATGGAAAATCACCGAAAAGCCCGTGCGCATGCCCACCGTCGTCGTCGCTCATCCTCTTCTTCGTCGTCGTCGTCGTCGTCGCTCTTCATCGCCAATTCTACTGCTGGTGCCGCGACCACCGATTCCACTTTACAGCCGCCACCGTCGTTGCTGCTGCTGCTTCTCGCGCGAGTGTGACGTCACGAAATATCGTGTGCTTTTGATCCGCGCGCGCGTCCACGCAGCTATTGTACATGTACCCACAACACAAGGCGCTGTAGCTCTGCTCCGTTTTTTTTCTCTCCCCCCCCCCTCTCTCTCTCTCTTGCCTGCAGAAGAGAGCTTGTTCTGTGATATATGTAACANGAAATATGAGCCAATTTATGCAAAAAAATCAATATATTGATTGATACAGAGTTTGATTTTTAAAATGTGGTACTTGAAATTTTTGCACAATTTTTCTCAGGTAAGTAAAAAAAAAAGTTGACATCACCATTGGGTTAAAAAATATACGGACGCAGCTTTTTTTAAAAAAATAAGAAGAAACATACTGTAGTTTTCACACAAAAAAATACTGAACTTTTGATTTTAAAGAAAAAAAAAAGGATAGCTGATGAGTAAAAAGAAACAACATAGTCACCAAAAACGAACGCTATTGTTTACATGTATATAACTACTATTATGAATCGACGTTTGATTACACACACACAACATAACAAATAAATTTAGGGTTATCGTATTGGGCAAACAAAATTTAAAGAGAATTAAGTGGCTACAATGGATCGGTGTTAAAAAAAAAAAAAAAAAAACAAAAAAAAATTGTTACTACAATACACATACAAATAAATAAAAAAAAATATGTGTGCGGGTGTGTGATAACAGTGCTTTTTCATCCACTCTCCTCCTGGTACAAGTGTATATGTATATTGCCACTGTATACCTTACTTGTAATACACGCAGTAGCAAATAAATTATTATGCAGTTGTGTGTGTTTATGTGTGCATAACGTGTGATACGTGTATACAGTGAAGTTGAAGGCGACAGCCCGCGCGGACGCTCCAATTTACGTATAAAAAAAATATAAGTACACTAGCCTCCGTCGCCAAGAAGATGTCTACACGCGTATTGTGGTGTTTGGTTGTACCTGTCCATCGCGAGTGATGTAGTAATAAATGATAAAACAAGTAAATAAATAAATACAAGTAATATGCAGAGAACATGAGCGACAAGATCGTTCAATCTTCGTTATTGTTGTTGTTGTTGTTGTTGTTGTTGTTGTTGGATAACGTTGTAATAGTGCAGGAGGAGACGAATAAAAGGAGGTGTCGAAGGAGAAGAAGAAGAAGCAGATCAGAGGTGCTTTGCTCGTTGTCACCGTCGTCATGTGCGCGATGATGAGGATGAGGCTGCCGCCGCACTGACGTCCCTCCCTCCGTGTGCGAAAGAGAAAAAGAGAGGAGCTTGCGGAGAACACGTCTCTCCCTCTCTCTCCTCCCCCACCCGTTTGGAAAGAAGCGCGTGACGACCGGCCGGTTCTACACTGCTGGAGGTTTAAGCGCACCGCACACCTCCCTCTCCCTCTCTCTCTCTCTTGTTGGGTAAGTTTTTAAGAAGCATCGACTTTGTTTTCGTTGTTACTCGCACCTGTACCACTTACTTTGGTTCTTTTGCCCACAAAAGTGTGTTTCAAACGGATACGCGGCTAATCGGAGCTTGCAACGCCAAGCATATCACGCAAGTGCGAAAGATCGCGAACGCAGTTCACGTGCGATGTGGATTTTTTTTTCTTCTTCTTCTTCTTCTTCGCTCTTTTTATCCTTCATTTTGCATTTTTCGCTTCACGCGGCATAAGTATGCGGCTCTGCGGGTTCTCTCCTCTTTTCTTTTTATCAGCTCGTTCTCGCGCGCCCGAGAGAAAGAGAGAGACGCCTCGGAGGCAAGTAGCATCATCAGCCAGCAGAAGCAGTTCTCCTCCTCGTGCTGTGTGTTTGATATATATATACATATAGGATATACACAACGCGAAGAGGAGGAGGAGGAGAGAGATGGCCTTCGGACGGCGGCAAATACACACGTACACTCGCATACACGCGCGCACGCGACTGTTTCGAAAATATAGGTATACTTACTTATGTATACGCGAGCGCGAGGAGATTCGTAAGTGGTGTGTGTGTGTGTGTGTGGAGGACTGAGAGGAGCTGCAGTTGTGTATACGTGCTTCACACGACTCGTTCTCTCTCCTACACATATTGCCTGACTG